CATTAACACTTTTACCACTTTTACTGTGTTTTTCGTATTAATAAAAAGAAAACGTTTTCGTAATCCTAAAAAATTGTTAATAAAGATTGTGTGGGTTTAAGATTTCTTTTGGCACTGAAAATGTGCCACAAGAGAACTGTTGGTTTATTTTATGATATGCACTTGCGCTGGCCAAGCGGGGAGGGACCCCCAACTTGATTTGTCAAATCCAATTAAAAATAGGTTGTATAATGTATAAAGTGAAAAGGTTACTTTGTTTATCCTTGCTCCAATAACAGAAAGTGAAGTAGTATTTGTATTTGCTCCCCCCCACAACTATCCAATTCGGTCGGCTCTGTACGTACAAGCGTTATCATGTACATTTTCATGGAATGTTCGGAGGCTATGTAGGGGATCGTGCAGTTGGACGTTGACTTAATGTGAAGTGTTGGCACTAATCGCGATGGAACACAGAATTTCAACTTACAATTTCCATTCTCGAGACGCAATCGCTATTTCCTGGCGTTTTCGGAAAATGGAATAAAAATGTTTCATATTTATCATGAATAAGTTTTGATTGAGAACCAAAACACTTAATGGAGCCAATTGATTTTTTTTTTTTTTCATATACACCAAATTTATCACAATAAGTAGAAAGCACAATTCAATTGGTTAAAACAACTTCATAAAAACACCTAAATTCATTATTTACTACTCATCATAAATATGGGTTTCACATCAAAGCATACGAGTTTTTATAAATATTGAATAAAGTTGTTATTTTAATGTTTTCAGAGATAGGATGTTTAATATATTGTTATATTGCAACCCTTAACTACGTTTTTCGCTCAGAACAAGGCGCTATGCAATTAGCTATAGGGTGAAGCGCGTGCATGGGATTGAGATGAGTCAACACAATTAAGCCTAATGCTTCAACCGCTCAGCCATCCAGTCATATTTTCATGCGAAATGAAAACAGCAATGTTGAACGTTCGGTCGTTATTTCAAGCATCCAGTGCAATATCTTCACATACTAATTTGATATATTCTAATTGCATTAGGTAATTTCTTTTGGAATCCTTATTTCTGTTGAAAACAAGATCCCATGCTTCGAAAGACTGTGACGTCATACTATATTCCCTTATGTACCTATGATGTCTTGTGATTTCCATCGCGAGGTGTCAGAACCTACGCTTTATGTAAAATTAATGATTGCTATATTCATCAAAATTTTGAAAAATCACTAACTATAATTAAATCAGGAAATTGTTTTTGAATATCCGAAAAATTTAATCCCAAAATTATTTCTACGAGACAATTCACACAATCCTATGTATTGGATGACGCCATTTTACCTCATATTTATTTCATGAGTAATTCAATACAAACCAAATTAAATTCATCGAGATTGAATTTCGTGGATTTTATTGAATCAGAAACAAATAATCGGACAAAAAATCTCAGAGCATACTCACGAAAAGGATTAGAAGATTTAACCCGTGTTTTCCAGTTATTCAACATAGAAATATAAATATTTTACAAAATTTTCCAGATCTTCATAATAAGCAATTGTTTGGGTGTAATTTTTGAACCATGACTTGGTTTTGAATGTGAATAGTTTAGTTGAGTGTACTGTAATCATGTTTTTACTTTTCGCTTCTCCCCAAGGAGAAATTAAGATCGTGTAATATTTTGTTACTACGATTTCAAAGAAATTCGGTAAATGTAGAATTTAGTAATCCAGACAAAAAAAAATTTTTTTTGGGGCATCTAAATATTGAAATTGTGGAGATTTAAAAGTAATTAGTCCTTTTTTTGAAAAAAGAGCATTCTTTCAACAACATCACTAAAACTAATTTTCCGAAACGACCTAGAAGCCTACTTCGTGGCCAATATCCTGAAGTTGCAATTGATTCGCTATAGAAGTAACCACGAACTCCGAATTTCAATTATTGTAAGGGCGGCAATGGGTCCAACATTTTTATCAAATACGGGACGATATCAGGGGGTCATGATTTAGTAATATGACATCTCATTATTTATTTGTTTTTCATTACAGGGAATATAGATGCAACATGCAAGTATAAGGTGACAACAAAAAACAGAATCCATAAAATTTCTTAATTACTACTACAAAAATAAAGAAAATTTAAATAACATTTAAACTTCTGCTTAAGTATAATTTGTCACAAAAGTTTGAGTAATCTAGGACGTTTTGCATAAATTTCGTGCCCTCTGTAGAATATGTTCCAAATGACCTGGGTTATATAATAATATTTCAAAATACCAGTCATTCTATTTTCTAATGTTCAAATTTCTTTGCTCGATTCAGATACATTTTTGAAAAAAGAAAAATACCAGAGCAAGTGACAAAAAAAGGTCTTTTCCAAAAAATGCTTCTCTGTTTTCGATCAAAATGTAGGATTAAGCAGCAAATGAACCGGTAATCTCCGACAGGGTAGACACAAAATGTCGATATCCAACTTTAAATTAGGTTAAATTTGCCAGAAATGCATTTATATATTTCAGTAAGTACGTCTATGTACGACTGCGAGTGAAAGGATGAAATCGCGCAGACTGAAGGATTTTTTCTTAAAGAAAAATGAATATTTAAAGAAAACAACCCAATTTTACAACATGGCAATTGACAATGCAAATATTATCCCCTGACAGTAACTATTATTGGGGATTTGTGTGGAAATTTCGTACCCCCAATCTTTTGACCAAGTCTTCCAGTTAGAAATCTATCAAACTTGTGCGAATACCCTTTATCATCTAAAATTTATAAGACTTAGATGAGATGCGCACATATGTCAGTTTTGAGGAGTCTTAAATGCCTAGAATATTTCATTTTGGGTTTAAATTAGCACTTTTATTATACACGTTCCTTTTGAATGCTCTTGCAGCGTCAGTGCTGTATGCCTGGTTAAGCAATATCATAGCTTTGCTTGAGATGTCGTTGCGAATTCAATCGAAAATAATATGCTGTATATACACGTGCAATATTACAACAAATCAGTCGTGAAAAAGTGGTAGTTAGTTTGGTACTCACCTGGAAGTTAGTTTGATTTGTAGGGCGTACTAATCTCTAGGCCGTAAATGTGAATTATTATTCGGTAGAAGATATAAGCCGACAACCGTCCTATAATCCATTTTAGACTAGGAGATCGGGCATCGATTTTTGTCCTATTAGTCAAGAGATAATATTTTGTAAGCTCAGTAAAGAAGGTAAGATTTTACAGTGAATTGATCATCAAACATGGCGTTGTTTTGAATGAGAGTTTTCGTTAAGCTAGCCATTACCAGTATGGCGCAATTTATCGGGATTAAATTCAAAAGGATTCGCCGGGTTTGCTATAAATGGTACATGTGTTGATTTCAAATCGCATCGATAAAAAACCGCCACGTCAACGTTTTCCGAGAACATTTTTCTTTTTTTAAGTCGTTTCCCAAGTCGGAATATTTAACCCCGACACATCTCTAGACCTTGAGCAGTCAAAGTATAAGCTACTTCTGTATCAATGTAGTCAAGTGAGACAATGTGGCGGGAGATCTGAGTTAATGGGAAAATATAGTGTTTCATGCGCAGATGAAAATAGCTTTTCATCAGTCTTATTTAAATCAAATGTCGTTACCAACTTGGAAAGATCCGTTTAGTCTTCGAATTTTAGTTTCAAGTATAAAAATGATTTGTAGATGATCTATCTCAGAAAGTTTATGCATTGTTGTCGCAAAATTATTTTTAGAGTATTTTTGATCATCTTTCTTTTATTCTGAAATTTAAATTATTAACACAAAATTCCAACTTGAGGTTGGAAATTTTCGAGTTTATTTGATTCGAAGATGACATATTAGAATTACTTCACTGAACATTATCAACTCAAACGTGAGATAGGTTTCAGTAGTTGTCGACAGAAAATGCAGACAGACCTTCAATAACTGGGTTATTGGACACGAAATGTACATGTGGATATTTTGTTATTATGTTGTTGTTCTCCTTGTTCTTTTTGGTATTTTTCTTCTTGTTGATATGAAAAAATAGCCTTTCTCGTTAACTATTGGGCTAATTGCTTTGAAATGATCAGTGGTCAATAATTGTGTTTTTCGCGGAAAGACTATTACTTTCATTCATTTCAAAACTTTCTGGTGACTCTATGTCATTCGTTTTTTACTTCGAAATTTGTGTGATGACCTCTTCAAAATTAATATAAATTATTTGTAGCGGATCTGCGACCTCTCTCGTGTTATGCGAAAGTCGGAAGTTTTTTTACTTTACCTTCTAGTAAACTGGGTAAGGTACTGTAAAACATAAGATAGACTACTTCTTCGCGTTGATCATCGTGTCCATATATTTAAGCATCGCCCACTTGTTATTTTATTTGATGTTTTGAGACAATTTAGCATTTTGCAGCCCCCTTGTGGATAACCCTGACTGGTCTCTCGAACTACAAGATAGGTTTCCATTTTTATACTTCCATCTATTTTATGTAAATTTGATGTAAATAATCACCAACGTTTACATGATATTGAAGCAGTCAAGTCGTAAAATCGTTTAATTTTTTTCAATTAACCGAAATCTTCCATATTTCATTGCTAATTTATCGCCTTATTTTTCAGTTTTCTACACAATTAACTTGCTTCTTTGAATATTTAGGATTATGTTTTGTTGTGAATTAATTGTATTCGACCAGGAGTATGACATTAAAATGTCTATCATACTTTTTCATTTCCCTATGTTATGTCGAACTTACTTTTTTACATACCGTAATTACTTTCAGGGTCATATATCGTGGTTACACAAATCATGCAAAACAGTTTACTGTTGGGGTTAAAACGCAAGTACTAGGTAGTTAGGTGTTGGATTAAATCTGAAAACAATTGAGAGTAAAGTGCACAAAATCGTAGGCGACAAGTCACAATATTAGAAAATGTATTATGTATGGGGTAATATTGGCGTCCACGTTACATGTTTAACCTCATAAGATATATTTTTTTTTAAATTGTAATGGGTGATAAATAATTCAAATTTGAAAATTGCAGAAATAATAGTTTTTGGAATACCTATAATCACTCATATTTTTGCAAGTGCATTATATCGTCTAGAAAGAAAATGACTCTGTGCTGTACATTACTGTTTGGTGAGTATGCTTATTACGTTAATAGATTTTACAATTTATTAGATAGAAAACGGTCAATTAACTTAAAAATTATAGAAATCGGCTTCTGGCTTATATTTTTTCATAGGCCAGAAGTTTAGAAATCGTGACCTAAATTGTTTTATTTTTGTAGTTTTGTTAGCAACAAGTTTCTTCAGCGAAGAAGTCGACGCAAGATCGTTCCCGACTTTTTGTTCAGATATTTACAACACATTGCCTTCTCCGATGTGGCGACAGCTATGTGGTGAGTGCAAGAATTGATGGTTTTTGATGCTTCAACGTGAATCCGAAAGCTCGTTTGAAATCGTATCAACGAATTCTCGTTCTTTTGTTGTTGAATAAAAGAATTATTAGAATGAACCTGATTTGGAAATAAACTGTTGACCGGGATTTATATTAGTATTAATAGCACTTCGAATAGATTCTTTCGCGTTTTTTGTCGCCTCATTGAAACTATCTACACTGGGATACGAATTTGTTGCAATTTGAATCATGATTGACATCCATGCATATTTTGAGGCCCTACGCATATATTTTTGTGTTGAGACTGATGATTTCCATCAAAAATAGTTGGAATTTTTGATTAGCAGAACGGATGTTTTTTCAGGTCATGGCAACCCAGGACCATTCATACCAAGAACCGCAATGAAACGCGACGAAGAGAAAGAAGTTTCCCGCGCGCTCTTAGAAGAATTAGCCGAGCTACAGTCAGATGGAGAAGTAGAGAAAAGAGACGGATTCTTTGCTCCAAGTGACGACTACCTAAACAACATGATGCGTTGGTTAAAGCTAAATTCCTACAATCGACGATATTAATTTGAAAAAATTAATGGGAAGTGTTTTTGGACGAAAAAGTGTTCGTGTAAATTTTGAATGTGATTAATTTAATAAAGGATTGTGATATAACGATTTCGTCTTGATTCTTCTGAGATACGAAATACCTAGCGCATGCCTAAAATTCTATTTTTTGAAAAAAATAGAAGAAAGGTCGCAGAATTACTCATATACTCTTCTGTATTTGGAAGTTGTCCGACAAAACTGAATACAAAACAACAAAACATATATATACAAATATCTTCATCTTCTGTCTGGCTGAGATTATTTCAGAATATCCGTGTCATGTATTATCCGAGCCTCACGTTCGATCTTTCTTACTACAGCGAATTGGTTCCGAGTATGTAAAAATGTCCGTTTCTAACAAAAATTTCTGTATTATATATATGAAACATAACATTCTAGGATATGTCTTCATCTCTTAGCCAGATATTACAACTTTTAGTGCATCAATATTCATGCCAATGTGAGTGTTCCGACTGGGAACAAAAGTGTCTGCTACTTTTCAAATTAGTGGCTAATTACCTACTCCAGAAGAATACAGTTTTTATAGTTTTGGAATTTGGATTGTTGAAAGCCATTTCTGCACGGATTTTGCAAATCTGAGGGCGTGTCAACAAAATAACATTTAACTTGACTGTTGGCTTTACCTTGGCCTTTTCTGAGACACTCAATTATAATCATGACTGTAATTTCATAAAATAAAATTAGGAAACTTGAAATCAAATGGCAATGTAATAACATTTATCACTTTGTTGCTGAGAGTTTCACACTTACTCCTATGTAAGAGTATCATATGTTTTCAAAAAATTTTCATCATCAATGATTACAAACATTTCAAGGTCAAAAACAGTAACTGCTATTACAATCTGTTGACAAAACACCTGAGCTAGCCCTAAATCAGGAATGTTTGTATTTTTGATCTTAGTTTAATTCGTTGTTGATGTTGCGATCAGCAGTTGTCGTATGTTTTGACAATTTACACATTCTATTGTCTGTTACACGGGTAGTGCACAATAATTTTGATGCCTGCTAAATTTAAAAAACACAGATTCCAAAAAGTCATGCAGGTGGGCGAGGTCGTTACAAAATCTGCTTGGAAGGCTGGCGATTGCAAGTAATACGAGTGAGTGATCGGACAGGGGTTTTGTTCAACAACGACCTTGCGTGCAAGTTCGAGAGAATGTATCTGACTACGCGACTAACTAAGTGTTTGTAAGATCTTTCATGAATCACACATACGGAATGAAAGACACAGTTACGTCTCGTAAACCTTGCTTTTTACGAAGCATTCAAAACACTCAAAATAGTTTATTTCACTCGCGATTACAATATTGCATACTTAGTTGGGGTTTATTAAGTCTTTATTGCAGCCAAGGGAATGCTTTGAGAGGCCTTACCTGTTAATATAATCTGATTTAAGAATACAGGAACGTGATTGCTTGAAACTGAAATAAATGACCACGATGAAATGTACTTCATGTTTAAAATGATACCATTCAGCATGTTTTAGTGCCAGAGAAAGATTCATTGCCATGAAAAAGTCAACACTATTATAAAATAAGTCAATAGAGGAAATAATTAACAGTGATTGACTTTTTTCTATGCGGTTCAGTGTCCAAGACCGACCGAAGAGACCATTTTCATGACGAAGCATGAATATCGCGATTTCAAATGTATGCATTTCACATAGCTGTAATATAATAAAATGTCGATACATCTGGAGATTGATTAAACGTTTTTTTTTTCGAAAAGCATACACCTCAATATTTTATTTCACAAAACTTGTATTGGCTTGTATCAAAAATAATTCGGGGATAAACAAATTATAGATGTTTTTATACATGGGATACATGAGCGTAAATAAATTAAAGGTCAAGCAAGAATGTAATGTTCGTATTACTATTGAATAAATCAATAAACTAAGCAACAAACTCTTCCCTACAACGTGCTGGTCTGCTGCACGAAAGTCCTCTCAAAGCAGTCCCTTGGCTGCAATAAAGACTTATTATAACCCCAACTAAGTATGCAATATTGTAATCGCGAGTGAAATAAACTATTTTGAGTGTTTCGAAGTTCAAAATATTACTCAAATCTGTAAAATATTTCTACAGTTTGAGATGATTCAGTTCGGATAATTCAGCAACGTGTGAATTTCGTGTATATTGGGCCATCCAGTGTAACAATGAATATTTAATATTTTTGGTTCGGTTATTGCCCAAATCTACTCTAAATTGGTCAGTTAACGCGTTGAAAAATAGCGAACAAGAAAGAATGAATGGTTTTCCTCGAGCATTTATCTACTTTCTTGTTTATTTCCGTAACTTGATCTAATCAATAAGGTGCTTAATGCTTATAATGACGCACCGATGAAAATTTTTTATTTTTGTTATCATATTGGATGATTTTGTTTATATATATTGTTGCAATGCTTGTTGGCAAAACACTAAATCTTTATCAATCAATCAATCAATCAATTTTATTCGGTCACTCTGATACAAACAAAACACAAAACAACAACAAAGGGACAAACAAAATACAGAGGACCTGGAGGATGGGCATAACTTAATAAAAAAGTTAAATACGTACAAGTACGTGCCCGTCCCCCCAAAACAGGCAAAACACAATAAAACAAAAACACGATGTGACATCGGGCAATATCTTATAATTCAAATTAAAATGTGAGACGTGTATGTGCTTTTCATATAAAGATACATGGATTAAAGAACACTCGCTGACGAAAAATGGTGATGTTGTGGGCCTACTTCAATTATATAGCAAAAATAACACAGTGACAAATTTTTTTTTTACTAAAAAACAAGCTTGGTAAATGGATTGGATGTTCCATAGCAGTCTATGCACAAATCATGGATTGGGGTGTTAGGTTCTTTTGTCGTTTTCGGTTAGTTCACTTAAAAATCATCGTATCCGTTCCAATGCTTCCAACATTAATATCGAATTTCCACGAACGACCACCATTCACCACCATTTATATAATACCTCTAGCCACTCAGACATTTTTTTCACATAGTCATAGTCAAGTTTATTCATTCCCATTCAGTAAAAAATAACATACGTAATTAACAAAATACAAAACTGAAAACTCATTTTTACTGGGAAAGAAAATTCGCGGGGAACCAGGAATGGTTATCGAGCAGCGACACCCTAGTTTCAATATCTAGCTTAATTTGTAAGGAAATTACGTTTTTAGAACGCTTTTAATATGAATGAGCATGGCTTTGGCAGCTGAGCATTAGCTCGTTCTCGTGGTCTTTCTGAATGTTTGTCAGTTTTTAGGCGTATTCCCAAAATTTAGGTATAAAGTGAATAATTCAACAATCATTTTGTTTTCTGAAGAAATTTTAGTTTAGATTAGGGTTACCATATTTGGAAAAGCAAAATTCCGGACAGTGCATGACTATGTCGCACAACCTTAGTCCTAACCGGTACACAAAAACTATGTTCAGGTTGTGCGCCATCTTGGTGCGCATACTTCTTTCCGGAGGTCCCCCTTTTTCATGAGACCATATATATGCGCTACCAAAATGCTAAGGCTGTACGATACTCATGCTGACGTTGTGCGATACTCATGCTAAAGCGCCAGCTACCGAAATGAAAAGTATTGTCTTCAGTCACAAGCAGAATCTCACACCAGGCAGGTAAGCACACTCTAAATATAGCTACGGGCCGTCGACTGAAAAAATCTCAACTTCAGAGTGAAAAATAAGAATGAGAATTAGATTGTGCCGAAACGGAAGAACAGCAATTACATGCTTAAAACAAATTAAAGACAATCACTACAAATTTACTCTTCTGACCATGCATATTTTTCTGAAGATCTAATTTTCTTCTTGTCTGATTTCAAAAATGAAAACAATTCACTACAGTGCATATCTTTGAAATTATATTGGAGAGTCAACATGCCTTTTATAGTCGCAACTTGTTTCTCTCTTTAGTCCACTGACTTTGCATCAGTGAAAAGACTCTCTCTACATTGGCATTGTGGGATGTAACAGCAAAGAAAAACAGTTCAATCCTTAAAATTTCGGAGTGGCATGTGATGTTCGTAGACTGATCGGAATATTTGCACCATTCTTCGTCTTGTAGGTAACTTTCCACAAACTGCTTCAAGTTACAGAATTGGTCAAAGCATTTATCATCGTCCACATCAACCCGTTTACTAATCAGATGTTCCAGGCAAGACTTTACATCAGGGGTCGGCAACCTTTTGTCGATCGCGGGCCAAAACCAAAGGTTGCAAGTCATTGGCGGGCCTCATATTTTTAGAATGTTGAAAACCGAACGGATAGCCGATGAATCACACTTTTTCACACAGATCAGAAGTTAAATTTAGAGCAGCGCACGAAGACTGACCATTTGAATATTTTCTGCACCATTAAACCATTTGCGCTAAGCATCAACTTTTCTGCGATTTGTTGCCATTTGTGTAACTATAATTAAACAAGAGAGCTATGCTCAAATATATGGACACGTAGAGTCACATAATTTTGATGACGTCATAGCGAAAAAAAAAGTAATAGCCTTCTGGAGAAAATTTTTATCTTTAACCACTAAAAATTTCAAAGCAATTGGTCCAGTATTCGAAGAGAAAAGCGACTTTTTAAAAACGTGTCAAAGAACAACAAGAACAAGAACAAGAACAAGAACAACAACAACATAATATTGAAACGATCGTTATGTCCACTACGTGTCCAATTATAGGGTCATTAAACGCGCAATTGTGAATTATATACTTGTTAGGTTATAACATAATTTAGCCTACGCGTGTCGCAAAATTAATTCTGTTACGTAAAGAATATAATCGTTAAAACAGCTGTTTTGTTACTATAATCCAGTGAAGCGTCGCGGGCCGGATTATATTGCTCCGCGGACCGGATCCGGCCCGCGGGCCGTAGGTTGCCAACCCCTGCTTTACATCCTTCCAACTTGGTATCTCGTTCAAGGTTATCCATTTGAAACAAGTAAACTTTTCCATTGGTTTCATCCATTTGCACAGGTACTCCAAGCATCTCTCATAGACGTTTGCAACTTTAACACCATTGATAAGGAAAACGCTCTGTTATATTAAAATTACATACAACCTCGTAGTAAAAATATGCGCACGGTACGAAATAACAATGTTCTGTATTAGCAGTGTGCACATTACGATTGCAGATGCAGTGAAATTCCGGACATTTGAGCATTTTTTAAAATTCCTCCCGGACGCAAAATTTAACCATAAATTCCGGACATGTCCGGAATTTTCCGGACGGTATGGCAACCCTAGTTTAGATGCCGTAATCAAAATTTAGTCCCGAAGCGGCGATAGACTATGTTGAAATATTCTCCCATTACCTACTTTTGAACGGCAGGTGGTTGAAAATTTCGAATAAAAATGATAACTTGAAACATACAAATCAAATTGTATGCGCTAACTCGCAAAAACAGTCTCGTAAAAGCATCAGACATTTTGCAAGTAAAATGTAAAGAATTTTTCTGGGTCAAAGGTCGAGGACAACTCATCAGTCGTCACTGGGCTGCTACTTCAGATGTTTTATATCTAGATCTAGATGTTTTTTTCAAGATCTAGATGTAAAATTTGGAGCATGTATGTTAGCTATAAAATCTAGATATATTTTTTTCAAGGTTCTAAATATTATTCAGTGGGAAATAAATAAAGAGATGTGTGTAATACTGTAATAGGTGAATGAATATTATTTCATTATTTAGAAGTATTGATGTAAGATTGATAAAACAGTACCGTACCGTACCGGTACCGGTTTTTATTTACGATAAAACTTATTCATATTGTATTCGTCCACGGGTACCATACAGCCATATGTACTTAAAATATTTGAATAACGAATTAAACATGTTTAAAACATGTGACGTTTTAATTAACGTTAAGTAGAAAGGACGACGTTGGTCCGATGATATTGTTGCCAAGGCAGCAAGGGGTTTTAAAATTATTAAGTTATTTAAGTCTATAAGTCGGTGGTTCTCAACCGGGGGTCCGCCAAGCATTTCCAGGTGGTCCGCGATTAAATTGTGATTTTAGGAAATTATTTGCAGTTTAATATCGTTTTTTTGTAATACAGTAATACGCTCGAACATTTGCTGCGTATGACAATGTGACAATAGCCTACAAAAACTATTTTGATTCATCTCCTGTGAACCTATTGTGACAAATACAAGTTATGACAGCACAATGATAAATACGAGAACGCAGCTACAGTGATCACTTTCTCCGTTTTGGTGCGCCATTTTGCCGTCCTACCCATAAGTATCGATGGAAGCATTACGTGTTATTGTTCCATTCGCCTCCCCTTACCTTTGTGAAAGCGGATTTTTTGCTCTCGTTCATATCAAATTCAAGGCTCGTCACCAACCAAACGTCGAAGACGATTACGTGTTATTGTTCCATTCGCCTCCACTTGCTGACTTGTGTTTGTGAAAGTGGATTTTCTGCTCTTGTTCATATCAAATCCAAGGCTCGTCACCAACTAAACGTCGAAGGCGATATGCCTCTATCGTTATCAAAAACACGACCACGTATTTCAAGACTTGCTTCTGATATGCAACAGCAGAAATCGATTATGTATTCGAATCGAAGTGTATTCGATTTGACAAAATAAATGGAAATGTCCACTAGTTTGAGGGTCTTACTACTTACTGAATACAGCGCAAAGAGCGCAAAACCGCACGAAACAGTGCAAAATAGCGCAAAACAGCGCGAAACAGAAGGAAACCAGCGCAAAACAGAGGGAAACAGCGCAAAACAGGAGACGCAGTCATTACCACCTCCTGCCACGAAAGAACCACGGCGCCTCTCGCCATGGTTTTATGGCGCTATTTCCGGTATATTTACAAGGTTATGTACCGGATTATAGGTCATCATGCGAAATTTTATCTACCTTTTTGGTGCTCCAGAAGTATGTGCAGCAATATGTCGCACAACCTGAATCCGCTACACACACACATACTATTTTCAGGTTGTGCGCCATCTTGGTGCACATACTTCTGGAGGTCCCTTTTTACCTTAACCCCTGACCCTAAAGCAAACCATATCCATATGGAAAATGTTTTAAATTATGGTACCCAAAATGTGTCACCAGCAGGGGCAGACCTGCCATTACAGCATTACTGGCTACATACGTTGGTTTGTGTTTTTAATTTGCTGCCGTGGTACTCAACTCAAAACGAGGTGCCCCGAACTCATTGCAAAATTTTTTTCTGCTTCATACTGTTTCCCTCTGTTTTGCGCTCTTTCATGCTGTTTCCCTCTGTTTTGCGCTGTTTTCACTGTTTTGCGCTCTTTGCGGTGTTTCGCGCTGTATTCAGTAAGTAGTAAGACCGCTAGTTTGGTGTTATTTTTTACTTGGTTAAATCTGTATGGAACATTAGGTTGCTGTTTAAGTTATAAACTAAATTTCAAATAAAAAACTTTCGAGGGGTCCGCGACCGATTTGAGAGCACCAAAAGGGTCCGCAAAGACAAAAAGGTTGAGAAACACTGCTATTGAATGTGTCTCTCTTTAAAGTCAACTTTTCAAAATGCCAAAGTGTATATACACTACCAGCAAAAATTTAGAAAAGATTGGCTTAAGGAATGGTTTGCCCATTCGGATGATAAGAACAAGGTCTTTCGTAAGTTCTACGGGTGGGAATTGAATTCTAGGTGATGATGTTAGCTTCTTCGACATCTGATATTACTGTATTGTGGTTACTTTTCATTAAATTTAATGACTTCATATCTAGATGTATTTTCTAGATGTATTATTTTTCAATCTGGATGTTTCTAGATGTTTTTCCGAGGTTCATCTCGATATTTTTAGTCAGGCAAAAGTGGCAGCCCTGAAGTCCTCTTGGTAGCAGAGTTGTCTCTGGGATATTAGTACAAATTTTAAACATATTTCTCAAAATCCTCCAATAATAGCAGAAATATGATATACCGTAACACTGGTTGATAGTTGAACTTATATAGATGGGATATTATTACAACAGAACAATAGTGGCACATCTTGACGTGACCGGTACGGTACCGTATATCAAGGTACCCTAGACCTGGACGTGACATACGGTACAGACATAGGCTAGCCTATCACTGATTTGTATTTCAACTGAATTTACTACGGTAACTAGCCTAAATCAGCAATTACCGTATCTTTTTTTTTACCTTGCCATCAATCTATGAAACTTGTAAGTTGCGGAGAGTATAAAACAACAAAAAAATTTTCTTTATGTCCCCCCACTGTCTCCTGGTCTCATTCTGATATTTAAGAATGAGAGTTTATTGTTTTAATCAGTTTTTAACGGAAACTATATAAAGCCTTTAGGTATTTTAACTTTGCTTCCCGAGAAATAACGTGGTATTTTCTCATCTTTGGTTGTGTAATGTCGCTTAGAATTATACTCTTTTGTGACAGACTAGACACACTAGACACTGAGGTTCAACGTTCTTACTACTTCTATTTAACTTGGGATAAGTTTTGAAGTTGCGGAGAGTTAAAAATAACAAAAAACACTATAAGCCCTCAGATTTTTTTCAAAATTTTTTTGTTATTGAATGGGCTATTTTTCAAAACTGCCAATAAAAGCAGCATCACAATACACTAGGTGAAAAGAAGAACATGTTTAGATTTGGTTTTATTATGGCAACCAAACATTGATTCTTTTTTCGTTTATTCTTCAATTTTATGAACAATGTAGATGTAACATAACATATTTCAAACAGATTTAATATTTCAACCCAATTACCTAATGATTCAATAATTGTCCATCTCAATTGTCGTACATGGATACTGTAAATTTTTTAGAAACCACCATTCTCAATGGATTTTCGGCTTAAAACTAGAAGCCTTAAAAATTTGATAAGCCAGTTATGCAAGTCGATGCACAAAGTAAATCCATTACACAATTTTTTTATTATCGAGTTTGAGAAATTCTGTTCTAGGTCAAGCATCTGAGCTAAATTATTTGTTTTTTTCAGTTATTCCTCCAGTTCTGACTGAAATTATTTGGATATTCTGAATAAGTTTGCTTTTCTAAAAAATTATAAATGTAACGATTCAGCAATTGGGTAAGGTAAGGTCTATTACAATATATTATGAAATCTTACTCAGGCTGGTTCTATAGAGCGAGGTCTCTGTTAGGGCAGTAGGGTAAACTTCTTCTGAAATATTTTGATTAGTCCTCTCAATTTGATGTTAACTACCGGTACTTCAGGCCCTGGAGGAATATGAGACTGTACGAGAGAATGCATATGGTGGTAGATCGCGCTTTAGAGCAGCACCTAACTTCATTTCAATCTGTCAGTTACTATATTATGTTGTTTTCAATCTAGTTGATAAATTATAATTATTCACAATTATAATTCTCTGAACAAGACCTACATACATGATCCACAATGGAACGCGGAGGAAAGAAATTTAGGAAGAAACGTTCTGGGAAAGTGAGTCTGCCTTTTTCGTCTTACACTCTTCATTGTTACTGTATTACGTCGATATAGTACCATATGCTATTATTTCCTTCCTGATATTGTGGAACGGTGCTGTCACATCCCGCGTCAATTATATTTAGCGTCTGCATATTACGGTTCTGAAGTGCCTGCTGTTTTAATTAATTTTGTTGTGGTTGTGGTCTTGTTGAACTAATATGGCGGCTGTTTTTGCGTTACCATTTAATGAGAATGTTGGGAAGAAAAAATTAGAAGAGGAAAATAAAAATGATTTTCTTGATGAATGTATTGTGGTGAGAGAATTGTGTAGTTTATTTCGAATTTTCAACCTATAAATATTCAGAAAGCATGCACTATGATTACTGTATTACTAGTTTGTATAATGTAGAATGTTGATTTCGGATCATCAACCGAAGTGTTCTTTTGCCATTCTTTTCTGAATATTTTTTGTAAAATTAGGTTTAAATTCAAATTCTCTTTTTTAATATAGAGCACAAGTCTGCAAACAACAAAACTTGATATGGAAATCACCAAGTTTTTGAGGTTTAATGTCCCAAGAAAAAGTACAGTAATGCAAAAACAAGCAGTGGAATATTTTCTAGGTTTGTTTTATATAATTCCATATTTCAAAGATTTTTATAGATTATTGCTTCATTATTTATCGACTAATATATTCACATCACTATAATATTCAAGTTTATATTGGGCTGTGATTTGTAAATTATTGTCAGCCAGCTCGTTATTAATTACTTGTAGAACCTGTTTAATGATTTGATAATTGAAGCAATCAAACCACAGCTTCAAGAGATGAGAAGTCTAATTTGATTGATTCAATGAAAACAATTTTATTTAGCTGTCTGACTGAATCTACTTTTCAGATGTTTCTGGACTTAAAAATGACTTTTTTTGGTTTATATTAGAGTAAACTTTCTAATACATACATTAAAATGAGTTTTCCACTTTTTACCTAGGAAATAAAGCAGTCGATACTTTATTGGAGTCAAAATGGGCTACTCGCAAAAAAGGAGTCGATCAGTTATTTGTTTGTAGAGAAGATGCAATTACTTATTTAGATGAGTAAGTATTTCAATTCGTAACTGTAAAAGCAGTCAAGTAGTTGATAATTGATTCAATTAATATAATTAAATAAATTAATTGTAATTAAATGGATATATACTTGAACACTTTATTTGATGCTTCTAAATAGCAACAGTCTTATGGTGACCATGATCATGAATACACAAATGATATTCTATAAAACAAAAGTTGGGATTAGGCTATTTTATAATCAACCGCGATGTTTAATTCTGAAAATTATATTTTTAAATTTTTAAATAATCCATTTCAAAAGCGCTTATTAATTTCTTGATTTGACCTGCTTTTACTGGATATGCTATATTATCTGTAATAGTAAGGAACTAGTAGTTTCAATTTCAAACTTTTTTTACTTACTCATCAGACTACTGCGGAAGAGCTTATTCTATAGAGTGGAAAAAATCGAGCTGGGGTCAAAAAACAAAGGCGATAAAAATGAAGTGTCAAAAAATAAGACAGACAAAACAGAACAACAATCTGACAAATCTTCTGAAAATAAAAATGTTGTAGAGGAAGTACCTGCCATACAAGAAACAACTTTAAGACAAAGAAAAAAAGATAAAAAAACTGAAAATACTGAAGATGACAAAACTGAGGATTCGGAATCAAATAAACCAAAGTTGAAATTAAAAGCCAAAGACAAGGTGTGATTGGTTTATATTTTTGTGGAAATTTTACCTTAATAATGTTGAGTGTACTAGAAGATGTCATAGAGGTCTAATTTGACTAGGCGAGCTTTGTATCTAATTATACCCTCGAAACTAGTCATTTTCTCATTAAATTGTTGCTTCTCTTATAATTATTGTCAATTGAAAATCTGTAATAACTTTCAATACTGTGAACAAGACAGTGCATTTGGTAAAATCCTGTTCCAAATCGGACAATTTGATGGCCAGGCATTTCATCTAATATTGTTCCTCCAATAAATAAAACTACATATTCCAGTTTTCTGTCGGCTTTGGGAATGTTTTTATTGATATTGTATCCGAAACTGAAGATCGAATTTCAGACTTTAAAGGATGATGTTATGAGAAATAAAACTTGTAATCAAAACTCAAAAAGTTTCAAGTTTAAATAAGCATTCTCAACAGATAAAAATTGCTAACACTCGCCAATGTTTTCGCTGGCAAAATTTGGTTTTCTTGGTGCTAGACTGCTACGATTGTGATCGAAAGAAGTCAGCCAGAAGTTTTCGAAATGGCTCGAGAGTCTGGATTTAGATTCAGGTGTAAAATTACCCCAACTCATAGTCATCAGCTTGTATTTTTTTTGTAAAATATTCCGACATCAACTTTTTTCTCTAAATCAAAACAGTTGATTTTTCAAAAACTTTCATCAAAATTACAAAACATTCAATTAGAAAAAATTTGGGATGACGCAATATGTGTACTCTTGACATCCATTTTACCTTAACCTTCTCACACAATTGAACGTAACCATGACAATCATATGCACACAATCGAACGTTCGATGTCCTTTACTATACCCTAGTTGCCTCGCCATGACAACCTTGTGAGACTGTCTCGCACTATAATTCCCATGGTTACGCAGGCTGTGGTTCTTTAGTCGATTTTTTTTGTTGAAACGACCCGCCTGATGCTGTCACAATCAAACTAAAACCAAATTTTCATGTTTTAGTTGGAAATAGCTCAAAGAATTTGTTGAGATTACGAATAAATTTAGTTCTGGCACGAGGCTTATTGTTTTCCAATTTTACTTATGTAACACTGTAAATATTTATCATAAAATGTAACTTTTTACGTCACACTGACATAGCCCGCCAGTCTAGGTAGGCACAATTTTTGGCCCCTGGTCCAAAAACCTTGCCCATCCCTGATTCATCCTGTACTTCATTTATCTAGAAAACCAAAGAAAAGCAAGTCACAAAAGTAAAGAAGAGATATAAGTTGATTCCTCATAATGAGCAGAAATTTTTTGATTCAAAAGATATTTACATTTGGACATATAATCCTGTCAGTTGGAAAACAATTATCATGGGTAAGTGGGATTTAATATTAAGAATGTCATGCAATCAACAGTCATTTGGAGCATATTTTCAAGGAAACCTACCGTAGTTTTTGTACAAAGCCTCCTAGATTTTTGAAACTTCCGGGTAAAATCATTCACAAACAGAAGTTCAAGAAGTTTAATTTCAGTCAACCACAAATCTCAATGTTGAAAAGCCAAAATGCCCAAAAACTATGAGGTTATGCTTTGAGCCGCATCGTTCAGAGTAAAATAGTATGTACTATGTATACAAAATTGTTGCAGCATAGTCGTCCAATTTTTGACTCTTGAGTGGTGAGGTATTCACTGGATATAGATTGATCTTTGTTCACTGACATCTTTATATTTCAATGCAAAAGATCCCAATATTCTTGCCGGATGCCTGTATAATTTTCAATCTATTGCTGATTGTTATCTATTCATTTTCTAGGTATAGCAGTATTACTTTGTGTTGTTGCTGCAACTTTATTTCCACTATGGCCACCGGAAGTTCGACTCGGAGTTTATTACTTATCAATTGCCGGTGGAGTATTTATTGGAGCTATATTTGGAATCGCACTTGGTAAATTATTTTATGACGTTAGATTCGATATAAAAAAAACTTATTAACAAAAGACTCTAATATAGAAGTACATTAATTTTTTATTCAGAAGCGAAACCGTGGAACTTTGGTTGTCAAAAACCACCAATTACAAATTGATTTATTGCCTTATTTCATCAACTATTTTTAAGTAGAAAAGTATGTAGTACAACTAAGTAGAAAAATATGCCTTGGGCATTTCAAAACTACAATAATTCAAGTTTAATGAATAATAAAGTAACGCTGGGTTGGGGTTAGTAACCCTAACCCTAACGTTGAAATAGACAGCATGAGAAAACAGAGAATACTATGCATATTTTTGATTTTTAACATGTTCTGAAATACCATTACTTTGCTTAATATTGATTCAATCTAGGATTGGACACTAGCTTAGAGAAATCTGTTTCTTTACAATATTTTCAAATAAATTTTATTTTTTCATTTTAATAACACTTGTCTTGAATCCCTCAACTTGGTTTAACATTTTCCCAGCAAATAATGATTAAAAATATTAAGATGTTCAAAATGTAAGTTACATCATAAGTGACGTTATCATTCTGTATATCCATTTGATAATTGTTAAAAAAGATAAAAATCATAAAATATCACAGAATCCTTTTTCCTATATCTTATCTTGGTGATATTGCTTATCACAGAGTTATTCAAAATATATTTCTTTTAATTTAGACACTTATAAAACATGTTTTTCATCTATTACAGCTCGCTCTATATTATGGACGATTATTTGGGTATTCACTGGAGGGAATCATCATTTATGGATTCTGCCGAATCTGCTGGCTGATGTCGGTTTTTGGGAATCGTTCAAACCGTATTATACATATGAATACAAAGGATCCAAAGATAAAAAAGATGAAGATGAGGAAGATGACGAGAATGAGGATGAGGAGGAACAGAGAGAGGGAGAAGATGAGAATGAAGAGAATAAAGAAGGTTGGTGTGATACTACATAAATAGTTTCATAATTTGTGCTTAGCTGGAAATAAGTTTATCAAATTGTGACAACTACATAAATCATTATTTCTCATCTACTGGTGGTACATACCGGTACCTACCCAACTCTTTTTGATATATTATTTTTTTTGTCATAGCTAGTGTTACAGGTAGCTCCCATTCTAACTTTTGAACAATTGGAGTAGTTTATAATGTGTGCATAAATATGTATTACAATAATAATGATTAACTAACCAATATTAGTAATACTACAGTGAATACAGAGAAAAATTTCTTCATTTCGTCCCCCAAAACCAAAAAAATTTCTCCCTGGACAGGAAGCTATATTGTGACGGAGCAAGGATTCAATTTTTAGCTGATGTAGTAATGTTACAGTCAGGAATGACGTACACAAAAATTGTTATTCCACGCCTACTAGATGTATTTGTGGTACTGAGCTATACACTACACCCACAGGTATGGTAATCGTACCATAACTAATTCCAGCTTTGTTCAGAATATTGTTTTGGGGAAATTATGGATGAAATATTTCGTTTTGGATTCATGTCCATTTATTTGAGCATTGCTCTCTTGTATTAAATTAAAATTTCGTCTGACGGGCAATTTTATGATACATCCTTGTTTTATACAGATGGTAATGTGCAAAAGAGTGGGCTTTATAATGAGGAGAATCAGGAAAATGAATCTCTTGAAGAACGTAAAACTGATACTGGAGCTACCACAAGATCTGAAGCCTCTACGGAACGCTCCGGAAGCGAATCGTGACGCAACAAAAATTTGTTTCAGTAACATTGAGGTTTGCCTAAATCCTGCCTTAATATATTTGCTGTGAATGTGCTAGTGAAAAGTACGCGAAACTATTAAAACAATTTATATTCTGCCTAGTAGCGTTCGATACTCACTATAAATAAACATGTACATTGGTGTGGTATTAATACCAAATTTTGACTTTTTTCAATGAATATAGTTGAATTTGACATATGGTTTTGCTTGTAATTCAAATTACAATTGTCTAAAAGATGGGAATCTGAACTCATTTTGGTGATTATTTGGCATGGACAAAATACTCCACATTCTTAGGCTATGGAGTTGCAAAGTGTGAGTTGGGCATATTTTTTTATTGATATTGGAATTTGAGTCATATTGCGAACAGCCCACCCACCAAGAGTCGTCAGTTTAAGTTTAATTTCAGATTTTTAATGGTGCTAATCAAGTCAAAATTCATCTCAATAATTCCAAAAGCATAAAGTTCACTGAGCTTTCTCAACTCAATAGACAGTTAAAGAAGACTTGCATACACCAAATTTTTTGTGAAAGTAGTGTCGTTTTTTACTTGGTACCTTATTCCGGATTGAGTTGAGTCAGCTTCAGCTTTCATCTCCCTCACCTTCAAAGATTATTGAAATATTCACAATCATCAGCAGATTCCGGTCATTCTGACTGTTTCTGCCTTGAATTGTCTTTTGTTTATCCTATCATATGGTACAATGATGGTATTTGATTTGTCAAACAGTAGCAGATTGAATTATGAAGCGAAATGATGGTGATCACATGACTATTCCATTGTGTTCCAAGAATGCTTCCACGTATGCACATAAAGTTAGGTCATGTTTTGTTGCCCTGAAGCAATTTGCTGCATATTTGCAGATCAAATACTATTTGGATATTTCAAAATATTGTGAGAATCAGACTTGACACTGAAAATATTGCGTTTGTTACCCATTTGTAATTTCAAGACTATGCCTGAATGCATTCTAATATATTATATATATATTATGTGGATGAATTTCAATTGATTATCGCAGCCATGTGTAAACCTTGAGAATCTGTCTCCACATTTTTTCACAAGATTACTATTATTTGAAATTATATATTTACACAAATAGTTTAGTTCTATATTACTTGTTTTTGTTTCTGTTCAAACTGCTGCTTTTGGTCATATTTTAGCTGCTAAAATTGAGGGTAAAATTTGATAATGTATATTGAGTTCAAACTCCCTTTCAAATTGTTGTCATGATAGAGAACCAATTTTTCATGATTTTTCTTGCAATGCATGTCAGAAGTCTGAGTGTTTCCTGTTTTTTTTTTTCTTCTGACATACAAGAGGTGTTTCGTATCATATATGGTGGTGTTCTGTTCTAGTGAACATGAGGATATATAAATTCTTGCTGGATGGAATATTGTTTTGTTAATTATTTTGCGAAATATTATTAGAGTCCTGCCGAACTGTTGTGTCAACTCGGAGCGTTAGAAACATGCTCGCTATCGCACCACAGATTGACAGATTCAGATAATATATTTCTATCATGCAAGAATCAACACAAAAATTAAAGCACGTAAAATTTACAAACGTGTATAATGACATTAGTAAAAAATGTAATTATACACATAACTTGCGCGGAATCGACAGTTTGCACATTCTGCTAAGCTTGGGAAACACATTTGCCATCGTACCTTCTACCTTGCTCGGTCGACGGTGTGGCGATCATTAGGAATACGCTCGCCATCGCACCTATGTTTTTACCTTGCGTGGTTTCGCAGGTTCGAATCCCGTGAGGGAATAAATATGTGCGAGAGGATTGTTGTACTCCTCGCCAGCTTACAGTGGTACACGTAACTGCTGGTCGGTTACATCTTCCTCCGACATCAAGTCCATGTATCTGAAATAAAGAACAGGCAAACTAATCCCATGCCCGACATGGACTGGTTTATCATTGACGTACATGACATGTGCTGTTACCAGGACGGGAGCCTGTCGCATCTGTAACAACTGGGTAACTAATCCCTACCCGACATGGACTGGAAGCCGAAAGAGAGGCGTGGTTTGCCATACGGAGAAAGCCTTATCGACTCACCCCATACAATAAATGTGAAATTCCTATCCTATTTCTTGATTCCCCCGTAACGTGCTTCACCTAACTACACATTCTAGATCAGGGATGTGCAACAAGCGGCCCGCGGGTCACAAGCCGGCCCGCCAAGTCATTCAGTGTGGTCCTTGTCAACACTCAGATTTGTCCCCATCAAGCGTGAAATCCAAATCCCGACAATTTATGTTTAAAAGTCGCTCACGTGGGTAAAAATACATAATATTTTTTGCTCTTGTCGCTGCGTTGAATCTTTCGTCGATTTGCCCGGTTTCTTTTTTATCGCTAGGGCTAAGCAACAGCCACATTTTCTTCTCTTTCTTTCCCGCATGGATGAACTAAATTTTATGTGTGGCGCGGGTAGATGTCTCAAGTTGGTTATATGGTCCACCGACAAAAAATGTTGCACACGCCTGTCCTATATTAGCTATTGCGGTACCCGCTCTGCACCTATGGATTGTTTTGTTATAATGTTGTCTTGTTTTTGTTGTTCTTTGTCATAGAATTTGATCGTTATGCGAAAAATCGCTTTCTGGACCAATTGCTTCGAAATTTTCGGTGGTTAAAGATTATATTTTTCGCTACAAGGCTATTATTTTTATTTATTTCAAATATTTCTATGACGTCATCGAAATATGCGCACCTTGTGGTGGTTCCGCGAATGCATATCAGCGCGTCTCGTGCTCAGCAAACGCCGGCGGATCTCGTGTTTAGCGAAAGCGGGAAGTTTTTTTGGGAGCGATAGACTGTGGGATACACCGTAATCTGGTAATACAGAAGTTACTCTGATCAGTTGATATATATTTCAATTCACGTTGAAACTGGATCAAGAAGAATGGATCATCGCCACAGCACATGGAAAAGCTATGACAGTCTCTGTACCGTCACCGGTACCCCGATACAGGTAACTGGTAAGTACCGCATATGGTTTCCGGGCAATTGGTGATAAAATATTTCGTTTTGCCCCCCGTGTCCACATATTTTACCATAGTTCTCTTGTTCTCCATTCCATACCACACTCTCCCCTTTCTAGTCATGTTTCCAGCCAGGATGAACTGCAATTGCTTTGCGAGTCGGTTGCTCTCAACCTGATTCGATTCTCGTTTTTTTTGTAAAGCGAGACTCCGTGAATCTGACGCAATGTCAAAAAAGGAAACAATAGTAGGAGTTATATGAAAACATGTCTATTTGAAAATATGAACAATAGTCCTAAATAAACTAACACCAATAAAATATCAGTATTAGGAGGTGTTACAATGTTTTGGGGAATTGAACATTGGTTGTTTGGTAGTCTGTAAAGAGTGCCACTGTAAAGTCTCACGATGTATAATCGCCGTCAGTTCAAATTCCATGAACAAATATTTTTTCCGGTGTTATTTTTGAGATAATGATTGGTATGGATTTTTTTAGTTTGCACGAAGCAAACCAACAAATTATTTCACTGTTGTATATTGTACGGAAGATAAAAAAACAAACAGCAGAAATTTAAAGAACAGTCAGTAAGTCTCTGACAAAGATAACAATGAACTAGCAAATATATACTTTCCATTCAATAAAGGGGTAAGAAAAGGAAGAAATTATTTTGTTGGTTCTCCAATCAGTTTAACGTGTAATTAATCGCATTTTGTAGGCTATTTATTTGTCGCAGTTACAAAACTGTGCAAATTTTTGAAGACTTTTTCTTTGTGGAATTGGCGCCGGTATCAACGTTCTTGTTCGCCTCCTGATTCATGATATCTTCATATGTTCCACTGTCAAGAATTTCCTGTTGCCATGGAATCGGATTTCTGAAAAATAAATATATTTCCTACGAGCTATCCGAAACAACGCCACTTAAATAGGGACTTTTATAATGAAAAAATTCGACTTGGCTCAAGCCATGGACAATTTTCCCATAGATATATATATATATGTAATGCACTTGCAGTTTCTTGTTTTACATACGCTGCAACATGAAAATTTGAAATTAGCTTGATTTGTCACAAATACCGGTTGACTTGTTACTCTAAGCTTTCCAACTCGTTCTTGCTTTGATAAAAGAAAATGAAGGATTAGTTGGCCCATTTTAAATTTGTGTGGCCTAACTGTGGTTCAGTAAATGTAATGTTCGTGAGCGCTGTGTTCATACAAAAATACAATTAGAATCATCGATGGTATGGCAATAACAGCGTTTCCGATGAATGTAGAAATGAAAACTAAATCAAATATTAATATTCTAATTATTTCGTTTTTTTTTTGAAGAAGTAATAGTGAAAATATATCTACGACATTAATGGGTGGCATCGCAGTAAAATCCAGCCTACCACAGTAGTCCTATATATCATAAATATCACTAGCAAAAACGAACTATGAAATTGAATATATCCAACCTACCTTCCCGTTGAAAATCTCTCGTAAAATTCTTCATCTTTTTCATCCAATTTAACATTTTTTGCATAACTTTTCAGCCTGCAATTTAAAAGAATATTTCATCGATGCGATCTGGGACAAAAAACTACTAGCACTAGTATATACGATCTAAGGCGAAAATGCTAACAAGTCGATGGCTATATAAAATTTAATACTCAACAAAATCCTGCTAAATTAATTTGACGATACGCCAAATTGATGTATTGTAGGTTCGATTTTAGCCTTTCATTTTCGCCGTGCAATACGGGATATAATGCAAGAAATAAATAATGCATTTAACAAAAGGGACATCGGCTTATAGCAGTTAACGAGGAGTCGCGAAAGACCAGACAAGACATCTTGTCAGCAACACCATACTGAATAACAGCAGCTAACGTGTATATAAATCAACATTTGAGAAAAATGAAGAGACAAATTGTATCCATCCGCCACAAATATTTTGAAAGCATTCATACTATTCATTTATGAGCAAAATTGCATTTAATTAAAATTCCAGAAATTTCAAGAACATTTGAAACATAGTCTTGGCACATAGCCAGTATGTGGTTATTTGTTCAAGTCTAATTTAATAAATTGTTTCTAACAGTCTAAATGACATATTGAATTACAAATATGGGGACTGTATCGAGAACGTCACAATAATGTCGAAATATTATGAGCATTGAAATGTCCTCAATTTTAAATACCTTATATCCGAAACGTCGTCGGCATAAACCTCTTTGTCATTTGGCACAAATGGTGGTTGGATTTCCCCCGCCTCAAGTTTTTCCCAATCCATATCACTGAAGTACGGGTGGTTTCTTATTTCATGGGCAGACCTGAACGAAAATTATTATTTAAATTATTATACTTGAATTTGTGCGTCAAGATGTAACATGAAGATTCAACGAGGTCGGTGTATGTATTGTCAGTGTAAATTTCTCTGCAGGCAATATTTTAAATATTTAATTCAACAAATGACCATTTAAATAAATTGACCACAAAAATTGTTTCAATGAACATCATTTTAGCAAAAGGCCTGTCTATTAGTTTTGTCTGATATTGCTCATTGCTCCAAACTTTTCAAGCAAAACCAGTAAAGTAAAACAATATTTCTGGAAAATTATTTTCTGAAAGCTAGTTTACGAAATATATTCTCATTAGAACATAAATATATGTTTAATTGGACTGTATCTGACAAATTTTGATTCACTTTATGAATGAAAGTTTACAGATAACTGACTTTTCATCCTTAGCTAATCTGTCTTCTACATTTTTCTCCAGTAACTTTCCAATCAAATCAATAAGGTCTTTAGAATGATCCCGTTTGTAACTTTCCTTGGTTTGACAAGTTTTTTCAATAGTTTTTTGTTGATCCATCTTCTTAGAGACCTGTTCGAGAAGGAATAAAAATGTTGTGATAACATTGTTAGGCAGTCAATTCAGCCGGTGCATCAATAAAACGTACTTGACTGTGTTAATTATCAAGTAATGTCATATTTTTTCTATATATAACAAGATAATATTGAGTTTACACAGTTCAGATGAAGTAAAAGAGGCCCATGTTCGAGCACACAACCAAAAATTGTCACTACAATTATTGGTCACGATTATTGGAATTGGAACTATTAATTATTTTAAATTACTGATTTTGATGTTGTAAGTCTTATTGTTAATCAATTTTCTCCGTAACTAATGGATCAATTGATTTCAAATTTTCAAAACTTGATAATGGTTGAAGCCGCCAAAAGGCTATCATTTTTTTCTTAGTTTGCTTATGGAAATCCATATGACTCAAAGATTTGCTGTTTATTTTGATTAAAGAGAAATTCCTTTTTACTTTCATCACGCTTACCCGCCAACCTTTTCAGCAAAGTAAACTGAGGCTGTACCGCTGCCAATACGCGGCTTTCCAGCAGCGATGTGAAGTACTGCCGCGGTGGGATAGTATATTCAATTGAATTTAAATGATCAGATAACGGATTTTGGCTTGAGTCACATAAGCTACCGGCACTGCGACTGGTTATGGGACTTTCGCGTCCACATATTTGAGCCTTGCTCTCTTGTTCTACGTGATAATTGTATCGTTCAGTCTCACCTTATCTCGAACAAAAAAAGGATTTCTACCCTCACACATCTCATATATCGTGCATCCAAGTGCAAACCAATCCGCGCCATACGCATAAGGTTGTTTCATCAGCATTTCTGGAGGCATATAACCTATTGTCCCGGCTTTGCCTAGATAAAACAGAATTAAATGGAGTGAGTGTATATTCATAAGAATCAAGAAAATTGCCGTTAGTTTCAAAACGTCCCGAAGACTACAGTGACGGGACTGGAATTCGCTAATTTTATTATTTAATTTATCAATATGTCACTGTTGTATATATATGGGGTTATGCGAGAACAGTGCTATAGCTTCGACTGATATATTGCCCGATAAAAATGTTACTATTCTTGGATGACTCCGAGCACGTCTATTCCCGTGACCCCGTTTAAGCGCGCCACTTCTGGTCTGACTGCCATGCAGGTTGGTCGTGCGTTCGTTGTTCTGTACTATATTTCTGTCGGGAGATAAAATACTTTACGTCTGTCATCAGAATACGAAACAAAGTGTGTAGCTCAGGGTGGTCCAAACCCAGGCCCGCGGGCCACATGTGCCGCTGCTTCATTATCTGTGGCCCGCGTCGCATTTGCGCGAGGGTAAACAAAAAATCGCATTTGGTGTTGTTTCGTCATAAAAATAACCAGAAAAATCTTTTGACATATTGTTACATCACTAATTTCCCTGAATTGACTACTGTTTTGGCTAGCTGAGGCAACTAGCAAAGTTGAATGATGTGCTTGGCAGCTTGCCTAATGACTAAATATTAATGTTATGGCCGAACAATACAATTCCCGCCGGGTGGTTTTTTGTAACCAGCCTAAACAGTATTACAAACACCGCTGCCTATATGTCCGAAAATTAAGTAATTACCCTCCTGTATCTCAAATTTGGTTAAATTCGGTAATCAATCAATCTGCAGTTACTTGTAAGTTATTTTGTAACCATGAGTTTGAAAATAAAGCTGACCAATTCAAACATTTTTGACTGGGTGTGGGAGGGAAAATACCACAATGCTTGCTTGATATGTCCGCAAGTTGTGTCGGTGACAATCTAATACGGCACTTTCTCCTTATGGCACTTTTTTTAAATTTATTTAAAAGGTGAAATAAAAAGCACTTCGCAAAATAGCATTTCGTGCTGAACAATGGAAAATCTGTCACTCAAATGTTGTGAGAAAAAAAAAAACTTCACACTATTCAATGAATATATATATATGCTCTTTGCACTATTCTATTGCAGTAAAATTGCACACACTTTACCAATTCGCTACAGCCATTTTTTGTCGTCATGGCGTGAACCTGCTTGTCAACAACTCGGTTGTACTTTCAGTTTTGTTTTGATTCTCAGATTGGTAAGTATAGTATTTTGTAATGTGTTCAAAGTTTTCTTCCAGTTTGAATAATGAACCAATTTATGGCATTTCTATACTTCACCTCATATAGTATGTTTTCACATGTAAATGGTACATTTTTTCTTCTGCAAAGATTTCGAATGCTGGTTCGATATTGTTCATATTTTGGACAGTGTATTAAAAAATGTTCAGTGTCTTCAACTTCCCTGTTGCATTGGTCGCGTATTTCATCTACTATGGCACTTTCTCCGTTATGAAAAGTTTGAAATCTTACACTAAATGTATATACAGATTTTTGCACGTTTTGGTGAGTTTTTTTTTGTGGTTTTTGCATGCTTTAGCTTAAAAAAAATGTCAAATATTGATCAATGTATTTGACAATAAAAGTGTTTGTTTTGTATTGCACTGTTTACATATTCTTGGCACTATTGTGGCCCGCGAACAATACAAAAATAATAGTGTGGCCCGCGAGGTCGACAACTTTGGACCACCCTGGTGTAGCTTTACAGCACACGAGATCTTCTGAGGATTTACATTACACATCATTAGCGAGCACACTTATTCGTGGAACGCACAGCTACACTACAATATGCATGGAAATTAAGCACACTTTCAAAATGATAATTTATATATATTCTAACCCGTAATTTTTTCGCCTTCTTGAAGAATGCGTGCAAGTCCTAAATCAGCTATTCTGCAATTTCCTTTCCCATCTAGAAGTACATTCTCGGGTTTCATATCTCGATAGATGATGTTGTGTTTATGTAAGTGATCGATTCCAACAGTAATCTGAGCTGCGTACAACTTGCATCTTTCCTTGTTAACACCTTTGTTTTTCTTGTCTGTATAAACACGAAAATAAATCAAGTGCAAACCACTAAAAGTTGTTCCTGGGATTTATTCATTTCATCGACATTGTTTCATACCAATATTCTGCAAATAATAATAAATCATCTTCCTCCCGATCAATGTCGGAAAGCCAGTGAATAAGGAGTAACGTGTTAGTGTCAGAATTTTATTTTGTGTAGCCTACTCATTTTTTATTTGATTGTGCTTTACCTTTCATTTTATCGCCCATATCTGTATAACCCGCCTTGAGCCATATGAAATGAATCAACGCAACGTGCCAACGTCATATTCCCTTACCTTTTTTAACATGAAATTTCAAATCTCCACCGGTGAGCAACATCATAACCAGGTTGAGACAGGTCTTGTCGTGATAGGCGTAATATAGCGTTACGACGAAACGACTGCAGTAAAAATTATATAAAAACAAAAGGTAATTTCACAGGGTACAATATTGTTCCAGATTTAACGTTTAATTTGAATTGAGTTTATTGTTGTGAAAATTGGAAGTGCAAGTGGGAAGAAGTTGGCGTTTTAATTGGACTATCCGAGAGTCGATCTTATTTGCGAATTAACAAAGTCGTCAACGCTGATTTGAGCCCGTTTGAAATATGTTGAGAATTGAGACATCTGTACATCTCACTTTAAAAAGCTTCCCAGAAATCACATAATCTCACTTTAAGAAGCTTCCCGGAAATCAGTTGAGGTAGTTTGTCTTTGAAATTGATCTTAAAAATTCCTTTACTAATTAATTAAATATCTTACCTATTTATTTTTTCCAGCACTAGTTTTTCAATTAAAACTATGCTTTCGCTTCCAGTTGCCTTCATTTGCTTTTTATTAATTTGCTTGCACGCATACATTGTGCCTGTGATATTTTCCTGAAAAAATCATACTTTGTAAGTCAAGATATATATTTGAACAGCTGTGATGATAAAAAAATATGAATCAACTTCATGGAAAAATATATATATTTTGCTTGCTAACCAGAAGAAGTGAGAGACTTAATTTCCACAAACCATGCTAACATTAACAAATAATATGAAACAATATTAAAAAAGATTGTATAGCAATAGGGTGACCAATTCAAACATTGTTTTATATATTTCAGTATGCAAGAATCGATACCACAGAGAAATAGCTTATCGATAACATTCACTTTCCGCCCATAACATACTGTGCATATTTCAACCAACATTTATCTATTGTAAAAAATTTAAAAGTATATAAAAAAAATTTTTATTTGTTATTTATCAACTTAATTTTAAAGTTTGTATCACTTACTTGATAAGCGTAAACTTCTCCAAAACCTCCTCTTCCAAGCAAACGAAATTTTGTGAAACAATCGTTCGTAACGGGTTGTTTTTCTAAATGCTTCCATTTCAAATATTTTTTGAAATTTTCCGAATTTTTATACCTCGGAAAGGCGTCTTGCAAAATACCGGATAGCGCTTCGCTTTTGCAATCAGATACGCTTTTTCTCGCTAAGTCTGTCAGTCTATCGTTGCCAACGACACCTGTTGTAACAAGATAAATTAGACTAAATTGAGTGCAATAATTTGTTGTATGCTTACCAATATTTCCATTCTGCCGATCACCGCATTTAATATTTGACAAAATAGTATATATATAATATGTTTGTTAATGGAAAAATTAGAAAAAAAAGTGGCAGTATTTTGGGCTTGAATACTGTATTTAAATATATTTATACCCTCAAAATTTCCTTTACCGTTTGTCCTTTCGTAAAAAAAGAACTTTTTCTTTCGTTTCTTCTTTGACAAAAACCAATTCATAAGTTGAATCTTTTTGGAAGTACAGAGATGAAATCTTAACCAGAAACTTATGCATATCATTGGCGTCCGTCATCTAAACAAAAAATGTAATTTTTTCTACCATGATGTATTTAAGAGTCTCAATAATATAATATTGGCAATAGAAGATGATTGTAGCTACCTAATGTACAATACGAGGTGTGGCTAAAAAGAAACGGGACTGACGTCACAGATTGCGCAACACGATTAACCATCGGTTATCAACACCTTTGCAGTGTGGCGTAATATGTGTTCTTTGTTTAACAGCTGTTTTGACACAATATCGCAAGTATTTTTGCTTTTCAGGATCCATAAGTGGATGTGATAAATTTCTTGTTGAAAAAAAATGCTGTGCGAGGTCTGATTGAGTTTTTTGGCGATAGGGGGTTCAATTAAAGAATGACGATTGAGCAAAGAATTAACATTAAATTGTATGTCAAACTTGGAAAAATGCATGTCAACTCGGCATGCATTCAATCGTTGAGCTTTCTGCTCCCCAGTCAACTCAAGAGCCTTTGGCATCATTCTGGCACACACCTTTCGCATTCCCAAAGTGTCAACCAAAATGGTGCGGACCGTTTCTTTGTCCATCCCAATTTCGTTGGCAATGACGCGAATTGTTAAGCGACGGTCACTGCGAACTAACTGCTAAACCTTTTCGATGTTGGTATCAGTAGTGGAAGTGCAAGGCCTCCCTGACCTCGGATCATCCTCCACATCCTCCCTGCCTTCCACAAATCGCTTGTGCCATTCAAAAACTCTTGTTCTGGACATGGAAGAATCTCCATAAACATCACGCAACATCTGCAAAGTCTCAGTCGCCGTTTTTCCAAGTTTGACACAAAATTTAATGTTAATTCTTTGCTCAGTCGTCATTCTTTAATTAAACCCCCTATCGCCAAAAAACTCCATCAGACCTCGCACAGCATTTTTTTTCAACGAGAAATTTATCACATTCACTTATGGATCCTGAAAAGCAAAAATAATTGCGATATTGTGTCAAAACAGCTGTTAAACAAAGAACACATATTACGCCACACTGCAAAAGTGTTGATTACCGATGGTTAATCGTGTTGCGCAATCTGTGACATCAGTCCCGTTTCTTTTTAGCCTTACCTCGTATATACCCCTTCGATATCTGATGATTTAGTGTGAAATAAATATGAAAAGCCTTCCTATATATACCTCAAATTTCGTCATGTCTGCTAAAAATTTAAGAGTGTTTTGAACATCACGTGATTCCTTTTCGCAAAACTCGTTGAAAACTTTCTTTCCAATTGGTTCGTTGATACATATTCGGATAAATTCATCTTCTTCGTCCTTTTGAGCGGTTTCTGCTGTAGATTCCTGACGGTTGAGAAGCTTATCCTGGTCTTGTATACAGGCCGCATCATCTATGTACACAAAGTTATATATGTTTACAACAATGTAGGCAAACTTAGAATAATTCGTAAAATTTAATCAAACGTCAACAGACATCGGCTGAAAAAAAGACTGAAAACACCTCAAGTCCGGATTGTTAGGAAGAAATATTGATGGCAAAGAATATTTACTTTAAAGCAGAAGTTTTGAAAACAAAACTGTTAGTATGATAGTATTTGCAAGCACGATACTCATCAGAGATCTAGTAGCTAATCTAGTGGATCATTTGAGAAGTTTTTATTTTGCCGAATGGCAAGCCGAAATACAAGACTATAAGTGATATAAGAGGTATACTTATGAGTTCTGAGTGGAGTCGCATTTTATAAAGAAAGGGCAAGTTAGAAACCAAGTTGTCTGGAATAAATATCTGTGGAAAGTTCATTTCGAAAGTTCAGAAACAGAATGTCTAGACAAAAACAGTACAGCTTTATCAATTTCCTCCGAATTACTTATTTTTACAGATAACGTATATAGAATAATGTTAGCTTTTCTACTGTCGATTTTTTCCTTATTATGTACATTGAGCTAAACTTTTATGCGCAATCGTAGTTGCGATTTATTGACAATGTTTGGACAATATCATAAGCCAGCATTGTACTCTAATCATATAGGCCAATTGGCAGGGTTTGTTTGCATTTTGTACAGCCGCATTCTTGGATATTAAACTAAACTCTCGTACGATATTGATTCATACATTTTGTATCGTTCGGAAAATTTCAAAAATGTGATTTTTGTAATGATTGGTATTTATCTTAACTCATAGCGTTTCTTTTTGAACCCACCTGGAAACCGAATTTTTTTGATCCATTTCTGCCGACAGACTGCTGCGTTCTTAGCGCTTATGAAGACATCATTTTCGGCAATATCTTCGATTTTACCGAAATCCATTGCTCAAGAAGTCTACTCTAAATGCCCACAACTACCCTAGCTTCAGAGACTTATTACATCCGTCGCCTTATTACATGCCTCTTTGTATAGGCTTTGAACCAGAGGGAATAAGATTTGTCTTGATTTTCCACAAATTATAAACGTCGTCGTTCACTGCATGGCAATAAGCTACATATAACGTAATAAATTGATTTTCTCTTAAATTAATGAAACTAATGGACGTGCATAACCTGTCATAATAATCGATTTTGCGTTTAGAAATTATACCATAATCACTTCTGTTATCTTATAGCCTATTATATTCAAATACTATATTACTTTAATTTTTACTGATGTTTTCCCCTTGCTATATGTTGCTAACACGAGATACACTGGTAACAAGATAAAACGGAAATAATAAAGAAACTGAAAACTATTAATAATTCCTGTCAATTTTAGCACAATAACCAATAAATATACCCCTGCGTAATTTGCTTATGCTACGTTAATTTGATGATTGAAAGTACAAGAGCAGGCTCTCCAGAAGTGCGTATACCAATATGGAGGTAACTAATTTTGTTCGCCTATTTTACATCAAGTTGTGTAAATGGACTGAAACCTATGGACAGGGCTATATCACTTGGCTGACACAGACAGTCTCCGAACTCGTAATAGAACTAAAATAAGGAAAATCGGAATAAAATTATGGCCTAATTTTACCCACGAGCATCTACCTAACGCAGTTTACTCATTGAACTTCCCAAACTGATTGTATGAAATGTCATTAATCATTATTAAGTCCGTCCTAAAACCTCATCTGAACAAACTCATGTATCCTAACTTTGAGACATTCCCACAAAAGAATTTTACTATCCTCTATATATAAACTTGCAAGTGGCCTGCTTTGCATGAACCTCAACTGCTCGAAAAGCATCACATCAGAATAGCATCATGCAACGTTTTGAAACAGAGAAACAACCTACAAGACAGCAGCATTTTAGAAATCAATTTTGAAGCTCATTGAGTTTTTAATCATAGATTAAATCACACCTTGCTTTTCCCATCTTAAAAACGATTGATTCTGATTGGGGAAATAGTCGTATCAGTCTGACTGGAGCCAAATGACCTATTGATTGATACATGATATAAAGAATCACTTTATCCGTGTTCATGTTTATCAATTTCAGTGATGTTTTTAATGGCTGAACTGGTACAGTAGAGATTAGGCACAAAATTATCACTCTAGCAATACGGTGAAGGGATTAAATACAGCGTTGAAACATGATACAAAATGCGATTAAATGCAATGATTGATTTTCGTATTTTTACGAATTATTCAATATCGAACACTATTTAGTTCCGGCGATGGAAAACGGTACGTGGAATTCAGCACTCAGAATTCATCATTTAACAAAACCTCGATTAAGTTTATTACTTTAAAAACACTCTGAAGCAAAAATCGGGAATGGTAGCAAAGAGATTGTGCAAACAACGCATGCCACATGATCAAAAACCAAAATTATGGTGACGCAACTACTATTAGAGCTTATGTTAAATAAAGGTGCGGCCCGCGGTTACACCCAGTTATTCTGTCTGTCCCTTCTGTATTAAAGGTTGCACACCCTTGCCTCCTTTTCCCTGCAATGGCCAACAACAAACTGAAATTTTGGGAATTCGTAGGAGAACTAAATGGCAGACTTGCTTTCAACATAGATGACCACTTTGATGAAATCGCACTAATTCAAGAACATTATAGAATATTTTGAAGTCTTAAACCACTTGCAAAATGCAACAAACAGCAAGTAGTACACAATCCTAAAAAGTTTCAATTATAAGTGTGTTATTATTCTCGAAGTATTTTCATGCGTGCTTTTAGTCGTCGCAGGAAAGTCAGAGTATACAAAGCTTGATCAACAGTAGTGCTAAAAATGCAGTATGAATATTTTTTTTCGTGTTTAGAGTTTAGCATTTAATTTATCTGAAACTTATGAATATGTGTCATAACTCATAGTGTCCTTTATTAAAATTTGTCAAAGTTGGCAACCCTGTGTGTACAGTTAGTAATACTTCCCAGTTCTATAAAGATTGTTTCCCAACATGGGTATGTCTTGAAAATCGCATGAAAACGTTTTAGTGCTAATAAAATCGATATCTACGAATATTTGGGTGAGAACAATTGAAAAAAATGCAATTAGTCTCCCTACAATCTCAAGTTCACGCTTTTTAGAAATTAACATTGAACATTTACCTAATAACATTGGGCTATATAATTATTCTACAAGTTTTGTTATGTTTAGGGTTGCCAACCGTACTTTATTTCAAAGGACAGTCCTTTATTGAGATTTTGTGTCTTTGTCCTCTAAATAAAAAAGGACGAAAAGCTCCTTTATTTCTGACATGGAAATGACTATAAGAGCTGTAAAACATTAAAAAATAAATATATTATTGAATAAATAATTACTGGATACCGCACACTAAACAACCGCGTGCCTAAGTAGATCGCTACAAACGCTTTTAATGATCCGAGAGGACCAATCAGAAGTTAATTCAAGTTCATTTAAAATGTTGAGAACCATAACTGGTTATGAAGCAGCGACACCCAAGGTTCTAATTTTCAATTATAACATTGTTAATTTCAGTTTTCAGGGTACTGCTATTGTTGGTGAATATGTCTTTGTCTAGCTAACGAACAACGGTAAAAAGGAATTAAAACTAAACGACAGACTTTGAATATGCATGACCTCTTTTTTCATGAAATCGCACTAATTCTATAAAATTATAGCATTATTCAAAATTATAAATCACAAGTGTGTTAATAAATCCTCAAAATATTTTCATGAGTTTTCATACAAAGCTTAACTAACAGTTGCTGAAGTCGGCAAAATTCATAAGAATTAGTTTGTTTTGATTTTTCTATCTATTCCGAGATTAGCAGTGGATTAAATAAAAATTTAGAGATATATGCAAAAGTGTCTTTTACTGAAATTCGTCAAAGTTGACAACCCTAGTTATGTTACATTATCTATATATTTTTCCTTGAGTCTTAACCTATCGATGAAGCAAGCAATGCAATTTACCTAACATAATGATAAGCATTCGATTAGCCCGAGATAAGTCTGCTAATTTTCTTTTGTGACACACAGACAATTGACTTGCCATATAGTATAGCATTGATACCATACCACACATTAGCCAGTTAATGCCAACAAATCCAACATAGGGAAACCCGCGACCTGATAGGGGCTTTGGCGACAACGTGTCCCATTGCCAAACATTTACAAGTGCGAAAGGAAAGTGTTTGAGCATGTCGCACGTGCCTGCCTGTTCAATCTTGTCTACCAGAAAAAAACTCTCATGCTAATCCTATTTTGTTACCATATCCTAAGTTATTCAACATCACAAAGTCTAGTCTTCTCTAAACTGTAGAACAATCTAGTTTTAAGCAAATATTCCTGAATAAAACCTCAATTCTGTGTCATGAAATCTCACAGGAATGATTTATAAAACGAGAGAGGGTTGTCCGCTGTAATTCCTGACAATATAAGCAATTTTTTTAAAATTCAGCACTGCCTTCATATACCTTTCCTACACTGAAGCGTTCTATATAATTTATTTGTGAAATAAGTTAATTATTTGCTGTTAGGAATATTAAAGTGTCGTCACCCACCTGCAAAACGAATTTTTTTAATCCATTTGTGACGTTGGATCGTTGAATGCTTCGCGCAAAGATAAACGTAGTTTTCGGCAATATCCTCGATTAATGCAAAATCCATCGACTTCTCGATTCACAGACCATAATGATGTGCTTGTCCATAAGCGTATTTCATAGATCACACAGACTAGGTTGAGGAGCGCATATCAATTTACATCCACTGCTGATCAATGTGGTAAATGTATATGTTTTGCGTGGATTACACGTGTAGGAGAGATTGCTGCAAGGATATAATCAAATATGCAACCAAAAATTTTTAATAACACAGGATTTTTCATCAAACGACGAATGTTCTACCAGTATCAGTTAGGTTACTTTCTTTTTCTTGCTTGTAATTGTCTTCAAAAACCCTCCTGATCTTAATCCCCCCTATCCTGGGATGCAGCGTTTTAGGAGACGCACAGCATCGACAATTAAAGTTTTAAATTTAAAGTATGGCCTCTACACTACAGTTTATTCCACAAAATAGTACATATACGGTATTTTTGCATATGCGTCTCATTATCACCTAATAAAATTCCGCTTTTTCATTCATTTTTTGAATTCTGCCTGGTAAAACACCGTGATGAAAAACATATACACACATAATATTTGTACTTGGGTGGTTCAAGCTTCATCATATTTGATCATATATTATTGTACGGTTTAAATCAATTTTAAATAATTAAATAGTACGTTTAAAGGTTATTTGAGCAAGCGAGTGATTAAATATAAATACCTATTACGATGGAGTGACACCAATCGAATTTAAACGATTCCATCGATTTCTGAATCTGTGAATAGCATTACATCGATTAGGTCGTATTTAGTTTCAGAAATTCATTTGTACGAAAATAATAGAAATTTGTAATATATTCGAATGCATATATACATATAATAACAACAACACGGTTGTTTTCATTCATATTTTCAAAAATTTTTGTGGTATACAGAGATAAAAGTAAAATTGTGCATTGAATAAACAAAATGAAAATATTTCCTGTCCTGTATTTATCAATAACAACTCCCTTTGTGAAAGTAAAATGAGCATAGGTTATTTGTTTTTCAGCATCCGATTTTGACTCTCAATTTTTACAATATGATAAATATAATGGAATTGGCCTAAATCGATTCTTGGTGTTTTAGATTCATTTTCTAACTGACTAGCAATGCTGAGGTGGTGAATAACTGTCCGCTTTTTTTTTTATTATGCCAACAGTAGTTTTTTAACAAGATAATAAAACTGCATTTAGCATATTATCATTTTTGTAACAATGCTAGAAAAAAGCGACATTGAAAGATTAAAGTATTTTTAAGCGAAAATTATTTTCGTGTTTTTACAATACTAAGATAGCTCCACCACCCTTCCAAAAGACATTGTGACGTGACAAGAATATTTCCGAACCAAAAAGGCAATGAATGTGAGTTAAGATAATAGGACTTTTGAATAGGTGGTTAATGGCTATGCAGGAATTCTACAGTTGACCCAAACTACACGGTTTTTCGAACGTGATTTCTCTTCTGATATAGAGAATATGTAGACCGCGACACATGAGATTATTGTGAGTACAGATATACAGGGTGTCCAAAAAGTTTCGCCCGATTATAAAGTCTTTATAATCAAATGTTGTTGTTTTTTTCTTCAATTTTTAAAAAGACTTATGGTCAAGCCTAAGATGTTGAATGTTGTAGTCCCCATTTATCATACAACCAAATTTATTCAAATTTGCAATTGTAATGCTATGAAATCGGGCGGCACTTTTTGGACACCCTGTATATTCAAACAGTAGCTTTCAATTTACTTTCGGGTGTAGAAATTGTGGTATGGTTTTATTTTGGCCTTCGTTGGGATATGAAATGGTTTAGAAGTATAGTTGCTTATATCAAAGCCAAATGAATGTACGCCATGTAAATTTCAAGTTGATTTTCAATATGATTATATACCATTCCTCATTATTTGCTTAACTTGTCAAATAATTGTGATAAACTTATATAATTATGAAGTTGAATTATAAACTATAAACAGCAGCACAGCTCGATTAATTTTCGATCGTAAACGAAAAACATAGCTTTCAAACACGATAGTTACCCGCAACGAAAGTTCTATGTTGCATCTCCACCTAAGCGGTTGTCGTGGCAATATTTTCATACTCTTTTTTATGTAGTGGTAGGAATGCAGAATACCAGAATAAGCAGTTTTTTATAATTTTGCTGGAATGTATGATGTAAAAAAAATAATCTTGAAAATTATTTTGTAGATTTTCATTGCGTAATGTAAAACTAAATTATTGACAAAATGATCAATCGTTTTCTGTCGGAGCAAAGTATTGTCTTCTATATATAAAATATTACTTTGGGCTCATGACTGCATAGAAGATAATGCATTGTGGCTCATCAGCATGTTGATTATTCCAGTTGCAAAGAGTTATATAGTGAATATATTTGTGCTGATTTAGGCGTTTAAACTGATTTGCATCTTAGTCGCCTATTTTAGACTAACCTGTGGAGACCGCACGTTGTACTAAAACTAATTGTTCTGGCAATTGAAATCTTTATCTTAATGCCACGTTTTTAACTCTATACCCTTAAAATTTATATTCCATAAATAAATGTGCTTTAACGGACAAAATATTAGTAAGTGAATGAGGCTTATAGACTTGCTCCAACAATGATTTAGAACAATAATTGTAAGACTTATATATTTTGAATATAGTCGAGGCTTCGTTATGACTCAAATATCCGTTAAATTTTGCGCTATTGTTTTTAATCACGTTTCGACGAGCCGACTGGTAGTGAATACCAAGCGAGAGATGTACCCCAAAGATGCCAAAAATTCCCCCGTACTCCGTAAATGTTTGTTCAACGTATAGCTCTGCACTAATTAAAGTATTTGTAAGGTAAAATCTTGAGATAGATGCCGATCATCAGTGAAGCTAATGGCGTACAGATTTCAAAGTGATCCAAATCTAAGAGACCAAAAGGGGATAAAAATAAGTATTTTAATATATATAAAAGTTACTCACAATTGTAATTCTTTTTTAAACCAGATAGCACGTACCGACAAAAGGGTGAAAATCGACAGTGCAACATTAATAGAGTATAATATACCTTTGAGCTATGTGTGTGTCTCATATTACATATAACTATGGACCATACTGTAGACAGGAAATTAATTGTCAATACTTGAGCCTTAAATATGTATTCTTTATGTGGCCAAAATAACATTGTCACAATTGCTGTCAGATCAATAGGCTTCTATGTTTGCAGCTTAGGTTTTTGATGTAAGCGCTCTACAGTGTAAAATGTGCATGAATCAGTTTAAAATAATTGTCGAATCGTAAACAATCGGCGAATCTCTAAGGTTGGAGTATAGCGTATAAAGTTATAATGGGTAAACATCAACTTTTTTCGAGTTCCAATTCGTCAGCTTGCCATTTAGGCTTAGTTGTTTCTTGTTTTATGACGTAACAGTGGATAAGAGCTCAGCATCATCTGAACAATTTCTATCGTAATATCCTCGACGGCGACGGTCCTTACAATCTACAATCAACATTGCATGTTTTTATGGTTCTAATAACTATCAGTGTTTTTTATCCACGACTATGCCAATATTTAAACCAGAGGTGTGCCAAACCTTTAAATAAGCGGCGGGCCAAATACAAATAACTGGTGTAACCGCGGGCCGCACCTCTATTTGACATAGGCTTTCCAGTAGTTGTAGGTATTGTAGCGTCATAGGCATAGATAATAAATTGGCATTAAAGGTATAGGCTTTGTAACGCACAGATTACTCGCAAGTACCAGATTCAACTAAATTAAAAACTTATTTCGCGGGCCGGACACCATTCAGAATTGGCACTTACCAGCGGACCGCACCATTTTTCATTGCGGGTCGCATTTGGCATTTAGGTGGCACACCCCTGATTTAAACGTTACTTGTTGACATGCTTTGAATAAACGTATGAATTATCTATTCAGGATTTTGCAAAAGACTATCCTAAATGGCTCTAACCATTTCATATAAAAAGTCTTGTCAACAATTTTGTGGCTATTCATTATCAAAATCGCAACTAAACTCGGTTATTCATTTTCACTTTCATGTTACACGACAATAGTGGAAAATTCACTTCGAAGCACTAGTTACAGTGCCTTCCATTTTAAACAAATTTTTGCAATCCATGCATTAATATGGTCCATTGTCAGGAATCGTCTTTTCGACTTGCAAAAATTGAATAGAACAGTAAGACGTTCTTCATATTCACCGCACGCTTAAACTAGATTAAAGTGTCGTTTAGCTTTAGCTAGATGCAACTCATGCTGCACAGATTATAATAATCCAGGCAACTTGGCTCCTGTACGGTAAATTGCCACATCCTTCCGGTGGTGTACGCAGTTGGAGCTCATCAATTGATTTTGAATATGCACGTATTGTCGATGCGACACTATTAGCAGCAGTCGTGATTTGAATTTACTTCTCTGCAATTTTCCAGTTTCGTGCTACTATTTCGAGTTGAGTCGATAGGTTTAGTCAGCTAGATAAGATGTTTAGAAAAGATTTTTCAACATGAGAGTTTTGAATGGCGAGAACAATAAAAATTTAAATTTAAATATTTAAAATTTTTCTCGCATGTCTATATCTTTATCCGCGGATTGAAATCTTCCAAATACTTTTCTCCACTGCCAGCAGACCTAAATGTGGGATGTACAAGAAGAGGCGTAGATTAGGATTGCAAAATTTCAGTGACTTGGAATAGGATTTTCATATTTATTCCGGGGAAAAGGAAAGTAAATAAGAAGGTGCAACAATGTGGCGTACATTGGCTTCTCGTCTGGTTACCAGTCCATGTCGGGTATGGCATTTGTCAGTTGTTATGGGGTCTAAGTTTAATTTCAAGATATTCGCGGAAAGTGTGAAGGAAATTTCCAAAATTTGGCAAATAAAGCTCCACTGACCTGTAGTATAGTTGCTATTCTGTATTTCTATTTTAACATTAAAAAGGCTATGATTAGCAATTGATTTGTGGGTCTCCAACTTTAATTAATACTTTTGTATTAATTTAGCTTCTGTTAAACACTTCAAATTATTTTAAAATGTAATATTTATCGGTAATTAACATTAGGGGTTATAATTTATATTAGAGTCCAGGACTGCATTTGATATTATATCGTGGGTTTTAATTTTAGCTTTCAAACCATTGGTTTCAAAATCTAATACAGTTTTCTTCTTTCATTTCAACTGCCAAATGATACTACAGTAGGCTACAGTACCAGTACAGTACAAACTACAATACAGTACTAACATACATTTAAAATGCTATTAGATTGGGTGTTAATTTTCTACTGTACAGCGATCAGTACATTTTAAACCTTATTGAGAACGGAAATTTTGTTCCATCAACCTCAATCATAGGAAATGAGAATATTTAACATCAAGGACTAACAACTTTGGAACCAATTATTTTTATTGTTGACAAAAAAAAATGGCGTAGGGCATTTAACTTTATACTTAATACCGATCTCCTTATAAGACAATTCATTACCAGTAGTTTGATTATGCTTGTTTCTACATGAATGTAATATATATTTTTTTAATATTGATGTTCTCACAGTTTGTATAATAGTAACCATGGCTTCCTGGTATTTAATGAATGCGTAATAATAATCTATATATTCAATATGATATTAAACTATAATTTAAATATAATTAATATTATTGTTGGCCATTACGCAAACTCATTTGGGTCTGCTACAATATGTACACTGGTTTGAATCATTCCATCCGGCGCATCCTGTGTTGTTACCAACATTGTTAAAAAAAACAAAAAAATCACAGAATTAACCAGGAATTATAATGAAATGCATGCCGTCGTGAATAGCCAAGCAAGATTGAAAGACTACTTATGCAATTAACCAAAGATATATACTAGAATCATGTTCGATTGGGTGTTTTGAAGTGGGAAGTTTTTCACTGTTTTTCTTGTAAAATTTACTGAAGTAATTATATTTACGCATCAATTAATTCATCGCTGCCCAAACTCTATTGAAATCGTGACCAGGATTATTTATTTTGGTGAATCGAAAAATATAAGTCCGATCAAGCATGGAAACTAGCATTTGAATTAGGATTTTTGTATTCCACGTATGGAAGAGGGTGCTACTCTGCGTCGTAATTTTCACGCAGAAGTAATAAATACGCTACGCCGGCTCACAGCCCATTAACAAAACAACAATTTTAATATAAGACCAGGCTGACTGTACCCTATTATTAGTGTGGTGGGAGTACGGCTGATGACAAGATTAGAGAAAAGGAGTCTGCTAGTCTTGATGGTAAATGAAGAAAATAATCACGAGTTAAAATGGTTTTAATTTGGACGTGTGAAAATATTTACTCATTTGCTACAAGCGGTCAATACATATGGTAAATTATATATGAAACAGATTTCTCAGTTTATCAATACAGCTACTTAAGCTTGAAATACCCATTACATCATACATAACTTTTTCTTCTTTGCGCTTGGTAAAGATTGTGAGTCTGATTTCACTTGAATGGAAGTATACGATAAAGTACGACTGGTGGGTTACATTGATAAATGTTCTACATTCAAAAATTGTCCATGGTTTAATTTGCGATATAGAATTAGCTAGAGAGATAAATATTTACTGTGGTTTATCGTGAATAAGTAGTATTCTGACTGAGAAACAAAAAATGATTGTAAGAGAGTAAAACGGGTGATCGCCAAATGTGTTAAACCATAATATCCGCGTCATAGTGTACGAATATTTTATTAATCAACAAATTTTGTATGACGGGCTCCGATTTTGGAGAAACTTTTCATAAACTGAACATTATTTTTAGGGCGTTTGTTCTGTGATACTTCGTTGTCATGAGATTATCTACTTTTCAAATCTCATGTTTTTACATAAGTGGCGGGGACTTTGTACAAAAGATCCCAATATTTTACAATGTTACAAAGCAAAACGTATATGAGCAATGTGTAAACTTATTTCAATCTGTTTTTAACGTGGGCGAGAATTGAAAGGATGTCAGACTGAACGATTGTAGATTTGAAATTAGCTCGGTGGTTATGTATGGAAGTTGTTGTCAAATCCCGTCTGAAAAATTTCGTTTTTTGTATTCTTACAGGGCACATAAACAATTCCTATTAAATAACGAGCATGAGATTGCAACCCTTGCAGCCAACGTTATGAATAGTACAGCATACTCGACTGGCAATGACAGCACTTATGGAAATTATAGCTTGTTCAACGACACCTCCAATCATACTACAAACATTACAAATGAAGAAATTGTGCAATCTAAGAGACAAGCGATCGGAGTTGCTTTAGCTGTGTCCGGAAATATCATGATTAGTTTGGCACTAAGTGTACAAAAATATGCTCACAACAGGTAAGATTTGCATATCAAATAGTAGACTATACTAATGGATTAAAATATTGCACCTAGCAACATATTGAGTTATCAGTTACATGCCATGCCTGAGCGCCTTACTTATATTATATTTTCGGTACTTCCGAAATATGCGCACCAAGATGTCCCACAACCTGAACTCTAACCTGCTACACAACCTGAGTTCAGGTTGTAGGCCATCTTGGTGCACATACTTCAGGAGGTCCATATTTTCAATATTCTGGTTCCTTATTGAAAACGAAATTAAATATGGATCGTTTCGTTATTATGTTCTTGTTAGAATTCTTGCCGGTGGTCTACTGTTACAGATTGCATTCCCGTACTACTTCGTTTTGGTCTTCGTGTCCAAATATTTGAAAATCACTCCATTGTTTGTTACATCATATTTTAGGGATATGAAATATACGTCGTGACCCAAAAAACAGAACCCATAAATGGACATTTATTAGATTTTACACATAAACTTCTGTTTGTGCAGGATTGTACGCAAGTTTCAGTAGTCTAGGACGTTTTGTCCAAAAGTCAATTTTTTTTGAAATATTTTGTAAATGGCCTCCTATAGGGAATGCAATCAATGATGTACGATCTCTGATTATCCGACACCAACGCTTCTGTAACAATGTGCCTATAGGCATTGGATGCCGACTTGTATTGATTTTTTGAGTCCCTGTAGTGTTTGAGAATGTTTCCTTCATACAAACTGAAATATTCATTACTTTTAAACGATTGTTTTTAACTCATTATCAATTTTTTGACTGCAGACTTGGTGACGAGGGAAAATACTGCTTGGACAAATGGTGGTGGTTAGGAATGGTAATGATGGGATTAGGAGAGTTTGGGAATTTCATGGCATATGGATATGCTCCTGCTTCTTTGGTTGCACCTCTTGGAAGTGTGGCGGTTTTGTCTAATGTTTTCATAGCTTTTATTTTTCTACGTGAAACTGTCACACCACACAGCATTGTAGGAGTCAGTTTAGTAATAGTAAGTTGAATTACATGTTTTAAATTTAGATTTGTTATTTTGCCTTAAGAGTGTTTTTAAAGATATATTGCTGAATAGAACTCTAGCAGACGCTTTCAAAAAGCCATGAGTTAAGATTTAGGGCTTAATGGTTGACAAAAAAAATAAGTTTAAAAATACCCATAAAATGGTCAGGGATTTGAGCTGTCCGAAGGTTAAAGCACAATTGAGTATTTTTCAATTATACAGTTTCGGTGACTATCTGACTGACATAAAGAAAAAAAGAATTTCAGTTTAGTTTAGTGCCTTCTTTCTGCATTTTCTTTTTTTATTTCTAAAGAAAAATCCAAACTTGTCAATAAAATGGGTGAAAATTTAGTGCTTTTCACGAACGTTTTAATTTACTTGTAAAGAACGAATAACCCGTTGAGCACTGCAACATAATTTAATTAGACTCATTAATATAACCTTCGATGATTTTGAAATATCTATCTAAAATCAACTTTAAGTGTTATCAAATAATATTTAGTAAAATATCGTAGTTTTTACTAAATATGATTTTATTGTGAATTGTTCACTTCATAAAAAATTATTAAATGAAAACCTATTGGTCGCCTCTAAATTTTTAAAATAGAAGAGAGTCTTAGCTTAATAACGCTGGCTTTGCAATGTTCCAATTTGGCTAGTTATTCAGATTCTGGTATTTTCAAGTACAGTATATAAAGCTTTATATTCAAGATACTGCCTTTGTTGAGCTTGTTTTGTTTATTGTGATCAGTGATCATCTCATAAAGAGGAATCTAACACTGTTCTTCTATTCCGTCTAGATTGGATCTATATTTCTCATCAGTTTTTCAGCATTCAGTCAGCCTCAATTAGATGTACCAACAATATACGAATATCTGAAAGCATGGAGCTTTTTATTATATATTGGAATTGAAATTGTTGCTTTAGGAATTTTATTTTATTTATAGTAAGTGAAAATATGTGTAAAACGATAATAACTACGTTTCGAATAAAAATTGTTTTAGAATAACAGTAACTCATTTTGTTATTCAATTTAAACTAAACTTTATTTCTCTGTTATTTTCAGTTTCTACAAGAATGTTGAACATTTGTTAATTCTTCTACTCTTCGTCGCTATTTTTGCGTCAGTCACTGTCATTTCAGCAAAAGCGGTGTCGACTTTACTATCAGAAACCATACGCAGTGGTGTCAAATATATTGCGAATCCTGTGTTCTGGATCATGCTATTTCTACTACCAGTCACAACAGCAATACAAATTCGTTTTTTGAATAGGGTAAGTTTGTAGATGATTTGTTTGTAGAAGTTTGTAGTCATTATACAAACCAGGTGAAATAATAGCTTTCTGGTTGTGAGTAGTTTTTCAAATGTTTGATGTTCTGTACAAAGTTTCTTTTCTTATCAATGTCACAACAATTCGCTTGTAACAGCCATAGCAGGATATGAGTAAGCTTATCATTGATTTTTGCGTATATTTAGACACGAAATGGACCCATGTATCTAGGGATTTGTTCAAAAAGAATTGTTTTGAAACAATTGTTTTAAATCAAGTTTTTTTTGCCTGTTTTGTTTTAAAATGGCTGTGCTATTTGATATTTTTGTATAAAATATGTTGAAGAAAACTGGATGTAAAAACTTGCCAAGCGCTTCTTATATGCAATAAATCCTTCAAAACTCCAAAAATATTGATAGAGGCTCATACACACCTTCTCAAGCTGTAGTTCAGTGGTTTGCGCAGTAAAACGCAACCGGTAAGCCATTACGTTAAAGACCCTGCTACGACGAAATCACATTGCGAAAATTGAAATGCGATCGAATAAATGAGTTTGTATAACCTTGAAAAACTCTATCACTTCAACCTTAAAAACAAAGTATGCTAAGCATAAATCACCCGAACAGTATTGACCGTAATATTGGCATCATTTTATGAGAAAAATGCCAACACATGAACTCGAAATCCATATTATGCGTCATCATAACAGATTAGTTGTGAACTTGTGGGTAGTGGCGTCTTTACATCAGAGGTCTTACAATTAGCATAGGCTAGGCTGTCCCATCGTTTAAATCAGTATGCCGCCGATGTAAGCATATTCTTCATTATCGCAACCCACTCGTTTTGCCGCAGACTGCCCTTGATCTAATAGCCTTTGTAGTAGGCTCGTGAGCTAAGTTTCATGATTTTTCTTACTCAAAACGTCTCTCTGATATTTCGAATGAACATTTCAGTTAAAATCTTATGACATTGGTGAAGATACAAACGTGGCAATAAATGTACGCAATAGAAGTAAAAGTCGAAATGAGAATTTTTACTTACATTTTATGAAATTATAATTCCGGCTGCGTGTGCAGCTGCCAGAATGCAACGTTTTGGCGTAGTTTCGCGGCGATGCAGGGAGTAATTCAACAAAAAATACAGAAAAATATTGATTCAAAACAAGCCCTCGTTTTGAGACACGATATTTTTTTTAGAATTGATAAAAAACAAAACCCTACATGTATCGTTTTTTTCATTTTGTATTCTTATTCTTGTTGTTACTGTATGAAAAAAAAACGCTTTTCTCAATAATTACAGGACCAATTGCTTTGAAATCCCCATCGGTAAAAGATTGTATATCGTTAAGATGGCGGTGCCGGTAGTCTGCTGGAACAGATTGCATACCTGTTGCATACTACTTCGATTTGGCTTTCGATTCCATATATTTGAGCATCGCTATCTTGTTTCTAATACTGATGCTTTCATTATATAATTAGTGCAAATATTGGTAAATTTGCATATTTTTGTATGAACTTTAATAAACCAAGAGACTGAATATTAGTATTTGAATATGTACTATATTGGATATAAACATACGTACTAAATGTATATTTCCAATGTTTAATTTCTGTAAATTCGATAATTTTTTTCATTAATAATGCACAGGCAATGCAGCTGTACAATGTTTCTGATGTTGTGCCGGTCAACTTCATATTCTTTACTGTGAGTGCGATATTGGCTGGATCTATATTTTATCAAGAATTTTACGGAGTTCCTTTTCTACGTGTATTCATGTTCTTATTTGGATGTTTGTTGTCGTTTATTGGAGTATACATTATTTCTCATAAGTAAGTGTCGATTGTGAGTTTACAATGTATTTTGAGACATTGTGTGAAATGGATATACGGTATATATATATATATATATGAGAAAATTACGTGCAAGTTATATCTGTTTTTACCGATTAAAAGTGTTATTAGCGTTGATATAACACGTTTATCTGTTTTTTATTTCTATCAAATTGATCTGTTTCACAGAATGCTTACATACGCCACAATACGTACAATTTTGGGAGCTCCCGAAGTATACGTACCAAGATGGCGCACAACCTGAACATAGTATGTGTACCAGGTTAGGGCTGTTCAGGTTGTACGTCATCTTGGTACGAATACTTCCGGAGCGCCCAATTTTGAATACAGAATGGCCGTAAACAGTCAATCAATTATAATTTTCGATTTGGAATTGGTTACGGAGTTATTATGAAACTTGATATTTCTGAAACATAATATAAAAAATAAATTTAAGCTTTGTTTAATTAAATTTTCTATTGTTGCTTTTATCGTACATAAACCTAAAACCTTATTTCAGAGGTAAAACACTTCCCAAGTGCAGTTGCTGGTGCGGAAAAGAAGAAGACACAGCTAACATTATTGAAAACAAAGATAAAGATGACGACACCCAGTTGAGTGATATAGAAATTGAAGACGAAAACGATTTAAAAATACCTGAATCGGCTGAAACTTCATCGAGCAATAATCACGGCGATTTTAGACTTATTGCCAGACTAGCAAATTTTCTGAAACAGACTGAAACCATTTCAAGAGTGCAACCAAAAACGAATGATTAATGTGATACTGGATGTTGAAATAATAAAAATAGTACCTATTAGATATGATGTATTACTCCATGCCTCCACCCGCCTCAATGATTGTTATATATGCAAACAAATATTAGACCATTCCCATATGAGCAATCTTGTAAACTTCTCTTCATTATTGTAATATCACCCATTCATTATTTTTGTTTGCCAAACTAAAAAAATTATAAGTGTTTCTGCTACAGTTAAATCCCAAATTATGTTAATTGGGCAAATAAATAATATATATATACTAAGATATGCATGTGGCGATTTGATTGTATCTCAGAACTTCCCATTGATTTCATGCCACCCAACTTCACGTTCTTTTTATTTCGATAAAGTAAAATGCTGGTATTACACAATCACATCAAAATCAAATTTAGTGATCTTTGGCGCCACCTCAGAGGAGCGTCTTAGGCGAATCTTGTTTCAGAAATTCCGCTATTGTAGTGCATGTTTTATATTAGACAATAAACTTTTGAACATTGAAAATATTTGAGTAAGAACATCGATTGCCTTCGCACGTGAAGATAATTCTTATTTTGCTTAGCTGGCAAGTATACATTGTAGCCGGGTATAACTCAATTATAATTGTCGAAAACTAGATTTAGGTTTGCAAAACTACTTCCGTCAACGAAATAAAGCTACACTTAGTTAACGCCAATTTTCCAAATATAAAAACGGATTTGATCGTTTGCATCTTTTCCACCAAAATGATTTTTCGTGCTCAAGCTATGTAATCTCAACCGCAAACTGCAAAGGTTCCCACTTGTCAACTAAATATCTATGGCAGGCTATATTTTTTTCTAAAGAACCTTCGCTTTTTGTATTTTTTTCATCTAGTTGTTTTTCTGACCCCATCGACATGGGTTGTTTCAAGGATCGTGTTAATCTAATTATATCTCCTTCCTATATTTATGTGGTAGGTTGCGGACTCGGTTCTCCAGTAACGTTCAGTTGCGGACTTATTAGCCTGCTCTGTGCAAACTTTTATATATACCGGGTAATAATAAAACTCTGTTTCGTTATTCTCATTGAATTCATCTCGGACAACAATCAACAACAAGATCCCTTCAAACTTAATGGTGCTTTTACAAAACGTTAACTTTCATCAGGTCATATGTAGGAAGAATAAAAAAACTCACAGAGAACATACATATTTATTGTGAATACTAAATCACTAAATGATCCCATTGGGTGATGTATAGATCGAGTTTAGGGAATTTGCGAACTGCGAAAGGTGATACTCATCTAGCGTTAGACTGACGGCACTGATTTAAACAACAAACAGTAGAGTACGTGATTTGCGGTTTTTGAAACTATTCAATTTAGTTGGCTTATATTTAATGTTTTAATTTTTTTTATTATTAGCATAAATATTAAAATCACGGCAATTCCAAATACGGAAAATAATAAAGCTGATAGTTATATTGGGGCGAAAAGCAAGGCATTGACTGATATCATATATTACTTCGATTTATCAAAATTTTGGAGAATAATTATCTTCGGAGATAGTATCACTGTTAAAATTTAAATTTATGCAATGATTATCACAAAATTAGAATATTGATTCCGAATCAAACATGCTAAACCAGAAGCAGGTGATCTTAGCGAGCATTACATACATTTGAGACTAGAAACGATGAAGCGTTATGCAAAGTCAACCAGTGGTTGCATCATGTTTCTTAAATCGGTATACATCGAAAATAATTCGATTCTCTAAAAATATTCAAATCTAGATAACAGAGCGATATTAAGCTTCGGGTCATAAGTTGGAGGGTGATGATGGAAGGTATCTAAGCCATTAACTTGTTTCTGGTCCATCGTGCCTTTAAATATATATAAACAATGAACAACGCTAATGTAACCCTAGATGGCGCTGTAGTAATGAAAAGTTTCACGATAGAGAATACATTAGTGAAGTTCAAAAGTCGGCTTTTGTGATCATCGTAATGGCTTACAATTGTGTACAAGACTAATAAATATATAACAGGGCAATCTTACGACCAATACAAGTTTTGTTTTGATAGCGTTCTATAATGCTTAACAATTTTTAGAGTTAATTTTATTGTATCTTGGAAACAAATTGCCTTTTCAACACGACCCCATTGTCACACGAAAATAAACGACAATAATGAACTTGTCTGGGCTGGTGGCCGTGGAGAACGATGGAATTGAATGACGGCATAATGAGTAATTTTTACGCAATTACATGTTGAGTTCAATTTCAACTCATTGTTATTTGGTTTGAAAATGAAATTAAGTAGCAACAAAGCAGTTGGGGGCATAAATGTAATTTGGTGCATATGTCTAAGGCCGGACACGATCGATGACAAAGTGAACAAAATAAAAGAGCATCAAGAGACAAAACTGGCAGAGTAATTACAGTGGAGTTATGATGTCATAACGACGTAAAGTATACGAGGACTCTCAATAAGTACATAACCAAAATAATTTTACGAAAGTCCATTACCTACATGAGCTCTCTTCTCTCACCTAAAGTAATATGCCAGTAGTTCTCAAACTTTCCTGATTCATGGCCCACTTCTGACGACTCTCAACACTTGTGGCTCTCTGCTCTTCTATAAAACTATTAAATATATATGAATATATGACTATAGTCATCGCGAATTATATCTGATGAAGGTTTTTGTTCGTGGCCTCCAGGTAATCATACCGTGGACCTCTAATGAGCCGATGGGACAGTGTGGAAGACGCTGAGATATGCGAATCGTCAGATCTCAAAAAATAAAATCTTAATTAATACACACAGTGAGGGCGAGAACGCCAGAAACTCATTTGCGTCAGTCCTGTCAAAAATCTCAAATATCTTGCATGTCCCTGATCTATCGAACACGCGTATTTTATTTTATTCATTTCGAACGTAAAGAAATTCCAGCTTTACACAAATTTTGCGCAACTACGTGCAATAAAGTGAAAATATTTTCCTATTTTCTTTTATTTAACTTATTATAAATCGAAATCGGAGAAAGGAATTTAAATTAGATTTCAAGGTTTGAATTGAAATTATTTTTCCCAGTTGAATCACCATGGTTTTCGATAAAGAACAAGCATGGTCTCCTTAAAAGTTTTTTTAGCTTGATGTACGTCACGCTTAAATGGTTGAAATGAAATTGGAATGAAAATTTAATTTTGTGTGCTTGTAGTTCCGAAAGATGACCTTTTCCGGTCAATAATTATTTTCTGGAAAACATTGACCGAATTTAAACGATGTTACATTAAGTTTTCATGCCTCGTCAAAATTAGTTTGGGATCGTGGCAGCCTGATCAAACAAACATACGTTCAACATTGAATTTAATATGAAATTGTATTCATACCAACATGATTATTTTCACCAAACTAGTGCTAACATTTTCTAATTCAAGAAGCAACTAGCGTGTGACGTTTAAGCATAATATTATATTGCTCTGTTGAAGAAAAAAGTCATCAAGAATTACAATCACATTATGGAACATATAAAGTACACAATTTTCCAAAGTTTTGACCGTGAAAACACGGAAGATTCCCTAAATGTCTATCAGTTGTTTCTTCAATATTTCTCGAATATTTTTATACTAAAACTTTTTTATTTGATTTAGTAATTACCGTAGCATGTTCAGGCCGCTGACCCAATGCCGGGTTGGGAATAATTTTAACTTAAAGATATAATATCTGTGACTTACAAAAATTTGCTGCTTGGCCAAGGTCTCAAAGATGATTTACATTGAAGTCATAGAGTCCATCGATTTCGTTGATTAAGTGAAAAAACGATACATAAAAAAACTTTATTGTTCGGTATTTATTTTTAAGCAAAATTCACATGGCTTGCTTAAAGTGAAATTTTCAATTTATCGACCAGGTCATGACGTTTGCTACAGTACTTACCTTCTTTCAAACATCGATACAATATACAGCGACCAATCACAAACTTCATTAAATTTTTATACGTCCGCATTAAAACTAACAAAGCATTACGAGACGCCAATAATATGCATTGATGTTTATTTCAGATGCGCCCGTAAAATATTTTCATATACAATCTGTCGATTTATCGGGTTTGCCGATAATATTACACCAGAAGTTGCTATTTCTCATTACGTTGAATTCCAATAAACTTAAAGTCGCGTATTTTTGGACTTGATGTGCAGGAGAAAAATCCTGTGTGCGACTAAGCGTGAACCTTCCGTCTGCCAGATTGAAATCACATATGTAGTGCAATATTGCTGTCAGTTTGTAACAGTGTCAGAATGATTTTTTTCATTCGATTGTAAACTTTATTATCGTGATTAGTTAACAAGTACGAGCAAACGATGCGAAGAATTAGGTTGTTATTTTCATACAAAGATTAGGCCTAGTTTTATGGGTCTTATATGGATTTGTCGAAACATTTCGAACATATATTTGAAAACGAATCGCATTGTGAAATAAATTTGACATCATCTTTTAAACCATCAATGTCGGGAGAGACTCCTTACGTCTCAACAAATCAGTGCCCATTTCGCCTGAAAAACACGTAAATGAAAAGGAATTATATATTTTACAAATAACCATCTAACAAAGTCATTTCACTATTTCAATTGACTCAATTTCGCGAAATATCTTGCAATTACAATGATAGTTTTGACACACATGTCTCGTTGTTGGTGGCATAAATTTGAAATCAAAGTATACCCAACTTTGATCATCCCTGAATGACTATGCTTTCCCTTTGAAACTTCTTTCTTACTTTCCTTATATATATCTGTAAATGTAAAAGCATTTTCATGTGGTACCTCGAGTTTACAAGATAACATCTTAACACTACATGTTATGCATCAAACAGACATCGTCTCGTCCGCTAGAATGGAAAATGCATGACTTTTCAGTTTAATGATTTTTCTCATCAGTGTTGCAACACGTAAATGGGGTACAGACTGTTTGATTTCGGTCATAAAAATTATGGTGTTTCAATAGACGGTCAAAATAAATTTCTTGAACTATTAGCTAGGCAGTATTTTTTGCCATCAAAAATATAGTTGATCTGAATTATCATACCGTCTTATCGGATTCGTAATATCAAAATACTTGATGAAGCTGACATTGAAACAGTATCCGTATATATGTGTACAAGCCTACCAACAAATCGTAGCAATTCAGATCTTAACTTTGGTAATGGTAGGTGGGTGATGATATTATCAAATTCCACAATATAATGCACAATCTACAAATATTCCTTTGTCCACTGTGTATTTATTTACTCAATCCTGTTTATTCATCACGTCCTGACGCACTAAGACGAGGCAAAATTATTGATAAGCTCGACCAGCGTTATTGCGGACGTGGATACTGTTCGGCCATGACCGACTAAATTATCCCAACTGTAATATGACAGAAGTTCTGTTGGATTATCTTGCGATAATTGCGTTATGTGCCTAAATGTCAGCAAAGATATAAAACAACTCACACCAGCCGAGTGCTAAAATTTCCATTCCAATTTTTCTTTGTATTTGACGATCGAATGATTATAGGTGGGAATTCAGAGTATATTTTTATGTGTTATTATTTTTTATAATACAGATTTGCACAAATCCTTTGTGACTGTGTGAACGCGTTTAACTGAAGAACTGCTGGAAGTTGTGAAACAGATACCTTTATTCAAAGTACTTTTATTGTCATTTTCGAAAGATAATGCTGCATCACACCAACTATCATGTTTACGACTTCAATGAGGTACAAGAATCTCTAGCAATTCTAAAACGATATAGATATCCTCAAGAGGTGTTGTCCGGTAGGGTTTGTATATATTTTGAGTTGCTGTCGGGTAGGAAGATCGAGGATTCAAGCTAACTGACTATCAATGTGATTCAATGACTCGCGTGACGATACGGTATGGTTCCATATTGTCGAGGTATTATTTACGTTATGGCATGCGATTATACATCAGCTATCTAGTGTTCTGCGTCGTTAAGCAAATAGGAAATTACTGAAATAGCCGTCGTATGTGACGTTGCTGCTGTCCGTTATTATTGTCTTTATTACATCGATTACCTACTGATTAAGCGGAGACGCGCGACGTAAGCGAAGACGCGCATGGTGTCTTAAACATCAATTATTAAGAGTATTTGTATATCAACTTCAGTAGCTAAGTGGAAGGATTACGAATGTTAATCGATAAAATATACTTAAATGGAGTAGAAGCATTAGGCATGTGGCCATAAGTCGATCATAGATGTCTTAATTATATGTGCCGTTAATATAACAGACAAACAAAAGAACCTGGTGGAAAGTTTTATGTTAATTAAGTTCCTCTCAGGTAAACCAGAGGAATGCTCATTGACAGCGATAATATGCGTTTTCATGTTCGAGTCACATGTTTTTCGGTGACAACCAAATATGCGACTTTCAATGAGAAATACGAATACGGCTGTTTTACACTTTCAGTATTCACCTGTCTAGTTCAATTCCGCGTTGGCGATGCACAGCGTCCTACCGAAAAATTTTATGACAGAAATGGATGTTTTCACTGTCCGGAATTTTTCTTTCTGACGTGTACGCGACTTTTCCAGATCTTGAAATACTCGATTTATGACAAAATTCTGCAGTGACGATAGGGCGTTCAAAATATTTGCAGAATTTTATTTTATATTTAGCAGATTTCTCTTTTCCTAATACTGTACCTATCACGAGATAGCCTATCTAACTCATTAGCATTCTGTCGTGGTCGATGCTCATAATGCCCTCATACGAAATTACTACTAAATTTATGATGAATAAATATTCCGTCAATTAATCGCCACTCATTTACTATGCATTATTTCAGGTATATGTCGATACTGACTAACAAAACACAGCGTTTCCCTATGAATGGGGAAATATGACACTATCGCAATATGGTACCGTATCTGTCGCCAATAATTATAGTCCCGAGTGCTAATATTATGCAAACGCGTGTCGCGCATTTATAACGAGAAAATCGATTGAGCAACTTCGAAAGCAAACCAACAAAAAAGGTAGAAGTTTAGAACAAAAAAACAAAGAAATTACTTACGAAACCTTAAGCAATGAAGAACGGATCATCTTCAAAAAACTCGCTGTTCAAAAGCGAGAGACCGCGAGCTTACCGGTACAGTTACACAAGCGTGGCGTCACAGGCGGACGAACCATACAGCAAGATTGACATGTCGTTTCCAGCACCGGAGTACATCAAGACGTTTTTAAATAATAAACTGTCAAGAAACAGCCAGGATTCCCCAAATCTTCTGGACGACGATGCATTACAGAAGTAAGTTGCTCAATTTATATATGAAATTTCAGGTTGGAAATTGTTTAAGTTAATAATTCCAGTGATTTAATTTAGCAAGTTATCTATATAAGAGAGAGAAAGATTTAAAATAGTAGCTAGTTATCTTTATAAAATTCTATTTTAATGTGCATAAATAGTTCCACTTAGCAATTAACAAACATTTACTTGCCCTGTTTTAGTGGACAATCCCGAATATGTGAAAATATTCAATTTGTGTGTATAGGAGAGTGAGAGAGATTTGAAATACGTAGCCAATATTATGATATTTGCGTATTTATGACGTATCGGGAATATAAAACCTGAAATTGTTTAAGGCGGAGGAAATGTTTGTGTCAATCCTTTTTATCCCAGCATATTTCCGTTGAGGAATCAATTAACTAATTCGCAGTATTGTCGTGGTATCTATAGAAAGTAAAAACCAATATGTATAAATCGGGTAAAGGGATCAAAGCCAAATCCGGATCCAAGTTTAAGCATATGAAATTACGAGAATAATTTGTTAAGACTCAACTTTTCCGCTTTCACGTCATTTATTTCTCGCTCCCTGTTTTTCATGTTCCCATCCCTTCCCAAGCTTTTGGGGGTTATACCTGCGTTGTGTACCCCAGATCATTTAATTTTGAATACAGCGCCCCGAATGTGCTTGGCAAAAATTTTCCAAAAAATTTCTGAGTTGTGAATGGGAAAGTAGAACGCATCTATTGTGCTTTATATCAGTAGATTGGACATGTGGAAATTCCCGCTCAAAACATGTAAGCAGTTTGTATAAATCGCCTTTCGGCAAACGATAATACAGATCAATAGATTTTTACAATCCTGCCTGTTCAGCAACTAGGAAACGGAAAGTCCATCAGTTTCTGCGAACGCAAAGTGCCAGCCGCTTATTTATTTACACATAATCAGGAAGATCGCTTTAAATAACTATCTCCAATCTTTTAGATTGTGCATTTGATCCATGAAATCTCTATAAACTTATGCACGAATCAGTATTTTATTTTTGGAAATAAGCTGCTTCGTTTTTTTGTATTAACCTATTGCTTTTCAACATTCTTCAAAAGCAACGGGTTTACCTCTCACATATACGTGATGTTCTACGTTTAATCCATGATAAAATCATATTATGGACTGTTGATTTAGTCCACTTGCTTTGGAGATAATTCATTCGGAATCAGAAATAAATCGGTATAATTTAAGTTTGTATGACGGTTTAGTTTATGAAATAGAAATTACAAAACAGAAGTTACGCATTTCGACGAATTTAAGTTGTAACGACGTGTTGTGACAGTTTCCGGCCAAATAAGACTTTGATTTTAATTTGGCCGGACATCTGAAATTACGATTTTTTGCACCTCGCAAGCACAATGAGTAGTAACTTCGAATATACTTAACGCTTGTTTATCATGGCGGATAATGTGAAACCACATCAAGATAACTTTTGCCGGTTGTTAATTTCTTATGACTTGAATCCACATCTTTATGAAAGACACCTTAGTTATTTGTGATCTCTTCTCGGTATAAATTTCTACACCTTTTAAATGTTCAATCTTCAATTAAGGCGTTTATACAGCCCATGGAAATGAATGCCGTTAATTGAGGATGATTTCGGCAAAGATCAAATATTCTTTTGAAAATATGTCACGCTTGTCTTTAGATCCTCTCATGATCCTAATGAATAAAATTCTAGTAATATAAATGCACTACGAAAAGCCTTTATTTTTTGGCGGTGTATTTGTACAAATTTTGAATTGTCGTAATTTGATTGATGATAGCTAATGTCCAATGAATGAATGAATGTTGTATGATTTTGAATTCATTTACCTCCTCACTCTATTGAAGTTTACTCAGACGAAATTACAATAAAGAATAAGAAGATAGTTTGAAGTGTTAAAATATTCATTGTTTGCAATTCAATATATATTTGTGTAAGTTTTGGCGCTCTATCGACCACTCCTTATAATGTCTGCATAACAGCCTTTGTCTAACCAAATATGTCCCAACCGATATATAACCAAATATATTATGTTTTGAACTAAAACCAGTTTTTGTCAAGTAAATAACGGATTGGGTTAAGATATAATGAAAATATTCGTTTTTACCTTGTTGAAAAATCTTACGAAGCAATGTCAAAGGTATTCGCCGTGCGTGGAAATACTCGCTCAAAAGATGAAATACGCGACTTGATTACCAACTTCGAAATGCTCTATGTGAACGTGTATATATAGAGAGTTCAATGCAAAGCTACTTTACGTGACATGAATTTGAAATTTCTTGCTATGAGGAGGGCATGGCCCTTTAAACGATTTCCATACAGCATTAAAATTCATATTCATTTTATTTTGATAGAAATACGGCATTGCCTGAAACTATGTTTTGGACCAATTCTAGTATACAATAATACAAATATTATCATTTTTAACAATCCTTACACTTATAAACAAAGGTGAACACGGAAGAGGCTCTTCAAACAAATCATTTTACTTCATTTCTTGTTGTTGTTATCAAAAAATAATAATGAGTGGAACTTTTGTCGATTGGATTTTCTATGAGTGGGATGGGATTTTCTGGTTGAATTGGGCATCGACTTTTCCGAGCACCACATAAACGTGATTTATTTAGTGAGTTGTACAAATATGATCAAGATATTATCATTGATTTTCATCTACTGGGCCAACGACGGAACCCAGTTTACTCTGAATTCTAAGTTGGATTGCATTAAGGTCGGCCAATCAAATCGAGCCTAAATGTCATACCAACAACATAGAAAACCCGTGTTAATTTTCCAATTTTTATCACAAGTTTTCAACATATGTCTCTGTTTCTTGCGATTTACTGTGTCCAAGCTTGTATATTTCATAACCGCTTACACGCTTAATAGAAGTCACTAAAAGGAATATTTTTTTGATTGTGCACGACTAACACTCATACAATAAGACCATTTAGTAATCGTCCATTTAAAAGTGTAAACGAACTGGCCCGTATACATCCACGCCCAGCTTTTGTCTTCAGCGGGTTGCCATCGAGCTGTCATGTCTAAAAACCGGAACGTATAAAAAAACAAGAAACCGAAGATTAATCGATCAGGAATTCTATTTATAATGTTAAATATGAGGTTAGGAGACAAAGAACAAAATATTCTCTAGATCCGTGGAAACGCCTATGTGTTGAAATCCTTTTAATACAAGATGTGTGGTCGAGTCGCTCTACCTGAACTATGAAAATAGGTTGATATTGATACAGGGCTGTTGAATCCAAGGACCGACTCGCCAAGCTCACGTTCGACCCGAAGATACTGCTCGGTTGTAGAATTAAACACAGATATATAATAAAATCATTAACACATTCCGCTGTATGCCTTTGAAATAGCTAGGAAAGAACCGTTACTTTTTTTTTTCAAATTCTTTAATCAAATGAATTCGAATTATTACTTGGTGTTTGCTGAAAACCGACTGAAGAGGAGAAATTTCTAAAGTCCAGGATATCAATACCAATTTTCCAATGCTGTTGGTATTGGCATATTTTGCTGTACTCAAAATGCGTCTGAATAAATGTAACCGTCCGAATTTTTTATTGTTTTATTTATCGTTGTCAGCTACGGCACCCAACTCGGCGTATGATCAAACAATTCTTTATGTATCGTCCTTTTTATATCCAGATCGACACTGGAAGAGGTGACGGTATATAAAGACGGTGACAACAATATTGAAGGATTTGAAGTCACTAAAAGAGACAATCATAATGGCCACAGTCACCAACGAACAAACTCGAAAGGTCAAAACGCAGAACTTGACCCTAAAACTCATTTGAATCTCAGTAGTGCAAGTAAAAAAGGGTATGGTACTTCAGAAGAAATTGAACTGAATCATCGAGATGACATGACCAAATTCAGAAAAGGAAAAGCCCGAGCAAAAACGCAAGTGGGAGAAACTCAAAAAGGTGATAGTTATTATCAACGTGATGCCAATGGTAACAACCACAATCACAGCCATCCTAACGAAAAGAGTGCCACAACTCAAGTCGGATCCACTGAATCGATTGGAAACGAAGGAGAATCCTCGAGTACCAGCGAAGAATACGTCGTAAAACATGATCATCATGATCATTCCCACAGCTGTACATGTGAGTTATAAAAGATTCAATTTAGTTTAAACTTACGTTAATAATATGAAATCTATTGATTTGTAAACCATTTCCCCCTGCAGTCAAACAGTATGCTACAATAAGTGCATTTTTATTCGTTTAACGTAAGGTATTGGCGATCTAGGTGGGATTTCCGCTCTTGTCTGGATAGACCCACTTTGAATTAAACTAGCCCAATATATCGGAAATCGCGTTTCTCTAACGGAACCAGATTGTCTTCCATTGCATTGTAAAACGCCTCATATGAATGAGAGATATGGAGGCCTGAGTTCTCTTTGTTTTACTTGTATCGTAAATTTTGTTTCAGTTGTTTAAAGCTGGGCTTCTTGTTAGGCTTCTGTAAATTTCTCCATATCGAGGTATTGAGTCAACAGTGTTGACTCAACACTATCAAGTTAACAGAATTACTCATTAGTCTTTGATGATATTATCGGCACTATAGGCTATTAATCGAAATTCAGAAATTTGTTACGTATTGTTAGGATTACATTAGCTATTAGACATGGTATAGTGTAAAGGTTTCAATAAATTTAACTTGCTAACATGTTTCGAGGTATTTCATAACAATGCGTGTGACAAAATATTTTTTAAATAAAAGTACTAATAATTGGTACGAAATTTACATTGTTTCATACATATACATTTACCATTTCTTCTGAACAATTTTAGCTGACGAGTCTGACGTTGATTCGGAGCATTGTCACGAGGACTCTGACGAAAAAGAGCAAACGGAAAATCGGAAACGAAAGAAAGCACTTAAGAAACTTATTATTGCAACCATTTTAAGCTTCTTATTTATGTGCGGAGAGATTTTAGGTATGTTGTGCAAGGGGTAAATGTGCATGTGTACTTCAGCTCTTACGGTATTTGAACCGTCATCTGCAAGATATTCATCGGTTCTGCAGGGCGTTGTATGACTGAACAGTATGTCGTGACTTTTGAGACAACGTAACAAAAAATCAACAGTTGATAATTTAATGTAAATTTGATGATTGATCAACCAATATTCAACAGAGTCTAAGTCGAACTGTGAAAATTGAATTTATATCCGTTTATACTACATTTTTACCTATAAATTTTGCCGTGAAATTGAGATATTATTTTATTATCTTTAATTTTCGTGAAATTAATATATAGGTATCACAAGGGAGCAATGCGGTTGCCCTGTCTAACTCGATATTCCTCGGAACGTGTTTTCGCGGTAAAATTGACAAATTTCCCGTGTTTTCCATCGCCGATGACAGAACGCGTGAGCGAAAGGTGGTTTTGGAACATATGCGCCATGCATAATTAAAATCTATTGAGTAGTTTTTCAACCGCTGCGCTCACATTAATTTTCTCGTTTTCGTTACCTGTCCACTTTTTGACCTCATGCCCTTTACGTGCACGTAAGTATGCACGAGAGTGATGCAGATGGACAAGACGAAAGTTATATTTTGTAAATAAGTTTAAATGTCTTTACCCTATTTTAAACATTTAAAATGCATTTGCACCATCCCGGAAACAGTTGGTTGAAACTTGTAAATACCAGACGATACTGAAGTTTTCCGACGAATAACAGCTTGTTCGAATAACCTGCGAAACTTTACAGTCCAAAATCATGGTTTTTCGGTTTTATTCTACGTTATATTTTCATGTAGATTAATTATATTGGTATGGATTAGTTTTATGACTTAACCAGAATTCGACCACAAGATATTCATATTCCTGGTCATTGCTTCACGACGGCTTATCGCATTCGTAAAATTTAATTGGCGATTGGGACGATATATCCATCGATATTCCAAACTTTTAGCAATTCTATTTGTCTGTTTTTTGTTCCATTGAATATTGCGTATGTCATTCACAGGTGGTTACCTCGCCAACAGTCTTGCAATCATGACAGACGCCAGTCATCTTTTAACTGATGTGAGCAGTTTTCTCGTCAGCATAATAGCTTTACAAATGGCTGCAAAGCCTTCATCAAAGAATATGACATTTGGATGGCATAGAGCAGGTTGGTACTGAGAAAAACGTCATTAATATTGCACACGAAGATTATATACATATGAATTGTTTGGCAAAATTCTTGTTATCACTGTTGTTGTTAAATAATCTATTCAATAATGTTTTCTCCCCACTTAATGGACTGATCGATTTTAAATTTACAGTAGATGGAAGAAATCGATATATTTTTTTCAAATTTCCCCTGATTCTCATGGGACGCAATATTTCATTCAAAATTTTGCTGTTTTATTTCAAAACACTTTCATTTTATCACATCATTTGCGTGACGCTTGACGGCCGATCTTTTTAGCAAACTGGGTGCCCACCCAGAGCCATTCGTTACCAAAGTGCGACTTTCGTGTCCATATATAGAAGCATTGCTGTTTTGGTTATACATATGTATTCCTGTAATTCAATTTTTATCAGAAATTAAATTTGAACGTTTACTCATCAAAATTGATTAGTTGATCACGAGAATTAAAGCGTGACTACTTTACGCCTCCGTTTATATTTCGTTTAAACTGAAATCCGCGTGGGTTTTATAAAATGACTGTTGATTTATATGACACATTATTAACCATGAAACGATGCTATTTGCCTAATGGTAATCTATATTTATGAAAAAGTGACATCTGTCATTCTGGAAACTTAAATTATCTTTGAGAATTTTAACAACTATTATTATACTATCTACACCCGAACTCTATAGTGCCCATCGTAGTCTATTCTTGTGCATATTTAACAGTCCAGGCTCACCATTCTCCCCCACATTCGCATTCGTCAATTTAATCAACGCAAGTTTTTGACGTCTCTTAGTGATCATCGTAACATTAAGTCACATTGTTTCGGTTCAACTTTTGAGTCATCTATCGATATACTGTCATTATGTCGCTCACGTAAGACTTGTTTTATAATGATACTCTGTTAAGTTTATATTTAGTTCAGGTCAATCCATTTATGCAAATGCTGCGACTGCGGATTCCAATAGACTAAATAAATTGATAGTTTGATCTGAGATGTGAACTAAATCTGTATGATGTAATGAAAGAAGTATTATGATGGTTTTCCGAGATTGAAGTCTCAATTCCCCATTGCTCTCAACTGAACGTCACAGCCATGTGAAGTCATTGCTACAACATGCGTGAATCAAATAGTGTAACTCTTGTAATTATTTATGAAATGATGAATATTTTGAAACTAAAATCATACTTCGTCGGTTCCTTTTTTAGAACATTTTTATTTTAATTACTTACAAAGGCATATATATATCGATTCCGGAATTTGCAAGTTTCTAAATTGGAACACAATTTTTTAATGCAAGGTCCAATGTTAGTTTACGCCCTCTTTACTGTCGATGGTTATTTTCTCACAAAATGTTCCAAAACGGCGCAATATGTTTCTTAGTTGTAAATTTGCACTAATCTAGCACTAATCGTGACGTTTTTGTAAAGTTTGCTTTTTCTCAACGCAAAACTAAAATTATAGGCTAGGCTCAAATTATATACTGTTATTTGCCCACATTAATTTGAGTTCCTGAATTGAAAATTGAAAGGTGAAAACGCAATAACAAAATATTTATTTTGCCAGTCAATATATTGTTTTTATTGTCGGTTATTTTGATAGCAATAATAATATTTATTATAGTGGGCGAGAAAAGAGAATATTTCCAATTACCACAGATAAGTTTTAGCGTGAAAAATCATAATATAATTTTAGAGTTACTTATACTCGTACATGTTTTTTAAGTCTGTATACACTCTCTGAAAAATTATCCATTTCACAATATTGCAATTTGCGCTGTAGGTTTCACTGCCGACAGGTTATATTTGTATGTTATGAGCGGTATGGTTCAAAATATTTTAATTGCAAAAATATAGGAATGATGGTTTATAATTTATAATATAATTTCGTGATAAAAAAGTTACCTCTATCCACCTGTCTTTTAGGCTGTGTTCAGGACACGGTCTACCAGGTGCCCATACCTACTCAATAAAAATGTTATTCAATTCCAAATAGGCGATTCAACACCGTTTATGGGCGTAGACATCTTCAACATGTTTTAACAAACTTGTTTTTACTGCTCTCTTTAAATATAATATAATGTAATTGGCCACAAGTAAATAGAATTAGGATCTGAAATCATCCATCAATAACTTTTATATTCTTAATATTGAAATGAGCTGAAAAACACAAATACAAATTTTTTAATATTATAATAATGGATTTTGTGCTATTTTGACGCGTCATGAATCTTTATATCCTCATTTTTATTACAGAGGTAATCGGTGCTATTACGAGCGTGTTGGCTATCTGGGTTGTAACAGGAGTTCTCGTGTATCTTGCCGTGATGAGACTCATCAAAAACGAATATGAATTGGACGGAAAAACGATGTTAATAACAGCAGCATGTGCAGTAGGCTTCAATATAATGTGAGTCATGGTTGCGTTGAAAATTAGTTAGACTGTGTGATCCGGAATAGCTCATCTCATTGAGAATCGTGTCGTTATTTTTATACGGGTTTAGAAACTAATATTTCTGTGATCCATTCGTACAGTTCATTCTCTTTTTCATTCAGTTCCCTCTGCTTAACGAACGCCACATACAAAAGTCACCTTATAAATATCTTCGAGGTTTTCACAATACTAATGGAAAACTTCATTTCGGACTGTTTTTACAAAAACTAATATCAGATTTTTCCAAACGAGTCTTTTAACTATACCTGGTTAATACTTTTAACCCAACCAAATATATTAAAAATCATTTGGGAGATTATAATATTTCATATAGCTTTTATTATAGCTTGCTTTAATAAGATTATATATGGCCCATGTAGTCATTTTTTTACTAGAATAATTCTTGTATTCAGAATGGGCTTGGTATTGCATGAAAGCCACGGACACTCCCATGGTCATTCACACGGACATAGCCATGACCACAAACATGATGATCATAAACACGGAGATTCACATAAACACACAGGTACGGTGTACACTTATATCAAAAATGTGTTTACTGTAGTGTATGCAGACCCAAAATAAATGTATGCTAAAACACAATTATATTTTAAACAAAGAAGTCCGAGGTTAATTTGATTTCCGAGGTTCTACATTGCAATGGGCAAATAAATAGCATTATTGTGCTGGGAAATTGTATCAGAAGTAATTTATACCTAGATTTGAAGAATTTTCAGGTGCAAAAAGGGGGTGTTTGACTCAGCGTTTTTTTGTGTATTCAGTATCGTGAAGTACTTATGGTAAAAACTCACATTCTTTCTCGTTTACCAAATGTTATACTATCCCTTTTGTATTGATCTTTGACCCCGTTGTGAGTCCGATACACATTATGCATCCCAAGTGTTTTGACGAACATGAGGTGAAAATCACCCTCGCATTAGCGTTGAATATACGTTGTGAGCTACTGGATCACCCAAAATAAAATTATATACAATTGCATGGTGATATATGGGCCAGAGAAGAGAATAGCATTTGATTTACAATTTGTGAATTTATTTCGCTGTCACGATTAGTACCAATTACCTAGGCTTTATAACTTCTAACTAGCTACAGATAATTTTGGTAAAAAACTAAATACACTCCTATTAAATACGTTCGGTTTATAGTTGTTGTTTCCCTGATTTTCAATTATCTACCAGGCATTATCTATGCATAAGCTGTCCGTAATTTAGAATTTCTAGACAGCACATTACATTGTATTTTGTTCAAAAATATGTTATTAAAATTTAGTTTGACTACCAAATTATTCATCAGCGGAAATGCATTTTAATTAACAAAATTGAGCGATTGCGTTTGGGCGATCAGTTCTAATTTACGTAAAATAAATATTTCAATTTTGAACAGAATCCAAAGTAAAATAATAAAATGAAAACTCGACATCAGATATTTATCTTCTTCTATTCCAACTGCATGAAAGGTTTTCTGTCGTGTTTGCTTTTCCATAGCCGTGTTAAAGCAAACCTAAATATCATCTAATGAAAAAAATTCTGAAAACGATTCATAAGTTATTTTATAAAACAAATGGCGGTACAAAATTTGTTTTAATATTTTTTTTGAATTACTGAATGTTCTCTCTAATACATCATCCCATGATTTCTATGTTATAGTCAAAAAAGGGGAAAAGTCAGTACGGTACGGTCATTCAAATGACAAACTTGTCGGCCTGATTACAGGTCATTTTTATTTATTCAAAATGCATTAAATATAATACTCCACATTACTTAATTATTAGTATTTAAATCAGGGATGCATATACGGATCATTCTGATCGTCTACCAAGTTTCGACATTCTTTTTGTTTTGCAATTTTTTTTCTTTCACCAAAATATTGTATATATGCATCTTATGTATTGCTCGTAAATGAATGAATATTTTAATAATTTATAAGGGACAATTTCATATTATTGAATCGGTCGGCGCTCAACAACCGCTTTGTAACTTTGTTTGACACCATATTATCTTATTTTAAGCTCATTTCCATATTGCGTTGAAATCAATTGCATGTTTTTTAAACGACTAACGACCCCACTACTCGTCCGTCGCTCAGTAAAAAAAAATTATCACTTCGTATGACTTTTTGCTGTGTGCTGTAAAACGATAAAACAGTTTGTCAAATATATTTATCCTCTTTTACGACTGAATATATAATTAAATACATCGTTTAACACAGCCGATTGAGATTCAATTGAGATCGCCTCGAATACGAACACAGCCCAATAAAACTTCCTGATAGCGCCGCATCGGTTCTATATTTGATTATTTTTTCACACACAATGGTACTGCCTCGACGAAATCGAATTTATTTCAAATGCATTATTAACAGGCCATCAAGAGGACGAAGAAAGTGGCAATGTTAACGTCAGAGCCGCATTCATTCACGTTCTGGGCGACCTTTTACAGAGTCTCGGGGTGCTTGTTGCAGCTTTCATCATATATTTTAAAGTGAGTGGATATGTTTCAAGACGTGACCTTTTTACGGGTCTTTATTCTTAACGTATTTGCATCATCTACAATTAAATGTGTGTCATGTGTAAACCGATTTCTTCATTGGATTCAGTAACATGCTATGCTTGGTTCAGCGATTATCTATTTAAATTAATAAATAAAATATTAGTATAGGGTCGTTACATAATTGGTAGCTGGCTGATGTTATCGATCACATAAAATGTGTTTCTTTGTTGTAGGACTTCCCGAAAACGAGCTAGCTTAAACGTACAAGGATTTAGAATTTGAAAGATTGGTCAAAGCCATAGAAAAAAAACGTTAATACTTAATATTTTTAGTTTTTCGTGTTTACAATCGGATATATTTGTTCGTTTCTGCTTGGATGAATATATTCACAAATTAGGGGTTTGTTTGATTTTTAGCCAGACTAAGAATCGTGCTAACCATCGAATTTGGTATTTATCGTCAATTCACAATTCATCGTTAAACAATATACGCATGGCGGACTCGAAAGAATGATTTTGAGGTTGCTTTACGCTTTGTTCTGTATTCACCCGTGAGACCTGTTAAACTAACTGGCATTCCACAGTGGATATGTTATCAGAACTTTTCTCTGTAGCCACAAATCATTCGAACACGATGTTCTGTTTTTCTTTTTTATATCATATTATTAATCGCAAACTCGAAATAAAGGCTGTTTCAAAGTCAGTCGGTTTCAAGACCATAGAAAAATTATTTAATGACGCTTTGGAGTTTAGTCAATATGTTACTTCACAATACGCACAGCGAATAATATAAAAAAAACTCACATTTCCTCGTTATGAGCGACATTTATGTTTGAGTGAGTAATTTTTTGTCGATATAAATTTTACACACTCTGTGCTATATTTACGAAACGTTATCAGGATAACACAATTATTGACCTGACGTGATTGAGGATTGAACAGTTTAAGGTAAATGTACGTGCGTGAGATGAAATGACACGCTCAAAAACCTCAATATACACGTAGAGTTCGGTCGTGCAGAAATATCTCATATGTGACAAATTGCAGGTTAGGGATCTTATTGTTCTCTTAGAAACACCTTGCTTAGAGTTGCCACGTCTCGTTTACGCACGAAAACTTTCTAGCCGAATTACAATAAAATCCCTTTCACTTTGAGTATGAATATGCACATAACTTGGGTTAATAAATATAAAAATAGTTGGATTTAGAATACGAATCACGAAACATTAGTTGCGCATGTAACTTTCCTGCAAAATTTTTGATTTTGTTGTTTTCTCCGACTTTGCAGTTTTTATGATTTACGTGCAATGAAAATTTTATTTGTTGAATTTTTTTCAAATTATTATTTTAAGTTTTGAAGCACGTACATTAATTGAATTATGACTAAATTTTTTGAACTATCTCTATATATCCTCGAGTGAATTGAAATCCATGCATATTCATAGTGAAAGTATGCGTGTTCAAACAATCTATGTTGATTTCGTAACTTAAATACGAGAGAATAGTTGTTCTAAAAACATATCGCAATTGGCTATCCACACCATGTCGCTTTTTACATGTGATATCTTTTTAATCTTTGGGGGAAATTTCAACTATATCTGTAATTTTGTAAAAATCAACTCTTACCAAAAAAAATACAAATTTTTTTCAGCCTGAATACAAGATCGCCGATCCCATTTGTACTTTCTTATTTTCTGTCCTCGTTCTGGCAACAACAATAACGATCTTACGAGATACTATTGTTATTTTAATGGAAGGTAAGATGGTCTTTTCTTCATTTTAAATCACAGTTCATTTTAAACGCGTTACGAAAGCACACTCGTTAAATAGGTGAAAATAAATGTCACTAAACATGTTTTGACTGAATAAAGTGAGTCGAGTACTTTATCACAACCACCGGTGGTCAAATTAGCAAAAGATCAATACCCCTTTGGCCCTTTCAGAAAAATAAAATTTCCAGCGCACAATTTATCGAATTTAATATAAATTTGAACATAGGAATCCATAAATACAAGAACAACATTTTGATTTAATATCAGTGGGAAGGGTGATATAGTTTCTGCGATATGAAGCGATTAAACCTAGGCAAAGTGGACAACCTACAGCATCTTATATCATTGTCAATCATAAGCTTGTTTCGATATTTTGTTTTAATATTAATTCTTTATATGAATTCCCTTATATAAGATATTCATGTTGAGCCAGCCCGAAATTTTTCAAACAGACTGATCCCGGTGTGAGACCAATTTGAATCAGTACATGGTGTGTATTTTTATATATCACCGCCAGTCTTTCAAATTACCAATTCCCTATTGTTACTATCGTCTGCAGGTACTCCAGCGGGTATAAACTACGAAAAAGTGAAAGAAAAGCTTTTAGCAATAGACGGAGTAATAGCTGTTCATGATCTTCGAATCTGGTCGTTAACTCTCAATCAATGCGTTATGTCCTGTCACTTGGCAGTCGGTAAGTAGTGACGTTATTTCCTCTAAACAAAGCTCTAGTCAAGCAGTCTTGCATTATAAGGAACTTGGTTAGTATATAAGTAACTGTATATTTTATTAGCCTGTCGATAATATTATACTCAGGGTGGAGGAATAAAATTGTATTACTTTTGGCTGATAGTATTTTATTGCTCATGTAACAGTATCTTTCATATAGTGCTTTTAACAACCATGATGATACTTGAAATTTATTTGCCTCAAGCAAACTAAGCATACTACAAGCAAATTATCAAAATTTAACCCTTACTTACTAATTCTAGTTTAAGCTTTTTATTTATTTTTCTGTTTAAACTATTTTCAGACAGGAACGTCCGTGCTGGATCTATTTTAAAACTTGCAACCAGAACAATGAAAGCCTCATATAACTTCCATTCAATGACGATACAAGTCGAAGCATATTCATTAGACATGGACGATTGCAAGAAATGTCAACCGACGCCCCATAAATAATGACGTCACAGGAATAGTTGAAATATTAAGTATAATACAATCATACTATTGTAGAATTGTTTGGTGCAAACCCAATTTATTGATATGTTATACTTGGCCAAGCATAGGTTTATGATCTCCTGTGCTTAGCTTGTCACCGATAGGAAAATAGGATTGTTTTTAGCGTATTGAGATCGTACTTCAGTTTGTGTCGCTTGTCATGACTCTCGTGCACAAATCATCTGGATTGGCTGCAAATATTTTATTTTAATTTTCGTCTTGTGTCATATTTGATATCTTCAATAATTACAGGGTGAAAGCTTATTAATGCATATTTATTTTTCAAGTCAAATCATATCAAATATTTTCTCTGTATAAACGGCCATATTTGGCAATCAATCACTGAAAGGCAGGGAGTGAGCAATCACATATCCCGGTTAAATGATTCTGTGATATATGTAGTGGCATTCCGATTGCCTTTGCCAATCGGATCATGCATATGGCGATCTGTAACACCAGTGCATCCCTAATTGTACTTATCTCATCCAAACAATGCATTGAAAATCTACTGTAGATTTTCATATCTGATCATCTCAGTTGTAGCAAAATTGACTATAATATTTCCAATATCTTCAGTTTCCATTGCGTTCTGTATCATGAAGGATGAAATGGTATAAGAAGATATTAAATGTGCAGCAGTCTCTATATATTTTTCTACTACGTCTAAAACTTTATCATTATACTATTCATGTTGCAATTGAACTTTGAACTCGATAATGAATGAAGTTGAACTGTTTTATTGCTCAAATTTCACGAACAAAAATCATAATTATATAAACCTCATTTTGCTTTTTGAAATTTAACTGCGATTTATTTGATTCGGAATGTTGAATAGTTTTTTAACAAACTTTATAATAGAATACATAAGGTGCACCCTCACCGTTTGGTTAAATTAAATCGGGTGATGTAATTTTAATTTCCGGTTAAGGTGCACTATTATTATTTTTTATTTATAATCATTATAAAATGAATAGTTAAATTTAATTATCATAATATTAATATTGTTTGTGTCAATAATGCACTTGTTTTTTGTCTGTTTTGGTCTATTTATTTTTTTTTCATCAGACATTTGCAACAAATAAATTGCGTATCGGTAGAGGGTAATTCAAAAAGTTTGTTTTTGTTTCCCTTATCATGTTTTAAAGAAATACTCTCCACCTCGACATTGCAGACTTAGGCCAAAAAATTTCACTTTGTATAGGTGGTAGGGTTAGGATAAAACTAGGCTTATCATAACTCAAACCTGAAACCCTTGCATGAGTTGAATAAAAACTACCATCACGCTATAATTTGTGCAACTAAAAAGTTGGAAGAACGTTTTTGTTCTCTATTGGGCTTATTTACTAGTTTACACTAATCAAAATTTCTAGGGTTACTAAATGCGGGCTTGTGCGCAAAACGATAAGTCAATACTTCATCTAGTAAGCTTTTGCACACTCCCTCCCCATACGCCTACACAAACTCCTTTCAATTGGCCGTCAACACATCACCCACGCATATAACACAGCAAATTTCACAACCTGCCGGTACAACAAAATATGGCAACAATGCGGGAAATTGTTCAAGTTTGATCTATTTCTAGAAAGTTTGCCTCTGGGCATATTCTATCTTTATTAGTGTAGACTTACCAGACAGACGGTTTGCCTGAGGCATATGTATGCCCATCACGTTCAATATTGTAATGTAGACACAGTTGTCGCACAGTTTTGTTACTAGCTTATGTATTTGTTGTGGGGTATATCGGTTTTAACAAGATACATATTCATGTTACAAACATAACAACACCTAATCAAGGTATATTAGCTTATTATACAAGGTGCAGGCAGGTCAGAATAAAGTAAAAAATGTTATGTAGAAAGCTGTATACTGCATATATATAGATATAACTACACTAGAACCATCATATTATAGTGCATGCTAGTGGATATTTAGAACTTCAGTTAGATATTTAGAAGATCATATCTCTAAAATATACACTTCGTTCCAGAGTACATTGTAGTATAAATAAACTTGAGTTATTTAGCATTGCTTGATAATGACTTTTGGTTACATCGCTCTTTGCTTCTTTCAGTAGCGTGACTCATATCTTTTTTACTACTACTGTTTTGTGATTGATGCCCATTTTATTAGTAGAAAGGTCCATGCGTTCACTACGACTTCTGCCCCATATGTACACCCTCTTTGACATACAGAATTGCTACGTCTGAATATATGGGACCTAGATTTCATGTTGAATTTAAACCAAATAAATGAGCCACTATGGTTTGAGAAATTGGATCCCATTTATCGCGATAACCTTTCTGTTCAATTTACTGCACACCGGGGTTGTAAAGGTGAGCGGAAGTTGTATCCAATGCGACAATCGTTACTCTGGTCGACTTAGGTTTTGACTCAAACAACTGTCAGGATATTGACATATATTTACAGTTCTGAAATCATGCAACTACGATAGGCTCGCTAGCATTAGATAATCCATATCCGATGTTGATTTTAACAACTGTTCACAAATTTGAAAAATGAAAGAAATAAAGTACTCGTGGTATGCAAGGTGAGTGATCATCTACCTAAGCAAAACAAGTTATTCGATGCTGTTAAACCCAAATATGGATTTAGGGAGCGCTGGCTGAAAGAGATGACTGAATAGTATATAAACGAAACAAGAAACAAGAGTTTCGAATGTTTAAATCAATGACAAAATTTCTAACATGCACTTGGTTTTCACGTATTTCCATGCCGGAGTCTCCACTCTGAAGTCGAAATTTTTGTTAACCCGAAGGCGGTACGGGCTCGAGTTTGGATTCGGGTGTAAATAAAAAAAAATAACTATCATTGCAAGTAAAATTTTAAAAACAGCTCAACCGAACCATTTTGAATGTATTTTTTACAGGAATTGCTGTCCGAATATTGGTAAAAAGAGAATTGGGAAGATTCTTCGAACTCTCGTTATTATTAGCAATATACTATATTGGGTGAGTTCGTTTTTAGTTTTATTGCACATATAGGCTGGTATTCTGATTATTACGCGGATTTATGAGCAAATTTGCTATGTGAATGCACCAGCAGTAAAAACCAATAACGTGCCATGTGAACCAGTCCATTATCCAAAAATGCTGGTGAATCAGAGGCTTTCAAAATAGCCCAGATGTGTTGAATGCTTGATAAAGTTTTGTTTTACGTTAACGGTTTCATACAATGAGCTCAGAGTTGTATAAATTAATTGCGAGCAAGGCTCATATTTGATAGGCGAACATGGTCCGTCACCAACATTTCGATACGATATTTTTATACTTAATTATTTGCACTCAAGCTCTTGCCATGGTCATGACAGTGTCTGTATGTTGTTGGAATGTAATATGACTTCTCTCCGTTGAACTACAGTTGTGTCAACTTTGTTATTAGCACAATTGAAGCAAATGTTGCCGATGCAACAGGGTGAATTTACAGGCATTTTTTTGCACGTAGTGAAAGAAAACACAAGGGTAGCAAAGACGATAAAGTGGCCAACATCCCCAAATAAAATCCAGAATGGTGTAAATTGATATACTCGCGTAAAGATATCACACGAGACTGTACTCGTAAAGCAGATTATTGTAATATTGAATGACTTCCGTAGATTCATGAGATCTTTAAGGGTATTTCGTGTACAAAATCTTCTCCTATTACTTCGATACTTCAAATATGGTGTTGCAAATAATATAAGCAACAAAACCGGCAAAACGTACGACATTAGCAAAAGCGCAGCATGACCAATTACGTTGTGAGGGCTCTTTAGCTTTTTGAATATACAACCGTGCTCTTTCAGGTTCCATTCTCTACTTCTTCCCGCAAAATTTGTCGTATAGCCCAGAAAAACCACTGCTATCAGCCAACCGCAATACTTGCTGATACCTCTAGTTACGGGTGTTGTAAAGTTCTTTGCCGCATGCTGCTGATAGAACAGCCGTTGCCTGATCCACATTTGTCCATAAACTGTGACATGGTATGACTGAATGCACATCAAAATAATGCCGGCAATAATTTCGCAGAATCGCTCATCAGCAAACCATCGAAATACCAATATGACGTTGACAATATACAGAACTATCAATGAATATCCATAAACAATAGTCGCTAGCAGCATTACTGCTTTTGCCTTTGTGCATTTACGTGCTGTCCCACGATATTTCGACTTATGTCTCAACAGGTATAAAGTCAGCTTTGTCACACTACTAGTTGTAAAAATAAGAAATGTAGTCACGATAGGAAGTATACAACCAATGTTTGGATTAACGGCGAAGGTGCTTGATGAGGTTTCTTGCATTTCTCGTCCACTTGAAATTGTTTTGTTCATTTTATTCATCAATAAGTTTGCGGTTATTTATTAGCGTTTCATCGACTTATTCTGAATTGAATAAAATAATTGTGTACTCTACTATTTTAAGCAATGGTTGAAGTGATTCTGGTCGGTGGGAGCCAGTACAATAACCGTAAACTCGATGTATGAAATTTCAAATGCCATACAACCCCATTAACGAATTCAGTTCAGTTCTCAAAATATGACAACATTTTAATTAGTAAACGACAAAACGTATGCTTGATAGAAATAGTTTCTGTACAGTTTAAAAGAAACAGAATAAGAAAAAATGACTCAAACATTGAGAAAAAACGTTTTCGATTCTAACTTTTCCCTATTTTTTGAATTGAAATCTCCTGCCTGATTGACTTATTTATCATATTTTGAAAATATCACTCTATTCCTACCCCGCATATTTACGTTCCTGAGTAGCTTCAACAAGAGTATCCTAGTATTAGAATTGAGAACTAATCTGAATGTTTCTGATTAATTAACCCTTTTCATAATTTCGAATAACTATTAGCTATCCCTTCAATAATCTCGTACTGCTTTTCGTAACCAGAAACAACCATAATTTCACCTGTATCATCGCCTCTTGTCGATTTCTGATAATATCGAATTATTGAAATACCTTCCATGAGTGTTCATTAAAAATTCATAGTAACCTTTTCTGCACAAATTATATAAACGCATGAATTCAAAGTTAACAGCACAAAAGGCTGGATAATTTGGGGAATTTGCAAACGAGAATGTGAATTCCATAACTTTCTGCGTTGATATAAATGTTAAAACAATACAGTACAAAGATGATTTAATAAGCCATTCTAACTACCGATTTGAAATGAATTTTATGTGGAAAAGTTATGGTGTTGTTTATAATGAATTGAAAGCAATATACTATTCTGTAGTAGACAATTTAAAATAAAAAATACTATGCTATGGCAGACGAAATAACATAAGAAAGCAATAAACAATAAAACTGACGATTTCACGCTATTAAAATATGATTTTCCGTATCAACATAAATCGATGGCAGATTATATGTATAATATGCATGTAAACACTAGGCTGTGGTATAAGAAATCTTCTATGTTACAGATGATTGTGAACATATTTGCCAGAAAGATGTATCGGTTTCGTCTTGCTTTTGTCTATGATTTTATAAATCTGTCTTTTTCAATTGCAGTTTGCGGGATGCGCTATTCTCAGCATTTCAATATGGCTGCGATTTGTGGACGTTGGAGCAAAACGATATTTTTCAACATTTCAGCCATTTGACACGGGTATGAATAATTAAACTGCATCATATTTGGTGGAAAAAACTGTTATAAAACCATCAATTTTGCCCTAATTTGCGTACACATCTTACGGTCTAGTCTAAAATGCAAACGAAACCCATTTTCTACATTTGGTATAGCATAACGAAACATTATAATTACATGATATTATAAATATGGTCATTTAATTTTCTGTTTTTTTTCTAGCTCTTTACGTAATACTTGTGGCGTCCATTTTATTTCTGGTCGCATCATTTGTTGGAACTTGTGCCGCAAATACAAAGAATGAAATGATGATTTCGTTGGTAAGCGTTAACATTCGTTAAAAGGATTAATTCTATTTAACAGGTTATCAGTTCAAGCCAACGACTGGCAAAAATAAATTTACAACTAGATACGTAGTATACTGATGGATTCGTCTGTTAAATTGTTGTTGTTGTTGGGGTTTATCTTGTTCTTATTGTTGTGGTTGAGAAAAATCGCCTTTCTTCGTACCTGATGGTCAAATCAATTTTAGATTTTAGTACTTGAAGATGGTTTGAGCCTCAAAGAGGTCATTACATTGTTTTTAATTTCCTATGAGTTTTTCGAATTTAAGATGAATATAAATTAAAATAGAAACCAGTAATGGACGAAACTGAAGACATAACTAGTGGTGTTATTTTTTATATTTACTTTGTTATTCGGCATTGTGGTAAATTGGAATCAGAATATTTGTTTTCCAAATCGTAACGTTGATACTGCAAAGTGTAAATGCTTGAGTCTAGTTTTTGGGTTTGTCATGATACCCTTCTAATATGGTATACTTCGGTCGAAGGATATTGAATATTAAATCGACCTCGATTACCTTGAGGAACAAATAGGAGCAACACTCATTCGTCAAAGTGAGGTGTAAAGAAAATACATAAAATATTGACCTCAGCGAGTGATTTTAAAAATATCACCACAAACATGAAAAGTTACACGTTCAATGTCAAGACAAACAGGTTCATAACCACAGAAATATGACATTTGGTTATTTACAGCCATACAAACTAGGTAGTTGGTGTTAATATCCTCACATTTTCTTTTTCAGTATATCATAGTATTATTCGTGGTTTCAGTGGCTGAAATAATATCCTTGATTGTTTATTCTTCAAGTCATCTTGAGGTAAATATATATTATCTTTGACTAATTTTCATTGCAAGATAAGTGGCCATAGTGGAATTTATATATTTTTTTAATTTTGCATATAAGTTGTTGCATACCTGTCCAAATCTAAAAATGATCACGATATAAACACATAGTCGAACGCTCAGAAAGTTGACTCGCAATTGCGTATTGGCCACCTATACACTCATACCTCACCTCACTGATGTACTGCTGAATATGAAGATGAGGTCCTTACACATTTATTTGGGAAATATTGAAATTTAGTTTCGGTAATAGAGTCACTGTTTCATGTAAAATTTCAAAACATATAAATTAGATTTATTATTGTTTATGTTTCAGATAGAAGAAGATTTCTCGAAATGGTATAAAAATCATTTTGAAAACTATCAGAGTCAAGATTTAGTTCACAAGGAAGTTGTAAACCATGTACAGTCAAAGGTAATATACTGTATGTTACTTCCTCACACGACGTTGAAACATCTTAACGTTTTAGTAATGGGTACCTAACACTTTTTTCAATACTTTTATAAATACTTGTCCAGCCGCATCTTTTGAAATGATATATGAATCACACTTAAAATATATTATATATAATAGATATGCTTTTGGGAATATGCAATAAAAACGACAAAATTTGCATACGCATCTGAATAATTTTGTAATGTTTAAAAAAGTAGGAAAATATATCTTGCTTAGTTAAATATATATTTTATTCATCAGTAAGTGTTAAGCGTAAGATGGTAGCTTGCTTTAGCCTGATAACATTTAGCTGATTCAGATTAATAATTTTTCGATCTACATTGGCATCTTATGTTGAAGACCCAATCAACACCCAACTTCATTACTCACAGAATCCCGTCTTTCAACACAGTTTGGGAGAATATCTGCAGCAGGGTGGTCCAAGGTTGTCGGTTTCGCGGGCCACAAAATTATTTTTGCATTGTTCGCGGGCCACAATAGTGCCAAGAATGTTAAACAGTGCAATGCAAAACAAACGCTTTAATTGTGCAAACACATAGTTATCAGACATAGCCATCCCAGACTAATAGAATCCGCATTCGATTTTTAGTTTTCTATGATGCCTATATTGTTAGCATATTTTCCCGACCAAAAAGATAGAAAGCCAGATAATAATTTAAACTGCCAAGCACATCATTCAACTTCGCTAGTTGTCTCAGCTAGCCATACCACTGGTCAATTCAGTGACATTATTGATGTAACAATATGTCAAAACATTTTTCTGATTAATTTTATTACGAAACAACACAAAATGCGATTTTTTGATTACTCTCCGAATGTGTCGCGGGCCACAGATAATAAAGCGGCGGGCCACATGTGCCCCGCGGGCCTGGGTTTGGATCACCCTGATCTGCAGGGTTTGCCCAACGAACATTCCGATCCCAAGTTTCTTTAATTTTACATATTTTCTTACTAAGTGATTATATGTATAAAGTCGTATATCAAGACTAATGTGAATTTAATATATTTTGTCTTCACAGATGAAATGTTGTGGAATGTCAGGACCTCGAGATTTTCTAGTTGTATTTGGAAATGAATCAATTCCAAACAGTTGTGTAATACAGATCAAAATAGCAGAAGACATATTTCGACCTGAAGTTTATAAAACGGTATATTTGCTATCTTCCAATATTTCTATAAGATAAGTTTAAAAAATCTTGTTTTTCAATGCATATTTAATTAACTTGAACTAACAAACATTTTCAAGCTGATAGCAATTAAGAACCCACTTTATTCAAATGCCTTTACGTTCAAGTTCCGACATTTTTGAGTAGGAGCTGATTTCATACTTTAAATTCGTTCCCTTTTAGCCCGGGTTTTGCTTGTAGAAAAAAAGGGATATAAATGATTGAATATTTTGTGAACAAATGTTTACTTACTGTAAATATTATCTACATCAAATATTTTATATCATACAGGGTTGTATGCAAAAATTGAGCGAGTTAGTTGACTGGTTATTGGATGGTTGGTCGATACCATTCACTGCAACGATTATCCTCTTGTTACAAGTCGTTGGGATAATCACAAGTGGAATGTTTCTTCAACATATAAGTAAGAACATTTTTTTTGTAAGTTTGTCAGTATATCAAATATTTTGAAGTCTATTTTCTGGTAGTACTGCAGCTACGCCTCGCCATCACTTTAACCAAGTTGATTGTCGGATCGAGCGAATTGGCATTATATTCCAATCATCATTGTAAAAAAAAGGTACTCCCATAGTATGTGTATCAGGTTAGGGTTAGGCCATAATTTTATTCCGATTTTCAGTTCTATTACGAGTTCGGGACTGTCTGTGTTAGCCAAATGAATATAACCCCGGCCCATAGGCTTCAGTCCCTTTTCACAACTTAATGTAAAATAGGCAAACGAAATTAGTTACCTCTATATTGGTGCACATACTTCTGGAGCGCCAAAAAATCATTATCAAATAAAATCAACATTATTCAAATGATTTCGTTGTCAGTCCGCCATCTTGATATGTGCAATAGAATACTTAACTATATCTTTTATATGACATATTTGTGTTTTACAGTCAAGTAAATTTTGTTTCAATTTATAACAGTTTATCGCAGAAATTTCAAATATGATGACGATGACTCTGCAGGTTTATTAAAGTAAGTTCTTATGTATCAATATCTTATTGCAATGTTTTAAATGGAGATTTACATCGTAAATCAAGTTGCCATATTTAGCAAACAGGTTAAATTGTTGGTGTTACGTTATTAAATTTATACAAAATTACGAAAAACTGGGTTTATTATTGTGTAGCCGAATCGCACTGTGTTGTTGGAAGTTGATGAACTTTGGGAAATTTTCGTCTTATTATCGTATTGGTATAATACGTTGTAAACATCTACAGTACATTCGCCAGCCTGTAACGGGATTTATTCACATTGGTCCAATCCCCAGTATATTTTTCTGCAAAGTACAGACATACATTGTATTTTCATTTTTGCGAAAACAACGAATTTATATGGTAGAGAATTTTCAAAGATTCCATATTCAATAGTGCTGCAAGAGTTCAGAGATTTTATATCTTGTTTCTAGTTCTGAACAGAACTTCTTAGATCCGAATCATCCGTTGGCCAAGCAATCTGGAAAGATGTCCGTTGATGGTAAGTACCTTCCCTTTCTGTGCGTATATGTTGTATTTGTAAATCTTTAGCACCATACATAGGTAATAACTGATGCTATCACCTAACTATGATGTGGAGTGATATCGTATGATCCAATGTGCGGTAACACCGGAAATACCTAAAAAGCCCTATCCCAAATAGAACATCCAACATTTGTTGCTTTGACTTTATTGCTGTGTTGAGGTATCGCAGTAGTAATGGACATCAGTGAGTCAGTTTATTTCAGCAGTTACACACAATTTAATCTAATTATGATCATCACTCCAAATATTAGCCAAGTAGATAGAAACAAACATGAAAAATACAACTTACAAATAACAAGATCTCAGAGCTAAATGTCAGAGTGCGCTCTTCATAAACTCAAAAGCAAGAGAGCAACATGCCACAGAAATCAGCGATGCCAGATTATCGGTCAGCATAGACAGCCAGGTTGGCTCACTTAATTTATGTTCGAACTAATATGTGTTATAAAGTATGGAGGTAATACATGAAATTATTTATTAATATCAAAATTTGGATAAGAAATCAGTTCATTTAACCGAATATGAATCTACTGTGGCTAATCTACCCATGGCTATTGAAAGAGATATTGTGAAGGAATTTTTCAGCACAGAACCTGGTGCCACTATTGAAATAGGTAAACATTTCTTACAACATCCACACCCATACAATGCAAACGTACATTGCATCCAGTAGATTTGAAATACATACACGTAATACTTTTCAAACATATGCTACAGTGTACGGCGTAGCACGAGATCACAATCAGAATCTCTTTTTTTTTTAAATAAAAAGCATGTGATCAATGACTAGCCAGGAGCTGATAGCTGAGTTACTTCGACATACATATTGCCAACTAGCCTACATGTTTTGACGTAAATAGATTTGCACATATGAAGGTGATTCTTGTTTCGCGATACATTCACCACACACCAAATTACGTAATTGAAGATAAAGTAGACCTGTGTATCGGTTCAAATTCTTATTGTTGGGTTGATTGCTATTGATGGGAAAAAAATCCCTTTCCTCTCCAACAATGAAAAGAAAGGAGGATATTATTAGTTTTTAGATTTCCATGTGCTATGGTCCCGTTATTGCCCAAAAAAAAATATTGCATTGCTTTATTCATACTTCTTATTGATCGACCGCTTCTATATTGTTTGGTCGCTAATCTTTCAGTAAACTTGGTGCTGTCAAGCCTGACAGTACCGATGTTGAATGTTCGTGTCTAAAAATTAAAGTATTGTTCTTTTGTTGTTCATTTTCTGCATTCGTGTTGTTGGCAATTCTTGAGGCAAGGCACTGATGAGTCTCAACGTCAAGACTACATATATATATATGTGCTACTGGTATTATCTCTTTGTAGAGAGTAATAAAAATGTATACAAAATATTTCATATACACGCTTATTGTATTTATTTTCTCATATATATTATTTCTAGATATTCTGCAAAAATAATGTCATGATGCATATCCAATTTTCTTTGTAGATCTACCAAGACCAAAACTTACTCGTTTGATGAGATCGCCCATCGACGAAACATTCGGCCTTGATGTTCGATATGTTGACGAGAGACAATGTTTTGTGGTAACCGAAGTAACAGAGGATTCAAACGCTCAGTTTGCTGGAGTTACAGTTGGGAGCCAAGTAGTGGAGGTAAAATACCTCTTGACAAATAGTTTGCTGGGATTTATTTGTAAATTCAACACCATAATGCCTTACGAATAAATAGTTCTGTTTACGTGTTCAGATTTTTTTTTCAGTGTTTGAACATGCAAACGCTTGACATATCTTCAATATGCTAACGAGAATATCGGTCAGAGACCGAAGACTTATCGATCGAGAGTTAGGGGATCCCCCAAAACAGCGCTCTTACTCCATAGTGACACTTTGTGTCCCATCACTAATTAATTAATAACTCGCTAATTATACGACATAATTCGCCCAAAATCAATAGGCTTCTAGTCAGAGATAAGATGAATGCACATGCAAAATCTGGAGCAGCTTTCGTGAGATATCGCGTGCATCTAACAGACAAACAGACAGACATACAGACAGACAAATACCTATCAACATACTTACCGATTAAAATCGATAAGTAATAATATAACGATTGAGAGTTGGTTTGAAAACGTCTATAACAGAATGGATATGACACCTTTCTGTTCATTTGTCATTTATATTGTTATGGAAATTTTCAATTTAGATTGCCATTGGCAAAATTAGTGTACTAAAAATACGATGTTAAAGTGCACAATTCTTTTCCATGATCGTACTTAATACAATCGCACACATGCGGGAGACATGGTGCAGATTTTACACCTTTCTCACATTTCCCTATTGTATTGTTTGTATATATAACAACATTCGTTTTCGCAGAGAGAATCTGTCGTTTTAATCAGCTCGATATTTATTGGCATTTTTGTCTTTTTTTAGTTGGACAAAAGTTAAAATTTTGCCTTTTTTGTGTAAAATTTTTGAATCTTCACAGCTTTTGACATAATTGTTAACAATTTGTGCTTTAGTTGAACGGAATGCTGTTGCAAGGAGTTGATCAAGACGAAGTTTATGAAAAAATGGAAAATTCATCTGAGGAAATGTTCATGCTGGCTATTGACGAAGAAACAGAGAGTATTTATCGAGAACACAAAGTTTCAGTCAATTTGAAAAATGTAGAAGGTACTTGTGATTATTAACCCGAATGTTTTGTTGTCCAATTAAAACATTAAAATATGAAGATTATGGAGTGTAAGTCTCTACTTTTTTATACAAATGGTAGTTTGACCAACGCAAGACCAAGGTTTGACTGAGAGAACTATTGGGGTTGTTGTTTTATATTGCTAGTTTCATCCAATTCACGATCAATATTGTTAATCTTTGCTACTATTTGTCATTCAATGGCTTTTTAAAGTTCAAAGTTTCCATAGAACCAGACACCCCCAACCAGTCGCCCCCCAAAACATTGAAGTATGTTACTCAATTTTCCGTTTCATTCATATGAATATTGTTTTACTTGACCGTGGAAACATTGAATTTGATGTTACCGGTCCGCCAAGGTAAAAAGGTTGAAAACCAATGATTTATAACATATCCTCGGGTTGGTTATAATCACTGAAATACATTCTTGTCATTTCTAATTCTCATTGATTGCCTAACATGGAATATGTTTTAAATTAGGAGTAACAGATGGAAGATGCGAATATAGACCGAGGTTATGTAAATTGACAAAGGGGCCTCAAGGATTTGGATTTCACTTACTTTACCTTGAAGATAGAAAGGGAGAATACATTGAGGAAGTTGCTTCTGGGAGTCCAGCATCTGATGCAGGTAGGTCTAATTATAAAGCTGCACATCGAATGCATAAAATGCATAGTCATATCTTACAACGAAGTACAGTGAGACGGGAATAACATAGATGCGCTCAGTGGCGATATGTAATTCATTATTACTTATCGATTTTAATCGGTAATTATGTTGGTATTTGGTATTGGTATTGGTAAGGTATTTGTCTGTCTGTTTGTTTGTCTGTTAGATGCACGCGATATCTCACGAAAGCAAGATTGACTCTGCTCCAGCTTTTGCATGTGCATTCATCATATGTCGTACCAGAAGCCTATTGATTTTGGATGAATTATGTCGTATAATTAGCGAGTTTTTAATCAATTAGTGATGAGACACAAGGTGTCACTATGGAGTAAGAGCGCTGTTTTGGGGGATCCCCTAACTTTCGATCGATAAGTCTTCGGTCTCTGACCGATATTCTCGTTATTCAATTAGCAGTGGCCGTTGATATAAAATAAAATAGAAAAGCAGCCTAAATTACGGACACATTTTCGCATGCAAATGTTTTTATATGTAATGCTGCTTATTAACAAAACGTTGAGATCTATGGGGAATCGGCGAGAGCTTTAGCATGACGTTGAAAACTATTTGAAAGCGCGACATCTTTTACAAAACGTTCAGATCTATAGGGAATCGGCGTGAGTTTAACAAAATGTTGAAATCTATACATAAGCGTCGAGAGCTTTAAAGACTTTAATTCATTCTACATCGTTGCTATCTAGGCTTGTGTATCGGTGACCGAATCGTTGAAGTTGGAGGAGTGAACATAGAGAGAGAAAAATCAAGCGATGTTGTCAAACGAATTCGTATGAGCGGTGATCAAATTAGTTTATTAGTTGTGGACCCAAAAACCGATGGATTCTACAGGTTTTCATTATTTTACTTGATCTTTAAATAATGACTTTTGAAGCATAAAATATCGATTTAAAATTTTGTGTGAATTTAAGTAATGCATGTGAACTTTTCATCAAAGATCCCGTTAAAATGCTCAAACTATTTGAAAGTTGAATGATGTAATGGTATCGAAAATAAATAATTATTTCTCTATTTCTTTAATAAATATGGTTTCAAGATTTGTCGCAAATTTGTGCAAATGCAATAAAACTGTATGTAAAAAAAGGATGGGACTAATACAAGAAAGTTATCCCATTACATTCTGACACTGAGACAATTTGTTTCTAGGAAGAAAGGTGTGACATTAACCGCCTCTCTAACTGTCAACTATTACGCTGGAAGAACAATGTCGCCTCTGCCTCAACCTCGTGCAGGTATGTATCCTTCACGTATTATCAAATAACAGGCGTAAAGTAGAGCAACTGGACATTATCCTTTTATATTTTATAAGAAAAACGTAAAAATCCTCGAGATGTGAAACCAAGATATTGTCGACTCCTCAAATCAGAAGATGAAGATTTTGGACTTTACGTTGTTATTGACAACAACAGAATAGGACAGGTAAGCTTTCTTTCTTGTTATTGTTTTCTCATTGTGAATTTGGAGATTACTGTTCTTTTTCTGTTTGCAATCCTTCGCTATATTCACTAATGTTACATATAGTGTGTTGTACTTTGCAGCTCTAAACCAAAATTTCACCCTATATCGCATCCATGATATTTCATAAGCAACTTTAACTCTCTATTTTTATATTTGATTACTACAGTATTATCAAATGCTCATATTCAAAGTGTCCCAAATCATGTTATAAAGTGTTGGATTCTTCATTTTTTTTATTTCATAAGGCTAATATGCCAAGCTTATATTGCGTGCATGATACTTTCTCTGTAAAATGATTTCATATAATTTTACGTATTCGATTATGACTATTAAATGTTCGCATTCAAATTGTCCCAAATCGTGTTATAAAATGTTACATTCTTCATTTTATAAAGTTAATATGCCAAGCTAATAGCTCATTTCCAAAATAATTTGTATCTTCGAGTACGGTACCTGAGCTCCAATCTATTTCGTTTCGATCATTTTTATATTTTTGAAATTCAATTGATAATAAAAAATGGTAATAACATGTAAGTATAGTATATAGTTAACAAAAATGAGAAGTATTGGTATATTGACACCGAACCTGTTATTTATTTTTATGCTTATTTAATTGAATTGGGTGGCAACTGACTCTGATGACCCCCAAAGGTCGTATCGTTGCTTCCCAGTCATATACCGAAAACATCTGTTAATTTGATATTTATATATGCATGTATGTATATATTGTTTTCTTGGTTTGACAAAACGAAGTAAACTCTCTCTCTCTCAACAACTTCTTACCAATGCAAATGGAATTTACGAATTCTTATTCAGTTCAGTTCTTCCCAAATAGGATTGGGATGAAGCATTTCGGAAATTTGTGCCATTTTATCACTATTGGCTTTTCTGCCGTTACTTTATGAATGAAACAATATATTTTTTCCTCATAATAATTTAGGTTATTCGATGGGTAGATTGTGGAGGACCAGCAGACAGAGCTGGACTTCGTATTGGTGATCGTATCATAGAAGTGAACGGACATTCAGTAGAATACGAATCTCATCAACGTTTGATAAGTTGCATTTCTCTCAACAAAACTTTATCACAATTTATTGTAGTCGACGAAGAATACGATCGTGCGTACAGAAGGTAATGTGGCGATTTTTTCATTAAATTGAGCCTAAATCTGTACTTGCAGTTGGATTTTTCTTTCCTTTTTCTTTTTATAATTTTAATTTGATTTCACCTTTAATACCTTCATACACTGTTTATTATGTTATTGGCATTTTTCGATCATACCTCATCATAGTGTGATAATGCTTGAATTTTTTAATTATTTTATGTATAAGCCAATGTTCTCAAACCAGGTTACAGTTTGTATCCTTTCAATTGATGTTTTAATGTTGTTGCAGAAATAAACCAAGACTCTGTCGTATATTCAAAGAATCTGACTCTTTCGGATTTTGTGTCTGTCATGAGCAGAATAAAGATGGTCACTACATCGAGGAAGTTGACGAAGGGGGGCCTGCAGAAAGAGCTGGACTCAAGGTATTTCTTATCTGAGAGTTATCAATGGACATTACAACATTTAGGTTTGAAGTAAATGAAGAAGCGACAAAAAATATGTGAAATGATTACAAAGTTAGATGGAATTAATTTTAATTCAAATAACCGCATTCTAGAATATAGTTAGAAACCTCAACATTCAAACGGAAAGACTATATTTCCTCTGAATGTAGAGTTATAATTTCCAACAAGTATTTCTAGACGATTTTGAACTTCAGAATTGTATCAAAAATTAGAAGTCTCTTTAAATGACGTCAGTTATAATTCATCAGCTGCCGAAAACAAATCAAATATGCCACCCGTACTGACTATTAACACCAATTATTCGATAGGGTTGAATCAGCTCGCCGGGCTTATTCAAAGCAAGTGGTTAAGTTTGACCAATGTCATAGATCAGTCGTATTCATCACTGCAAGAACAGTAACTTTCTTGTACAAAGTAATAGTTTGAATAAATGAATTGTTTTAAATAATTCGACACTCCCGGTAGACCACTTTGTGTTGTTGTATTCTTGGTGGTTTATAATTTTATACTGTTGTAAAACTAGGAGAAATAATATTCAAATTACATCAGGCAATACCTGATTGTTCACATTCTTATATCTCCTGCAGGTCAACGATAGAATCATTCAAATCAACAGTTTGAACGTGGAGAAAGATTCTCATGAGAATGTTTTGAATAAATTACGATCATGTGAATCTGACGTTGTTTTATTAGTCATAGACTCACGATCAAACAAGCACTACAAGAAGATTGTGCAATTCAAGTCACAGGTACGTTAACTACTGATGCCAGATTTGAAGTGTTGTATTAAATATCCCACTTGCAAATATTCTGGTGAATATGTAAATGTTGAGCAAGTAGATTCGTTACGCGTTTTTGTGTATTGTAACTTACGTGCAAATATTGTGCAGCACGTTCATCAGGACTTCTCATATTACATACTAGCATATATACATATCAATCGCGTTCTTAAAATATATGATTCGACCCATATTTCTCCATGCTGTTTTATGTTCTTGTGTTATCAAATACCGATAAAGCTTGAAAGCAGGGTTTCAGATTTACGGCGTTGCATTATCAAATTCACACGCTCCATCACTCAAAATTGCGTTCATTACTATACTCATTACTTACCAGGGAATGAAAGATGTCGACTACGACATGATAGCAATTCCAGAAGAACCGCTTTTCCTACGAGATGAAGTTGACGACGATGATGAATCATTTGCATCAGATCGAATATCAATCGCATTGCTTGATGATCACAGTTCAATGAAAGGTTCACTCAGTAGAAGCAGTGTGTCAGCTAGCATGCTTGGTGAGTTATAGCTTTAAGTAAACGTTCTGATATGTTATATCTGTAGATTCATACATTTGGCAACTTTATTTATTTTTTACTAAGGTGAACTTAACGCTGGAGTTGTCAGTCGACATGGTATCAGAGAATGCATAGTTCGAATGACCAAACAAGAAAAGAAGGGGTTTTCTACGTTGTTAGATCGAGACAGGAATGGTATCGTTATTCGGGAGTAAGTTTTTTAAATTTTTTCATATTTATTTAAGACGGGATGAATAAAATCTGAAGTATTTTGTTATTGTTTTATCGTGTATATATGTTTATTTATTTAATCTTTCCTTTATATCTCAGCATCATAAAAGGAGGTCCAGGCGATCGAGCAGGTATGAAAGAAGGAGATCGTATTATCACTGTCAATAGTCAGAAAACAAGCACATTAACTCATGAGCAGGTAGACGTCACGATATTGAATATCTGTTGTATTTCTCTGGATTTGCTCGTCTAATATTACTGATAAAACAATTGCATATACCCACTAGGACTAGGTCATTCATTTCGAATCGAATAGTAAATTATTCGAATCGGTTCAAACGATAGTAACCACTGTTGATTAGATACCTATATGCGGTTGCGATATCATGTGGCATGCGACCCAAAGCAGTTCAAATCTCGTAGAAAAATAATATACAACAAGGTAATCTACAAAAAATTGTATGAATGACTACACGGTAATGTAATAAAATTGATTAACCGAAAACCATGAAGCTTATTTATATCTTGATTGTCTTATTACCAGTATTAGGCATCATCAAATCATTTCCTCATTTAGCAATGTCTAAACACATTTCCTTAGGTAGTGGAGAGAATGCTCCAAAGTGGACGAAAAATTATATTGACAGTTGTCGATGAAAAGTCGGAAGACGTCACAACAAAACATCGTCCTTATATATTCCGTATGTTAAAAGATGAAGGTGGATATGGATTTTATCTGTGGCATGATGACAATGGACATTACGTTGAAGAAGTTACAATTGGAAGTCCGGCAGATAAATCCGGTAAACAGATGTCTCAATTCAACTTACTTTACAATGTAGTGAATCGATTTCGTACAATAATGGGATATAGATCTGACAGGGACAAACTACGGCGCGCGGGACAAATCCGGCCCGCTGGGTAATTTATTCTGGCCCGCCTGATGCTGCCACAACCAAACTGAAACCAAATTTTGATGTTTTAGCTAAAAAATAGCTCAAGGAATTAGTTTAGATTGCGATTAAATTTAGTTTTGGCATGAGGCTCATTGTTTTCCACTTTTACTTTTGTAACACTGTAAACATTGTTCAGGGAATGTAACTTTTACGTCAAAATTACATGACCCGCCAGTCTAGATGAGCAAAATTTCTTGCTCGAGGTTCAAAAATCTTGCCCACCCCTGCTCTGGATAATACGTTCTAGTTTTATTATCACTCGATTCGTCAATTTTATTCGAAAGGACACAAACAAAATTTGTGTCGAACAGGATTTCCATCCATACCAAGATAGCTACGAGCTATTATACTCCAAAAAACGTTACCTACGTTTCTATCGTCTTCCAGCTATTGGGAATGGTCGTTGAAATGACATTCGCACATTCAAAATTTTGGGAGCCTTGTGTACCGAGCAAAATACTTTTACCTTGTGTTTCTGTTTCCAGGTATGCGATCGGGAGATAGAATTATTGAAGTAAATGGCGTTAACGTAGAGGAGGAGACACATGAAGAAGTATTTTATAGAGTGAAAGCGAGTATGAATGTTGTGACACTTCTTGCCGTCGATGAGAAGACGTTTAAATTGTACAAGAAGAACAAGATTCCAGTCAGTGTGTTGAAAGCCGAAAGCAACTTCTCAACAGATACTACTGCAACCAAGATGGGTAATAATATAACATTTATAAAATGGCTTGAATTTTAAGAAACACTCAAAAATCCTAATTATATCGAATTTGAACAATGATAAAAAATATTTACCTCCTGTATACATCTATTATTTGTTACCTATATCGAGCCTATATAGCTTGGGTTTTCAACCTGTTTTGGACACGAATTGTATATCTCGCAGTTTGATTTTAACAAAAGAAAACATTTTCATTTTGCTGCTTTTGACCGCCTCCGTCATGTTTAACGATGATTTTTTTTTATTAAAGCAAACTCAGTGCGCTAAGCCAAAGGTATCACCGTACACGTACCGATGCATGGTCTAACCAGAAATCATGGATATTATTGCGTAGATGGAACTTGATATGCAATTTCAGCATTCTTCTCTTGTTTACAAAGTTATCTAAAAGAAGGCACATATCTACTTTACCTTTGTCTGTATTGTACAATGAAAACATGTCGACTATTGAATACCGAGCATTTACTTTGGCATCATAGACGAAAAACTCTTTTAATTCATTGTTTTTCATTACAAACTTCCCAATTTAGCACCCAAAGCAACGAACACGAAAAACACAGAAACAGTTAGGAGAGAAATTGAATTGTACAGAGACGAAGGAGAAGACTTTGGATTCAATCTTGCATTTTCCAATTCCTTTATCGGTGATTCGAACTCTGGATCTCACATTGTTCATTGGGTCGAAGATGGAGGACCTGCGTTTCTGGCCGGGCTGCGAGATGGCGACAGAATCGTTGAGGTAAGCGTAGTTGTTTATGCATGCAAAATGAATACAAATTAAATTTTATAATTTAAGAAACGCCGTCAGCAAGAAGATGACTTCAGCTGTTACTTACTTATTGAGTTTTTAAATTGAGAATGCTAACACCTTTTGTCACCATACGTGCTCTTAATAATGAGATATTATGCTCATTTAACTAGCTATAATCCAAATAATGCAAAGAAATAATTTTCACTAATATTGGACACGAATAGAACCTATGCATCGGTTCGCTAAACTTCTGTTGTTAGCAAAGGTTTCTTATTGTTGTTAGTGGAAATGAGTTTCCTTTCTAACTGCTGAAATTGCCTTAGACGATATATACAATTTTCCCTTGGAAGACTATTACTTCATATTTTCCAACCTCTTGTCGACTGTTGTTAGTTATTGGATCAGTGGCCAACAAGTTGTTCAGCAAATTACTATGTGCTTTGTTTTATAGATTGAAGGGATCGACGTTACAAGTGAAGACCACGATCAACTGATCACAAGAATCTATCAAGTCGGGAAACAACTGATCACAATAACTATTGAATTTGAAGAAGAACAAAGTACAGTATATTATGTTATTCAAATCCGGATTTCACAGAAGCGAGTACCGCAATGCAAATTTAATAATATTTGGAAGTGGAACAATCTAATATACTGCTGCAAAATTATGCTAACACCATCATTTATGTGTTCTGAATGTTTATTTGTTGTATTTTAGAAACAATTCAACTTATGTTCAAACACCTACATTTATTACGTATTTCAGATAGCTTTGTTCCTCACGACATAAAAATTAGAAAAGTCGACAATAGTTATGGATTTCATTTATGGTTTGATCAAAACGGCCACTACATAGAAGATGTTACAATAGGATCTGCAGCTGACATTGCAGGAATGAAAACAGGAGATCGTGTCTTGAAGGTCTGTATCGATCTAAAGACTATCTTCAGATCACCCATTTGTGATTATATTATTAAAAATGATATTGAGAGTAACTAGAGCTTAGACTCTGTATGAATGGACAAGGTTTCTGGATCAAGGGCCAAAAATATTGCCGCCCAACTAGACTGGCGGGCCATGTAAGTGTTACGTAAAAAGTTACATTCCACGAACAGAATTTTATTTACGGTGTCACAAAAGCAAAATTGAAAAGCAATAAGCCTCGCGCCAAAACTTAATTCAATCGCAATACAAACAAATTCTTTGAACTATTTTTTAGCTAAAACATCAAAATTTGGTTTTAGTTTGGTTGTGGCTATTGTCAACCTAAAATACAACTTACACAAACTACGAATCATAATCTAACAAGCCTATTGCACCAGACCGATTTTACTAAAAACAATTATGTAGTGCATGTAGAATTGGTTAAAAGCATAAATTTATGGCAGCATCAGGGGGGGCAGCTTGAATCACCCAACGGGCCGAGTTTGGCCCGCGGGCCGTAGTTTTCCCATTTCAGGCTTAGAGGTCACTTTTAGAGTAAAATTTTTTTACTGGCTCTGCGTTACATTTATATGATAGCAAAGATCTCTTCATTACCTAATGCCCCAAAATAATTGGTCACCTCCGATAATGTCATTTTCGTTGTTTTAAATTCTAGATTTAGAGTTTCCTTTTTACTAACCTGTCTTTATTTCTCTATTTATTAGTGGCTTGTTAAAATTCTTTCGACCCGGTTTAAAATGATTCATTGTTGCATTCAAGTTGTTTATATGTCTAGGTAAACGGACAAGGTATTGAAGAGGATACACATGCAGATGTTGTTAACCTGGTTCGAATGAGCGGAGAAGAAGTTATTCTTAATGTTTACAGCGTCCAAGATAACGATGTGTGCGATTCTGCTACTCCAACTGTTGTAACGGTAATAATTTTATAATATCATGTATTTCGTTACCTAGTAGTTTGACTTTTATAGCGGGATTGCAAGGCTTTTGACCATGGGACGTCTTTTTCTGTTTCACCCCATTCCATAGCAACTTGTTACTGTCCCCTCTAATCCAATCCCACGGGATCCCCATTGAAATACAATTCATTAAAAATTATTTTAGATTTAATGTCTACTAAATAGGACTACATGTACAAGACACATCCAAAACGACAAGATGATTTTTGTTAATCCTAAAATTCAGGAGTATTGTATTGTCTACATGGAATTTCCATGAGAATCCCATTTTCATGAACAAGCCTGGGCATTGCAGTATTTTTTCAAAATGAACACAACGTGTAGTAAGAACATCAAGAAACTTCAAGATACTGTATTGGTTAAGATCAAATGATTGCGAATTTCTAACTTTTGCTGTCAATTCATCGCGAATGCTCGTTGTTTCAAAACTGCCATGTCTCGTTTTTACCACACTTGCCACTATTGTACTACTGTTTTGGTTTGGGAAGATATAAACTTTGGGCGGATGATTACAATGTGCATATGAATTAGGAATCAAGCAATTGAGAGGCCTGGGAAACGTGTGGAAAAGTTTGTGTCAAGAAACCCACAAAATTGTTACTTTGCTGATTTGTGAGTGGAGCTACATAGCTTTTTATTTCTCACAAGTAGGCGGCTTGCTCGGTCAGTTGCTTACATAGATGCCCAAATATCTGTCCCATCGTCTGATAAAATTAAAATTGTTACGTCACTTTTAGCATTTTGCTGTACAAATATTTCGCGAATAAATAGGGAAGTCGGTGAACGTGCAAACATCGATTCATCGCGAAGGTGCCTAGTTTTCGGTCTTCTGAGTGTTTATTTCCTGTAAACAGACGGCCTAAAATCATTTGTCAAGAATGACAGATTTATACAAAGATTACACAAACTTTACTTCACCAAACTTTGATGAAGATGGTTTCGGAGATTCGAATCTTCAACCTGTAAACAGAACTATAAAACGGCCCTGATAGGGAATTGTTCAATGAATTTACGCAATTTAAATTGGATGATATTTATTGAAAAGTCAGATGATTTTGAATGCTGATCTCCGACTGAATTTACCCCATCAACAGTGATTAATGTTAAATTTTACAAATTAAAATGATAATAACCGTAGATTGCACAAAATATTTTAAGTGTTTTTCAACTATTTTATTTTTACAGATAACAAAAGAAAGAGGGACATTTGGCTTTACATTATCAGAAGATGGCCAGGGTTTTCATTTCGACTATGTTTCAGAAGATTCGGCAGCCGATCTTTTTGGAATAAGAATTGGTGATCGTCTATTAGAAGTTAATGGGAGACATGTTGCAGGTATAATCATAACAACATAAAATTATCCACTCGCCAGATAGCTCTATTGAACAAAATATTCGTAGCGTAGTAAGTATTTCTGTAAGACGGCATCCGTGACATGAATGAAATGATTGCTTCTTTACAAAATATTCGATAAAATTGAAAGCGACTCGGTTTTATGTTTCCAACTCCATCATTTAATGTTTAAGTGGTATTTTTTCAGACCTGAAGTTGGATGGAGTCGTTAGTTTGATTCGATCGTCAGGTAGGACGGTCACCCTTTCTGTGATGTCTTCATCTAGAACGCAGGCAAATGCACAAGAAAGCTTGTAAGTATTCGTTTGAATATTTCAATTTCAAAAACTGAAATTGAGGTCAATTTACAGCTGAAAAATATTTTGAAAATGTCAACAACATATTTTACGTTGCCATATATTCCAAAAACTATTGGGCGCAAAGTCGCAGACCCCTATGGGAAGTCTTCTACGGAAGTCTCAAAATGCATTGCCTAACGTGATATATGAGTTAATGTATAATTTAGAACGCCGGGGGATCATACTTTGTTTACCTTCATTTGTTGCCGAAACCTCAAAAAACAAGCAGAATTTCAATCAGGTCAAAATTAGATGAAAAAAAAATTAAAAAAAAACACTACAGAAGCCAGGCGCGCAATACTTGTGGTAATCTAAATACTCAAACCGCGTATACCAAAACATACATAATTGAAAAAAGGTTCCACTAAACTTGCTGTTTGTAGAAAATCGGATACAATTTTAAATCAAATATTTAACGAGTTGAGTGGAAAGGATAAGATTGATTATGTGGTAGAAAGACGAGGATTTCAGCTGTACGGCAGGAAGAACGAAGCAACAGAAGACAAAGACAACAATGGGTAAATAAATGCCAAATATATATCGCGGTGCGATCTTAAGATTACTGAGGATTACTTATAAACTCTTCAATCGTATGCTTTCGAAACGTGACAGATTTTCAGTAAGTTTATATTATTGTGGTGCAATGCCCTCAAATGCATCCTAACTGTGTTTATAAAAACACAAAACAACACACCCCTGTGTATTAGCACACAGATTTTGCTAAAGATTTTCATAGTTTAAAATCAATCAAGTAACTTAACTTTGGATTCGAATGAATAATTTTCTTAGTTTAATCTTGAACTTCATGGCCTGTTCTTGTATCCATTTTCGATAATACAAAACCACGTACAGCTATGAACTAAATCTTTATTTATTTATAGTACAGTAAACGTACAATTACTACGTCTTGCAATGCTTTTATGCCCTATTCATATTTCTCAGATGAAGAAGATTTTTTCTAAAATATATGTGCTTTTGTATAAAATATAGCATGCACATTTACAATAATAATATCTTCTAGATCGGCGGCAGATGGATTCGATAATCCCGTTTTTACACAAGAAAATGAAGAAAGAAATCATTGCTCTGTTCCTAAAGATTTAATGACAAAAGACGTTAAGGTATGAAATGAGTATGAAGTTACCTAATTGTTTTTTGATTTTTATTTACGGATCGGAGTACGATCTATCTCGGATCGGTATTTATTTCATTATTACGTCATGTCCGAGTCGTAACGGTATAACGCTCTATAAGCATGTTGCTGCATTTGCAACAGTCATGTGTGAGGATGTTTGTATATACTATGCATAACATAGGATAACATCCACCCTTAGGCCTAATTGTTACTTATTTTCTTATCGAATTTTCAAAAAACGTATTATCAAATGCTATGTCTGCTGTTCCCATTTGCCTTAATAAACACGAAAAAATCGGCCTTAATATTATTGAAAAGGTCATTTTACTTTCAGTCTTCATCTTTAAAAAAACAGGGCAAATTTAATAAAAATAAATGCAAAAATGCCAGGTGCTATCTTACTAATAAGATGTCAGCATTTTTCTGCATTGTAGCAAAAACAAGTATTGTCAGTTTACAAATGTAAATATAATTCAAAGGGTCGATTTTTGGATGAGAATTTACTACCACACGCAATTTCTCAAGCGACTATGAAACGAAGAAAACCGGGCAGAAATATATACGCTCCACAGAGAAAATTTTCCGAGAAAAAATCGGGTATAGATCGCCGGAAAAGAAATTTACAAGATATTGAACAGAAACTGGGTCATACATTGAAAAGGAACAGATCGAAAAACGAAGAAGAGCGAGTTACGTACTTCAAGGTTAGCGTTTCTACTCAGTTTTGTGGTTGCATAGTTGTTCACAATATAGAATATCGATTTTAAACAGTTGTCTGAAGAAATCTGATTTTAGTCAGATGGACTCTTGAATTGCATAGTATATTCGATGAAGAGATGGCCAAAACCGAATAATTTAGTATCTCAAATACATCCAAAATAATGTTTTCGAATTAAATATATCGAACATATTCTGAAATGGGTATGTTCAACAAGAGAAATACGTCAAGACATCTGTAAATTCTTGGAAATCAAGTTTGCTTATGAAGAATAATTGAAATAAGGAAAGATTGAGATTATTTCAATTTTCAATTTTATTCTGTTATAGAAGTTAAATTATTTTTTTGTCTAACAGAAAATAATGAATGATTAAAAAGACATTAAAAAATATTCTAAATTATTCCAAACTTCAAGAATTTGCTAAATTGATTATAACCAATTTTGAATGTATACGAATATTCGAGTCGTTTTTGACACCCCTGCATGATGTAGGCTACTCCGTTCACTAAGTCTCGTTTTATGTATAGAAAAATTCGGATGATTATCATCCGTGTCATTTTAGGACTTATCAGCGCTTATATAAACATCTCGTTTTAGGATCTGCAGCCCAGCCGGACTCCAAAGGAAAAACGTTTTCGACTTGTAACATCGAAGTCTTCGTTTCGCGAGAAATGGAATTTTGAACAAGGAGATTCGAGACAACCAACGAAACTGGAAAACGAGTTTCCAGACGACACGATTCTTGAATTACCCGAAGAACGAGAATTGGATTCCGAAAGCGTTCATTCTATGGAGAATCCAATTGAGTGTATCGATGAAGTGAGCTCATATTCAGACAGAGAAAGTCTAGAATCAACAAATAGTTTGGATATTCCCGAGCATGAGCCAATGGATGAAGAATGCCTGCCCGAGGAGAAATCTATTTCTAGTAATGCGTCCTCAAAAAATGGAAGCGCGTGTTATGACGAAACAGTCGCGAGAATGGAAGACGACATTACGAATATAGAGTCGCAAAATGCAACGCATCCACAAATAGAGGAAACCGTGACAGACGACGTCGAAGAGTTACAAAATAAAGATTCTAACTCAAATAACAGTGGTTTGAATATTGTAAACGAAGGTAATAGTGAAAACCAAATGTCTACAATCGGTGAGCCAGATAATATTTCACAAAGTTCTAAATTGGAAGAATTAAATAATAAAGAGAACCAATCCGCGCTAACGGATTGTGATAGGGAAGTCACTTTTGAATCTAATCATGCAGAAAATAGCGCGGTTGTTTCAGAAAATGAAAATTCACAAAACAATGAAAATTCAGAAAACAAAAAGATCAATACAGAGATAATGGTTTAAAGTTTACACCATCAGGTTTTCTCAACTAGAATCTTGTCCATCTATGCGAAAGTCTTATAGTTGCATTGCACAGTACCCCGCAATATCAATATTCCTAGATTTTAGTGAGTTGATATTTCCTACTTCGTTTATTTATGTCTACACGTTTTTGCAAAAAAAATATAAAAATATTGCATTATCTGTTTCAAATTCTCAATGGGAGAGTGAGAATACAGTGCGACAAAGTAGAAATTTTACAAAATAAAGCGAAATGAAAAAATGCCAAAGTGGGGTAGAGTAGTTAAAAGCTTCAACTGCGATTCAACAATTTTTTTCGCGACTCTCTCGCATATGTGTGATTCATAAAAGAGAACATTTACTGGTTACAAAACAAACAAATGGGTTTATACATTCAACAACACTGATGAATATGCAGAAAAAATAATTCGCCATTCTATTTGATTCAACATAAATTACAAAATAAGCAAAAGGAATGATTAAACTCCCGAAATTAAGGTATATGCAATTTTTACGAGAAATCTCTTAATAAACCAACGAGCGGACGAGCTTCTTTTAAAAATTCTATGAGTTTTTATTTGATTGCTATGTGATACCACATTGAAGTTCAGCCATAAATGATATTGATATAAGATTTCTTTTTGTTATACAACGTAAATTTGCATGCTCTGCCATAATAAACCATCAGAAAGCAAAATGTCGAGTTGCGTCAGCTTTAATTGTTACTATTTTCATTGATTATTATCGTACACATGCATATTACCTCATCCAATAAACAAACAATGCAACAATTCATTACATATATCATGACAAAAACGAGAACTGAGCCAGTGACAAAACATTATTGCTCGGTGCTCTTTAACCGTAATGATAGCTTTCGCAAAGTAAGTAAGGAGAGTATTGAAGAAAAATTGTAGCTATGTTATAGTGTTAATTACTTGATCATCCAGGCTCCCTACAGAGTGAGAATAGGTAAGTTTAAAACTAAATGAAAGATAATCTATGGGTATCAATTAGAAGTGAACCTTAGGTAGGTAGATATATTCTATGTAGGCTCTTATTTCATTTCTGGAAACATTTACACTTCGCGATAGCTTTATCATATAGATTGAAGCATGGATAAATACTGTAATTGTCTATCAAGAAGAAATGCAACCTAATAAACGCAATTTGTTTTTATGTTGACTAGAGATACGAGAGTATCCAGAACATATATGTACGTGCATTTTTCTACCTCCGCTCAGTTTTCTATGTGAAATGAGTAAGATGTTATTGAGAAAGAACGCGAGGGAGAGGAAGTTTGAGAAAATGATAGTTTTTTGTAGACTATTTTAAGGCCAAACACAGAGGGACGAAAAAATAAGATAACGTGTTTTCATAGGCATGTTCGTTCGTGCATGAGCGAATTAGAAAGTTATGTATATATAAAGAAGAGTGTATATATGAAGCAAAGAACAGAAATTATTGTAGCTTCCTATACCGCCTACCCGATGTTAGTCTTAGATTAGATTCCTCCCCGGCCTGAACTAGTCAACGTTGACTGCGATCAATTGAAAATGTTGCAGGAGCTTCACGCTGTAGTACAATTAAGGTACGCGCTAAAAAGTGTGACGTACTTTACGCTCTGGTAGCACAGCGAATTTTCTATTATAATCAACTGCGTGGCAGAGCTTTGAGGTTGAATGAAAAAAGCGTAGTTTGCTAGAATGTTAAATAGCATTCATGTCAAAGCAAAATATTGAGTGGTTTGCAATGGCATTGGCACCTCGTCATCGTCATTAAAATGTCTATAGTTTACAGTTTATTGTTGCAGCGAATGCTCTTCACTCAACATAACTATGGCTGTGTATATATGATACTATCCGAACTTGATAAGACATTCAACATGTTTGAGGGAATCACGAATCCACATTTCTCAAGTAAGGTCAGAAGAATTAGAATATTGTGACTTTTCACTGATAATATGGATTTTTGAGGTGCCGGGTAAATTGCAGACAGTTTGGTGAATTTTCAATATTTTGAAAGCACGGTCCATGATAATTTATTTTGTCAAAAATAAATTTCTTTGAAGATAACGACTGCGGTCAAATCAAAACATGAAATACACGATTACATTTCGCGCATGCAATAACCGGCGCCAGACTAATAAATATTTTATCCGAAATAACAGACAGTATTTTGGATTATCAAGATCAGAAGATCTGTAAGCCCTAATGGCAGAAGATGTCCTTACGGTGTTTCCCCTCAAAAAACTTGAGAAGATTTACTTTCGATTTAAACTAATACCGATTGAGTATCGTTTCGCAACTTTCAAAACCCCTAAAAGCGGTACCTTGAGTTTCTAAACATCTTATTAACTCCAAATCCCCATATTACATGCATATTGTTTGTATGATTGTCGCCGAAGTGCGAAACTGCTCTGGTAAAACTACTCTCAATCTCAACATTATGTAGTTAATGAAAATTCAAAACAAATCCTTTTCCGGTTTCAAGTTCAAAATGTTCGCCATTTGCATTGTCCTCAAACCTAAGTTCTAAACTAAAATTGACTAAAAAAAAACGGAAGAATCAAATGACTACCTCCAAAAAACCTACTCTTGGCACACAATTTGCTATTTTCTACTTATAGTCTATCTAGTTCAGAATATAGTCATAACTATAGGACTCACGTCGGTACTGGTAATGCTCTGCCCTAGCGTCAACGATCGCTTTTTTTCGATTTATTCTTCTTATTGCATTCTTCATCGGGTATAAATAATAGAAACTTTGGCTGATTATCGCGGCTGGCAGACATGGCTAATTGTATTCACATCAATGCTGCAGTTCAGCAAGGGTCTGCGGGAAAGATTTACGGAACAAATAATTTTACCGAATGTCGTATTAAAATGTGCTGGTAAAATATACGGACACGAAAGCCAAAAATCAAATATTTACTCACTTTTCCCCCAAACCATATCCTGAAGAAGGCTGGAACTGTGTAACAAAAAAGAAAATGTAAATTTTTTTTAAATGCGTTCCCGTTATTTTTAATACATAATAGTGAAATAACGCATCATTTTGGAAGAATATGAAATCCACAAAAACCACTGGGAAACCCCAAACTCTAAATATTTCAGAATAATAGACCAGAATGGGACACCCTAGGACCTAGGTTGTTCCCAATTGTGTTTATATATATTTTTAAGTGATTCTTATAATTTGTGGCTCGTTTAAATCGAATCTTCATAAAACATATAGATGACACTTCGCAAGGCGATAACAAACTCTTACATGAAACCCAAAATAAAGATACTTTAATTCGCATTATGTTTTTCTCAAGTCTTCCATATTAGTATTTGATTAAGCTATTGAATTTAAAACAAAAAAGAGTTTATTTATACATTTTACAAGTCATCCATTCGATGTAAAAAGCGATATATATTCGTAAATATATTATACATTAGTGTTAGGGTAGGCATATATCAATAATGGCCGCTTCTTCTTCCAAGTCCTTATAAATTGGATATACTGAATCGAAACAGAACGTTAATATCTATCAACTTGATAGATGTACGTTCGGATTACTTATTATCATTGAGGCTTGATCTGTAGAAAAAAGTAGATCGATGCATGAAGTTTTTTATGCTCCGTGGGACATTAGAGGATTAATAAGGAACTTGATTAGTATTGAACTACAAAATATTAAAGACAGTTCAAGCTGCAGTTCTGTGCCGCAATGGTTACATTAACGACATACTAATAATAAAGAGTGTGATTGATGTCACTTTCACATTCATTTCATGCAAGTTTGTTATACTTACAAAATATCCTTGTTCTTGTTTGGCGAACTCATATATCCGTTTTTTGGAACGGAAAGCAATTAAAGTCGTGGATAATTAAGGCACGTCACATACTGATAAAACCATTTGCCTAAGGAATAAACTTGCAATATTCGCTTTTAGAAGATTAATCACAAAGGTATAAACGTAAGGATAGTCAAATAAAAAATACGCGACAATACGTTGAAGCCGTTTATATGAAATACTTGATATTCCATAGCATGAACTTATATGAATCTCACACATCACAGGGATTTCCATATATGTCACACTACAGTCTAAGCATGGTAATTTGCAATGAATTGTTCAAACTCTCCCAATAATTTAATTTGATATCAACCAAAGGGAATGTCGATAACCTTTATTTCTTTTGGCTGTTAGGACGTCTTTCTCAGAAAAAAAAACACGATAACAAACAACTGTACATTAGTAAAAATCGGCTCAATATTTTCAAGTTATTTTTATTAATAAAATACAATTTTTTAATATTGCTGTGTAATTAATAATAGCTCTACTTTTTCCAGTTGAAATGTTTTCGGTTCCTATACGTATAGTTGTTCAATTGCAAAATTGTATAAACGCTCAATTTTCTCAACAGAATTGTCTGGGCTCTGTTACTGTATATACAATTTCCATTCATGAGATTTCATACTTGAGTTGTTGTAAATAGGGCTGGCTTACTGCTGCACAACTGCTTTATATTCAATTATTCAGAATGTTTCTGTAATTAAATTTATATCCAATATTGAAGATTATTTTCATAAAAGCCACGGACAAATTTATATTTTTTGGAAGATGGGTCGAGAAAAAATACCGAATCAAAAGTATCAAATAAACTATGTGGTCAAAACCCGAGTCCGCGGGCCACATACGGCCCGCAGCTCTATTATCTGTGGCCCGCGTCGCATTCGGAAAGTAATCATAAAATTGTATTTGATGTTGTTTCGTCATAAAATTACCCAGAAAAATCTTTCAACATATTGTTACATCACTAATGTCACTGAATTGACTAGTGTTATGGCTAGCTGAGGCAACAACTTGAATGATGTGCTTAGCAGTCTGAATTGTTATCTGGCTTTCTTTTTGGTCGGGAATATATAACTATTTTGGCATCATAGAAAACTGAAAATCGAATGCGGATTCTATTAGCTTAGGTTGGCTATGCCTGATCACTAAATATTAACTTTATGTTCTAACAATATAATTCATGCCGGGTGTTTTTTGCAACCAACGGTATTACAAAAAATGCTGGCTATATGTGAGAAAATTTAGTAGGCCTTATTAGTAAGTTATTTCGTAAACACGAGTTTGCATGTTTTAGCTTGATAACTGACAAATACTGATCAACGTATTTGTACAATAAAAGTGTTTGTTTTGTATTGCACTGTTTACCTATTATTGGCACTATTGTGGCCCGCGTACAATGCAAAAATGATTTTGTAGGCCCCGGGGCCGACAACCTTGGACGACTCTGAATTATAATACATTACAACACTTACTAAGTTGTTTTCATATATTCTGAAACATGATATAGTTTATCCACTTATTTGAATTTCATTATTGTACAACACTAAGGAACTGTATATTGATTTTCGACCGTGTTTTTATTGTGATATGCTTCAGGGTTGTTGTGATTCGTATTTTTGAATGTCGTACAGTTTTGGTAGAAAACCGTTTACACGAGAAATTAGTCTTATAGAAAAAAACACCATACATCCACGAACCTCTCACTTACGTAGTCTGTAAGTCATACTGTATATTTCATCTCATAATATTTCTTTACATAAATATAATAACAATCATTGTTTATGTCGTGCGTCACAGAGATGTCCCGAATAAGCTCTCCAATATAAGACACAAAAGTTATATACAGTATTTTTTGCCCTAAACGGTTTAGTAACACGGTTCCATGTTAGACTTCCATTCGATCCATCAATTTTTTTGTTTAACGTCACACATTATAAGCAAATATGTTTAAATGTCGTCAGATGTATAGTTTATAATAAAATTTCATAACAAAATGCAAATATACGGAACACCTGCCTTGATTGATTGTTATTTCAGACTTCTTGTACAAAAATGAGAAAATATAGCACTTTTTTTCCTGGTGTATTACCACAATGGGAAAATATTTAAATTTCATATATCATTTTGTTTTGAAGAAAATATTTCTCATGAGAACAAAAATTTAGGACAATCACAGATTTGACTTTTTCATACTAAAGCACTATTGCAAGTTTGAAAATATGATTGCACGAAAAATTTACTTACGGCTAAATTTACACGCTCATTTAACGGCGAACTGAAATATTTGTGGTCGGAAGAATCTTGTTAAACTTGAAAGTTTAGTTACTTGCGAATTTTATAAAATGTCGTTCCATAAACTGGAATGAGGATTCCGTAAACACTTGTTTCTGGTTTCTAAATATATATTTTCGCATTATTGCATGCTGTGAAAAAACGACGTGCATTTTGTATTACCTGTCATACGAGAAAAATGAAAGCTTGATGTCCAAGTCCGCCGCAGAGTATCATTTCCTTAATTTACGTATTATGATTTGCATTCCTCAGAAATCCACTTAAAAAATGGCACCTTCTCAAGAACGAAAGTAGAGCAGACTGACAGAGCTAGAAATAGAAAACCCACTAATTATAGCGTTTCTAATCGGTTTAACAGTTTAAACTGTTAAATACCACAAGAAAGTGATTTAATCGCAGGTGCAATTTTTCATGCATGATGATATCTCGATCCGGAACGGGATAAGGGGTACCTAAGCTTGAACCGATTATAAAAATCTGATTTCACTTGGAATAATTTCTCTTATAAAAAGAGGAAGATGCGGTTGTAAGAAACTGTAGGTTTTATTTTAGAAAACTATTATTAAACCTGAATCCCATGCTTCACAAATTATCCCGGAATTCTAATCATGCATGCATAGGATAACATACTATTTCACAGGTATTTATCATACCTCTTACCATAAACCACAGTATTTTATATTTGGCATTCGATTCATTTTTTCAACGAATTAATGAGTAAGTACATATATTGGTTTGTCTAACCTATTTCATGTTTATTTACCTATAGACCATATAGGTTCACTCAGACTTGATTTTGACGCGCTTAACTATCGTGCCTGCGCAAAATTGGCGTTTGCGGTTTTTATGAAATGTCGTTCTATAAAACTGAAATGAGGATTGTGTTTACTATCAACTCTTTCAACTATTTTCGTCCACCAAAACAATTAAAACTGCACGTAGCCGTATGAAAGTTCTATTAATGTTAGTTGTTCCAATGATGCATAGATGTTAACGTCGTTTGATGTAACCTTCTTGTGTAAAACAAACAAGCCAACATTTTTGAAGAACGAAAATAAAAAAAACTTTTGGAAAGGTGTAACTACTCCAGAACTATTATTGGAATATAATAGTGTAAGTGCGTGCGTAAATAAAAGTTAATGGTAATCTGAAACCATAAAAGCCTCATGACTCTTATCCGTTGTAAGAGACATTTCTGTGCGATGTAAATATTTTTTACTTTGATTAGCTTAAAGTTGTAACTGGGATCTTAAAGATTGAAACCAAGTTAAACCTACAACTGCAAAATATTAAATAATATAAAATAAAAATATAAAATAATATAAACAATATAAGCTTATTTGATCGTTTTTAGAAAATGGATAACTTGGAATAACGTTTCGAACGCTATTTTAATTGCTGATTCCTAACTTAAGTCAGGATCCGAACAAAAAACTGTTGCCAGAATTCATACTCCGTTGATATCTTCCACGTATTTAAAAAATGAATGGTACTTTAGCATTGAAACCAGTAAATTATTGGACACGAAATTTACATATGAATCGTTTTGCCTTATTGTTGTTGTTTATCGTTCGAGACTAATTGGCGATTCTATTTCAGTGCTTGAAGGTGATTGAAGCCGCTGGAAAGATGATATTTTAATTTTCTCATTTTTTTTTAGTTTTATTGGACCTGTTAATTTTCTGTTTCCACGAATATCGCGCAACCACGTGGCATTACGCCCGACAAGTCCCCAAATATCTTTCCAACAAATTGATGTTCACTGCTATAAGCTGCGAACTTATCGGTACCTACGCGAATTACTAGAGCGGTGGGGCTTGATTTGCAATTCACGTTTAAAGCTTTTGAACAATCAGATATAAGTTTTCAGTGTAAGTGACATAGCCTAACGGTACTGAGGTTAATCACTGGACCTTCGCGCCAATATAACTCAGCATTGCCGTATCAAAATGTTGTTTCAAACTTAGACGCTTTAAATTAAAAAGATTACGTTTTGATTCGATTCAGCTGAAATTGTTTAAAATATATATAGTTATACCAAGGTATATCGTCTGGGTGTTTTTATCAAGTATGCGGATCAAAATTTTGTCTCTGAATCATTGGCGTAAACTAGGCATTGTATGGGTAAGGTGGTGTGTGTACCAGGTTAGGGTTAGGCCATAAATTTATTCCGACTTTTTTTATTCTAGTTCTATTACGACTTCGAGGACTGTCTGTGTTTGCCAAGTGAATATACCCCCCTTCCCATAGGTTTCAGTCCCTTTACACAACTTAATGTAAAGTAGCCGAACAAAATTAGTTACCTCCATACTGGTACACACACTTCTGGAGCGCCCATTGATTTATACTCGACTGTGTATAAATAGATTTCACGGAAATTCAATTGTAATAGCGATATTCAAATGTAGGTCTATATATTCGTTAAAAATCTTTTTGTGAGACAAATCTATTCTTAGTTTAACCTATAAAATATGACGAAGACTCCCGCCGAAATGGCAATGCAGAAAATTTGTAACAGTTCATGCCAGATGTTGACATTCAACTAAATTCAGGAGCATTTAATTCAACTATCTATGCAAAATTACGCGATAAAAATACTTAATTTGAACGAAAAATCGCGTTAATTAAAACAACGCGTTTCATGGAAATTGCATCAGAAAAAGCCTTAATATGCACATGAGTTTTCATAATAACATTCCAGTGATTGAAATAAATAAATTTTCATTTTGCAAGTTCACATAAATTTTTTTAAATGCTGCCCGTTTACGAAAGACGTATGTAAGTTTGGTGTCATTTTAGCAACGGCGTAACTGCATAACTTATGACGCCCTTATATCTCCACTTGGAATTTATTGATATTAAGAACTTAAGAAGGTACCTTTTATTCATAATATTATTTGATTATGATATAGTAGGTATTGGCATCAAATGTTATCTCAAGTAACTTGTCATTGGTTATCGATCGTTCATTTTTAAACATGTTACTGAATATTGATTAACTATAATTGCCTTCAACTTCACTTTTTCTGGTCCTTTCATGAAAGAAATTTGAATTTGTTTTTTAATTTATGATTAAATTTCCCAATTCGACATTTCTATTACGCTTTTGCGTCTTGTTACGTCAAACCAATTTCTCCGATCTAAATACGCACGTTACGCAATAACACGTTATATCCCAACTCTCTTAATAGATCACGCTAATCGTGTAATTTCTGCGTGACAACGTTTTTGGCGAGAGGACTGAGCTAATTTTCTTTTTATTGGTTTTTGCGACATAAAATTCAAATGCATAAAATCAAATTTATCACGAGATTTTTGATAAATTATTTAAATATAAGATTATATCGTGTAGACAAATACTCAATTCCTAAAATTATTGGAATTACATGGCTTCTCCATCGCACCAGCGATTACATATCTCTGCACATTGCAAGAACGCCCGAAGTCTTAATAATTCTGCGAAAACTTATCTCGTCAGGGATTCAAAATAAACTGTTACTTGTTCGTATAAAGGAATAAAACGGGGTTTCCACACAGCATCTTCTGAACCTATGAAATGCGACGTGCATAGTAGCATAAAAAACGGTCACACTCTTCGAATAATTACTGCTAACAACTAGGATCAAAGTGGTATGACGATTGGTTCAGTTAGAAACTAACTTTTTTTAAATTCCCGGATGTATATATGTTTTTTTGCATTACTTGTTATTAGCTATTTTATTTTATATTGATGTTTATCTGCAGTAACTCCAAACGTGTATGTGTTCCTAAAATTTAACATTAATTATGTTTTCTGTACCTGTGCAATATTTTTTAGTCATTTTTCAAAAACTCTATCATTCTGAGGTATTTATATATTAGAGAGATTATATTTACGCAATATTAGGCAGACAGATGTAATATTGTAGATATAGCACCGGTAGTGTTTTGTACATTTATTTATAAATTAAAATTATGTTGTGATCCTTTGAGCAGAACGAAGTATTAAGTTTACGATCCACGTTATCATATAATACGATTGAAATAAGGGGCGTTAATTACATGGTACTTTACACGAGTTATATTTTTCGCTTCATATAAATACAAATACGTGAGAATTTAGAGAGCATTTGTCGAAGGAAGAACAGGAGGTAGTTGGTGGTGAATAGTGAAGACAGATTGCCATAATTAGTAACGGTACAGACAAAAGTAAAATTGGATTAGAATGCATGAAAGTTATCTGCGAGTGACATTATTGTTTAGATTAGTCAAGTTTATTTTTCACAACCTGCAGTTCATTTTTCCACGGATTTTCGTGATTGATATATAACAATGGCTGTGTTTTGGAACCGTATTCATAATTAACTTGGAAATCTTTATCAGATGTTTTATTTATTGTTTGTTGCGTTTGATATATTGCGCCGTAATGAGTATATAAGATTTTCGGGCCAGACACAATCATGATTACTTAAAAATTCTCATACTCGACGTGGAATATTTTCATTATGAGATGATGAAAGTTAGATTATATACAATCGTAAATTTCGCGTATCAAGTTGAAATACAACACAGTTTTTGAACGTTGCATGTTTCTAAAACTCAAATGCAAGTAATCCATTATTATAACAGCGATAATTAGCTAGAAACATATTAAATTTTGTCATTGGCTTTAATTTTATTGAAAATCCTTCACTTTTGTCTCCATGTACAACTATACCGAACCGGAAACATTCCGGTCAATTGTATCGTCCAGACTAGATTCTAGTACAGTATATGTAATTTCTTGTTCAGAGCCTTATGCAGAGTATGGATGTGATGAATACTTGATAAACAATAATGTAATTAAGAACTAGTTCCGATTTGTTATGATATTTAATAAAGATGTCGGATTGTCTTTATGACACAAAATTCTCTCCGGTACGAAACGTTTAATGTTTTACATCCTTGTATTCAACGAGTTAGTTCAACGAACTTTTATTATCAAAAAGCCTTTAAGACTCAATTAATTAAAAGGTAAACTGTGACCGAATCAAAATAATCAAACTGTTCAAATTTTGCAATGCTGGCGCAGCTGTAGACCACCATGTAATGGATAAAATTAATCGGATTTTGAAAGTAATTAAACGATTTTGTATTATATGTTATATCCATTCATCTGCTGTATTCATATGTGTCCAAAAGAATATTTATTATCATGTTATGAATCGATTGTAATAAATACAAAACGTTAATTTATCATGAAAATATCTATTGTATGTACTGTCTTATCAAGGAAAACTGAGATAAAATCTGCGAAATATCTGAAAACACAAATCTGAATATAAAGTTAATTCATTTGTGATTTGAAGCACTTGCCGCATCTGGCAACTCATATCATAGACGGTCGTAAACTGTCACCTAGACTCGGCGGAAACGAGTGTAATTCATCTAGTACATATGACGGTTCCATATTCAGAGATAATTACAACCTTTACGTCTATTTGTCGGAAAAGTGATAGTTTATACAAGACACACCTTTCAAAAGAATTAATTAAGATAAATCACTGAGTAACAATAGTAAAGTTACACGACTAATTTTGGAATATTTTTCTCATGGATTTCCATGCAATTTTCTGATTTGTAAAATTTATCGCTATCTTTATAAAAATATTTGTTTTATCCTACACAATGACAAAATCTGAATATCGTCAGTTTTATAACATAATAATGTTTATTTTGAATTTATTCACATTTTTGATTGAATTCATTGATAGAAAATGAGACCTACCTTCGAAAATGCGGAAATCGAATTTCAAACTTTCAATTCCATGAACTTATGCAGAGTTCAGGAACTCCAAGTGAATTGTTCACTACAGAAATGTATTAACAAAAAATAAATTTCTATACTGTAAATAGTAATTTTCAACTTTGTGGTGTTCATATCTCATGTCAAAGCAAAAACCATAGTTTAAAATTCAACTTTTAGAGTCTTCTGTTTAGATTCAATTATATTCTCGAGGCTAGTAACATTTTCGGATTTCTGAACTATTGTTAGTGCACTACCCAGCAAAGGAAGTTCCATATTTTCCGATTATAAATTTTCCTAGGCACCAAAAAACGAGAAATATCGCGGCTTAGAAAATTAAAACAAACGCCATGTTAAATAAACCGAATTTATTTTAAATACTAACAAATGTCGATTTTCGCGTAACAAATTCATTAAAGGTAATTTATTTTTCCTGTTGAACCTCAAAAATAAATCATTTAAGAGACGATCGTCACACTGATCTTAATTATGACAGCACTATTCTCCGCCATATTTGTAAATATTATCTTTTCATTCCATTCGTTTGACGGTCGGAACTAATTGGTGCCCAAGGGTGTGTGGGATAGATTGATTGTGTACTCTTCTGCAAGATAATAGACGATAATCGACGAGTAAGTTTGCGAACTTGATAAACAGCTTCGTATTGGCTCGTAATTCATTTCGCGTGTTATTGTCGGTTTAGGCCAAAGAGGTTATCTTGCAACAGTCACTTTTAGTTAAATTAATGCAGTTAAATTAATTTCAACAAAGACAGTATTAATAGTGTTGTTCAAATCGTTCATAAATAGGAAAATAATTAATATAAATGCAAATACGATATGTCGATAGCAGACAACTAGAAACAACAACCGAAAACAAAAGTACTAGTTTCTATTGGCATTTGAAAGAGTTTCGATTATTGCAGTTGGATTGTTACACATGCTGCCGCTGGTAGGGATTGCGGTCAATCGTGATTCATAAATTCCAATTTGCATTACTTGACATTAAAATAGAAATTGTTTATACACCGCAGTCATTCTTGCGACAAGTTTTGCCATTTACAGTCAAGAATATAGTTTTATTTATATGCGTGATGATGCGTTGTTTATGTTAGAAAATTACAATACGAAACTCTGTCATAAATAGGTGATATTTTCGAGTGTCAAGAAAGTACAAAAGGTGGGACGGCATTCGATACCATCAATTAAACTTAAAATTGCATATGCACCCATATAGACAGGAATAAGTGGTGAGACGCGGCGTAATATAAGGGAAAGCATATGATTAAAGACTTTATAAATTGGGAGGTAATGCAACAAATTTCGAATGTATATTTTGGGAACAAGAAAAGCACTGGGTATATTTAAAGAATGGTAGGAAATACTTTAGCTGAGTCGAATTCATATTACATAGTTTATTTTTGTAATTGAACATAACTAAATTGTTTCACGGGATATATCTTCAGCGAGTGCTGCAAATTTAGCATTTTTTCCAAAGCAATTTTTGTTTATTATTATTTATTCTGTATTCTTCTCAAAAAAGAAATTCCCAGCCCATTTATTTGAGTATTATCGAGTATCAGAGTAGTTGTTTTAGGTCAATAGGTTTTAAAAACAGTTCATTTCATATACATGGATCGTCCGCGTAATGATTATAACCTCTAGTTATATGCATGACCGGAATAATCGCGAACGTCATCGGCCAAGAATAGAGAAAGGGGTATTGATTGTTTATGTCCTAAAAGCGAATTTCCGTTATCATATCCTCCACACCATAATTCGTATTTCCGCATTTTTTTTTTAATTTTTTCGACATCATTTATCTATATTTTTATGTATTCAAGTATTTACTGTATTAGAGTGACATCATTTAGTTAACGCTCAATCTTTGGAACATATTATATAAATCAAATGACAGTCAAATATAATAATAAGAAAATATTTCAATTTTTATGTTAAGAAAAGCTTTCATCTCTGTACCAAATATTCTCCTAAAGAACATCTAAACCTTGAATATTTCTCGGTAACGACTATTCCACAAAATTAACTTTTCTAATGTAATATATTTTATTTAGCCCGCACGTTCTGAATGTAATCAGATTCAGCGGAAGCAGTCGAAGAGGCATTTTATGGATTACGCCTTACTTACTAAATTGTGTTTACTAATTTGTTAATGACTTTGGGTGATTTACTGATTGGAAAAGAATTTACCGACGTTCTACACGTTCCTCACAATCGTATAGAAGTAAGTTGTTTGTTTATATTATTTTGTGTTCTCGTAAATACTAATCCCAGTAGTCTAAACTTATTGTCCATGATTTTCTTCGTTTGGGAGACATGAGTCCCGGACTTGCAAAGACATTTACAGCTTACATCTGTGGGAATATAAAATAGAATGTTTTTAAAAATAGTTCATTGTTTATTTACTAGTAAAACGTTAGAAGGTTATCTAATTGAATATGGCCATTTATAGGAATATATTACTTCCATGAATCTTTACAAAACGCAATAATAAGTATTAACTCAGCTACAAGAAGAAAGAGTAAATGCACTCAACAAATATGAGTCATATTCTCATTGCAAGATTGTCTTGAATCTTTACATGACGCAATAATAATTATTACCTCAGCACAGCTACACGGAGAAAGAGTAAATGCACTCAACAAATATAAGTCATAATCTCATTGCAAGATTGTCTTCTGTTAAAAAAAGAGGTTGCCACATATACCGTTACTTAGTTAACAATTCGAATTGTCTCGTCAGGTGCAAATGACTTTGTGATTACAACTCATATAACCATTTTCGTTCAAATCCTTAAACAATACATGTTTTTATTTTTAGATTTTGGAAATTGTCTTCATGTCATGATGTTATACACTTATTTCATCACACTTCTTAGCGTTTTTGTCATCATGATTTCTTCATCAGGTAACGGTCATATAATATTAACTCAATAACATATTGAATTTACCTTTAATTAAACGATATATTGTGACGTCGACAATATATCATATATATAAGCCGAACGAAGAAAAGAAAATTTCAAATAAATAGGCACGTCATAGTGGTATGCAATTTTTAATATTGGTATGGGGATAAATTCCGAGCGGGTAAAAAAGCGGGAACAGCGGGGTTTTGTATTGGATAATATCATTACCAATGCCATGGCAACAATAAAGTACCAATATCATATAGACTTTGAAGCCCGGCAGACTAGAAATCTAGATATAGCACATTTGCTTCTTATTTTTCGAAGCAAATCCTTCACTTTTCAAATCATTGTGTCAAAATATGCGAAAATTTTGTGAATGCGCTTGTGTGTTGCGATAATTTCGATAGATATATGTTGCACATGCTTCATGTTAGCTTGGTGGGTTTCTAAGAACATAAGTCATCAGGATATAGAAGACAAAGAGGCGGAAACAAAATAGTAAATATAAAGAACTTCTAAAACGGGAGAAAATCAAGTTTTCAAATTTCCGAAATATTGTTTATTGTAACTTTGACAAAAGGAATAATAAAGGTAAATTGTACTAAAGCAATGTAATAATGGAAATATATTCCTGGTAAATGTTCACTAAAAAAGTAAATATTTCTGAGAGATTAGTCTTATCTGATTAACATCAAGCACATTTGTATACTAAAAAGTGGTTTAAATTCCTTATTCAGTGTCGGGTACTAAAAGTTCAAACAAGTTGTTTATTCATTCATCCCCGACCACTGATAAGAACGCAATTCACGCCCCTGTAAATCATATTCGATACACCATATCGGATTCACTTAGGGGCTCAGAGAAGTTGTATTGAGATAAAATTGTAAATGTCCTTAAAATAAGATCTGTTCGTGAATTTCAAACAAGACGAAATTTCTTAATTCTCGGTGGAATATGCTTAATGTTCACCAACGGATGTGATTATCCAGTACAGTACGGCGTATTTTAACTTCAAATCACTTAAGTGTATTCGAAATAGAATCGAACGTCTAAACTGAATGAAAGAGTGTAAAATATTAGAATATTGTAAGATGGGCCTCACTATAGAGCAGACATGGGCAGACTACGATCCGCGTGCCGAATCCGGTCCGTTGGGTTGTTCAATCTGGCCAGCCTGATGCTGCCACAACCAAAGCAAAATCAAATGTTTGATGTTTAAGCTAAAAAAATAGCTCAAGGAATTTGTTGATACTGCGATTAAATTTAGTTCTAGCACGAGGCTTATTGTTTCCCAGTTTTGCTTTTGTAACACTGTAAATATTGTTAATAAAATGTAACTTTTTACGCCACACTTACATGGCCCGCCAGTCTAGGTGGTCAAAATTTTTGGCCTGTGGTCCAAAAACCTCGCCCATCTCTGCTATAGAACCATTCTAATAGCGATAAAATTTCAAATGTAATCACTTTCCTTTCCATCATATTTAACCTTAAATATCTTTGGAGAAGAATAATTACTGCTCAATTGATTAATGTCGACGTTTCCTGTGAGTTATCCCACTCGTGAGCGGACGTTAATGCATTCTTGACAAAATGATGAGCATCGTTAAGATTCATGACGTATATATATAAAAGTTTTTAATCGCTCATTAAACGGATAGATTGAAAAAGACTTTTATTGTTAACGATGCCTGCGCTACGTGGTGCTTAAAAGCCGGAATAAATAATGTGCCATTCGCGTGCACAAAATTGTTGCGACGAACAAGGATCACAGTTTTATTTTTATTTGGATCGAATCAAAAAATATATATTGCATGCAAATTAAATAAAATTTAAATGAGATGTGATGAAAAACAATTGATTCTGGCTCGTTATTCTTATCACCGGTACGTACACAGGAAATTACCACTCAAAATAATTAATTATGCCTATTGGCGTATTCTCTTCCGTCGGGAATCACCAAATCCAGAAAACGTAATAATTTCTACACGCACTTGTATTTGCATATGTAGTAGTATTGCGAAATTGCTGTACATAAAACAGACAATTCCAATCAGGAAAGGGACACATATATTGTCGTTAAAATTCACACAATCGTACCTTCAAAGTGTCATTAATATTTTACTGTTTATCAGCAAATGACTTGTCCTAATTTGATCTTAGTACTGCTTACATGTTTTAGAAAGTCAGTCCACGTCGTACACAGAGTGACGTGCGCATGGGAGTTGTATTTATACTGCAGCGTCAATTTTTCTGATATGTCAATACCGCTTTTAACTACAATTACAAGAACTATCAAACTTTTAGAGTTCATTCAAATTTCTTGAGTTCAAAAAAATTGAGAATGGGCAAAACAATCTTACAATTCTACAAACTCACGTTGGGAGAAATCACATCCAAATAAAACTTAATGATTCTCCAATGATCACGTCCTTTTCATTTTCTAATAAATTTTTCTAGAATATCATCTGACCTATGCAAGCACCGACAAAACGTGCATTTTAGCGCATTACAGAAGAAAACCTTGTGGATACAAATACATTTCTCAAGCTGCCTGTCAATTACGTGGATGTTGTTTTCATTCATCTTCAATTCGAGGGGTACCAAAGTGCTATAAAGCAGAACGAGGTAACTATGACGATTTAGGAGGACAATCACGAGGCGACGAGATTTGGTTTGAAAGGGTAAAATTGAGCCCTATCGTCTCACTGGGCAATTGCACATACGCTTCGTACTTTTAGACGGCGATTGTTTGATAAATTTAATGCTATCGAGCAAAATAATTTTGTATTCAGTTTCATTTTTTTCGATTCACGTTGTTATTTTTTTCCAAGATCGTCAAAAGTATATTTATATTTCACTATTAGTTTATTCATTCAGAGCAACATCACATTCTTACAATCCGCGTCCCAGAATATGTTGTTCGTTTTACTTATTATATATACACAGGAACATATAATAAAATGCAAGAAAATTCCTGAGGTTTTGATGAAACTCATAAAGTGTATCACCACCACAATGTTTTGTCATTTTTCATGGCGCTTTCTTTGTAATATCTTTATCAACACGGATTATAGCCATGCAGTTTGAAAGCCTAGAAAATAAAGGCTGCGTTATTCGGCGATGATACCGTAATTCTTTTCATGTATTCAATTATTATGTTTATTTACATAATTTCAGTAGATAACAGCAGAATTTTATTCCTAAAACGAAAATCGATCAAAATTGTTATTCTTGAACAGTTAATAAAACAAACACAACATTGTTTCACGCCCTAATCCTTAGTATGCAAATGATATTATCTGCATACATACCTAGGGTTGAGTAACTAGGACAAAGCCTGCATATACAACAGTCACATGGCGTGAGGTTATGAGGATGACCATCAAGATATCATAAATATAAAAATAAACAATTAGTCAAACACTGAAATGTCAGTATTATCATTCAAGGGCACACAATAATGAAGTTGTAACAACATTATCTTAAATCAAAATGTACAGTGATGTGCTATTGTAAATATATCAAATTATTTGAATTCGTTGCCAACTTCTATCCAAAACGATTCCAAGATCGAGTGCTAATAAGGTCATTATTCTACAATTTGGTTTCCCAAATGTTACTTCGTGGAGTTCAAACACGTTTGTTCATTTCAACTTTACTTAAAATAAACTTTTTTTAATTAGAAACTGAAACAATCCCAATCAACGAAAATCAGCTTTAGCAGAATAGTTAAATTAATGGCCTGCAAGTTTTAAAGAGTGCTCCATTGAGTTTTTATTGTTGACGCTATTGGGCGACCGTACATTTGAACCCATGTACATTTGAACCCATGCGTATATCCACGGGTTCAATCTATATGCGGGTGCTAAAACCCATGGGTTAGGGTTAGTATGGGTTTAACTATCCGTGAAACAAAAAAAATTCCATAGGTGCAATAGCATACAGGTGCAATTGTCATGGGTTCAAATGTACGTGGGTTCAAATGTAATGGAACCACGCTATTGACATTCATTTTATATTGTTTAACGTAACCCAACCAATTTTTCAGTAAATGCAGTCGAAAGTTGTTTTCCATCAGAGAAAGGAAGGCAGCCATGTGGATACAGATACATCTCACAATACCAATGCCAGCTTCGTGGTTGCTGTTTCAAAACCGCAAGATCTTTCGGCGTACCATCGTGCTACAAGCCATTAATATGTGAGACAATACAAACAGTATAAGATATAATAATTGAGTTGCGAAGTAGAGAATAAATTCAGAACTTTAGATAACACTTTCCCTTTTTTCTCTGCCCTCGAAATCGATTTGAATGTGTTGTCATATGTCTACCGGTACACCTGACTAGGCTACATAATCTGATACCACGAAGGTGAACTCTTCAAATTTTTGTATACCTATGCTCATACATAAATAGCTTACAATTCTATTCCATATGCTAAACAGTTTGTTTACTTGGCAGCTTTCCTGAAATCTACAATCACTAGTACAACGCCAGTCGCAACGACTGAATACGATCCCCCGTTATTGCGATCAGCCCATGGAGAAGAGAGAAGAGAAACGAATGTGATGATGACACCTGAAAAAACTAAATATGATACTGCCGGTGACGACAGCGTTTCGACAAGTTTATTAGAAATGTTTCTACAAATGAATGCCTGGCAAAATGCTAACAGATCTTGTAGCGTAAAAGTTGGATCGCGCAATGACTGTGGCCATCCTGGAATTACAAAAGCTTCTTGTGAAAGTAAAAACTGCTGTTGGGATCATTCAACATTACACTCGCACTGGTGTTTTTATCCCGTTTGGAGATCATTGGGTATGAAGTAAATGTTTTTTTAAATCGATGGACAAAAACAAACTAGCGAATCACTGATTAAATCAATTCGTTTTAATAAGTTCACCATTTTACCACTCACAAATTTCTGAAAACAATAAGTAATGCGGAGGGAGGAAACGCATCTGCATGGTGTTTCTGTTTTAGATGATGATTCACAATCTTAACTTGTAATTTAAATCAGTAATTCCCAACAAATTTAAAATCTACAGAATCACATAATCGCATGAACGATTATACTTCTTCTGGATCAGAATCAGAATCGCCATCTGATGAATATATGACAATTGAACCAAACGATTCGACGGGAATGTACCAACCCCCTGTTCCAACAACGGCTTATGATGAATATTGGGATACTACCTCATCAATTGATAACATTACTGACGCCATAACTACGGAGACTTCGTCAACGGTATCAACTGACACACATTCAAGTGCGCTCGTGACCACAAAAAATATAGTAATTACGGTGTGTGACATAAGCTAGCCATTATAAGTAAACAAAATTGAGTGAACAGTTGAAATGATTGAATATGATTTTTACATCATTAATTAAGTCGATTGTTGGTGTATTGCATTGGACTTAAGTTGGACATTACTTAAGTCACTGGCGATATCATGACCTGAATTATGGACGTATGTTTTCTACTGAAAACAAATTCTTTTCATCCCGATATGTATATGAGATACTGAGATACTCTATATGGATTCTTCTATATTACAGAAGATACGCCTATTCATATCGTTCATTTTGTAATTGCAGGCTGCCTCAACTACGACAACCGAAGTACTTCCTCCGTACGAAGACTCAGTAGATCCCCCAGTGAAAGACGATGAGGTAGTTGTCTATTCGCGGGAAAATGTTCCAAATACCACGCCATACTCGCCACAGACGACTACTTCAACAACAACAACAACAACCGCCATGCCAGCAACAGAAAGCCACAATAATGAATGGAACAACATGATTAAGCTTCTCAACTATTATTCTGTAATACAGCGAGGTAGTAAACCATCGAAGGTGGACAGAGGATTGACAAATACCTGCTCCGCTACAACATGTAAGTGCAATGGGATCCTATTATACCGTGCACTCCTTAAAATTCGCCCGATAAAATAATTCCCGATTTTTTTGCTCAGTCATGTTGACACGTCATTGAAGATGCTTCCCCCCTGTATATTTAAGATCTCGTTCATGATTGCCATAAGTCAGTAATAGAAAATGACCGTAGTGCCACGGTATCAACTAATTGGTACCGGTGATAACCAATCGAATAATATTATATATTCTAGCTCTGAGATATTACCAAATACACAATAGTGCAAAGATAAATTTTTGGCGATTTTCTATATCAAATACAATTCGTCAACTTTATTCACAAATCACGTGTTTCCATACTTACCGCATAATGTCGTGTTCACGCTATCTTCACAATCGCCTTCATACCCACAAAAAATATTATATCTAAACCTATTTATAAATTATACACATTTTTGACATGATCTAGTTCACGTAATAAATCTAATGCAGTGGTTCTCAACCTTTTACTGACCGCGTACCACTTTACTGTTCTTTACTATGGGCGCGTACCACCGACAATCCCCTTTTTGGCGCGGGGAAAATACACAAGAAATGTGCCGTTGGGGTATTTTATAATGTGGCACTACATTCTTTGTGGCGTAACGCGCGAAACGGACAAAAACATGCCCATATCGCTTTATTAGATAATGGGAAAGCGGGCGAGGGCAATCTCTGAAGACAAGGACTGGTAGCGCACAAGGGCTATGGACGTTTCCCCGACTATTGGCCCTGGAAAAATTATCCCTATACTTTACTATTGTAAAATTTATGCTTATTCTTAGAGTGTTATGATGTGTTGGCGCTTATAAACTGATTTACGTGTTTGAATCCATCGATTCTATTGAAATTAACCAACCATGTGTCGTTTGCAGGTACTGATATAGCTATGTTTAGCCTTCTCCATCGCAGCATTTGTGAGATTCGTTTTTAATTACTGCAACTAATGTAAAGCTCCGCGGAAAACATAATGACGATTAAATTGATTAATTCACAATTATTTTTTCGAAACACTATATATCACTCAAAACTACTAAAACGAGGAAATGTTTGCAACCATGCCGAGGGGCCGGGTGCAGGAATTGCAATTATTACGTGTTACGTCATTATTGACTCATTGCTGATTGGTTATGGTTACGGAAATAAATAAGGAATCTGATGCTCGGGGAAACATCCATAAACGCTGTTCAGCGAATACAAACAGAAAGGAAGATAAAGCTTTGCCGGCACATTTTAGCCAACTGAAAGGTTAATTGTTACGATAATTCAAAGCCGCTCGCGTTCTACTTGAAAAGCTCCCGCGTACCACTAGTGGTAGGCGTACCACAAGTTGAGAACCACTGATCAAATGAGTAATGATACCGTTAATATTTTGTTTAAAGATGCTTCGTGCTATGAACACGCTAGTGAAAAAATTACACCAGCACTAAAATAATCCCAACTCTTAGTTATGAGCGTAGGTGATGCAGATAAGTAATAAAACAATGTTCATTACAAAACGATTGACCATAAATAATGATAAATAGTGGGTTACGTAATACGACCGTGTATATTTCATATTCTGGGAGGGTTACGATTCAGGACCACCTCAGTATTATAACAAATGTCCCCGAGCACCAGGCTACTACTTTCTCGTCAACTTAGCGGGTCAACTTATTTTGCTCTGAAAGAGAGTTCGGTCAATTTTATTCTATCATACACATTTATATATTTAATTTCCCTTCACAGCTTCCTGCTGCCTTAGCAATCCCAAGGCTCCTTGTTGTGAATATTCAATCGACGCACAAGTGGCGTACAGAAGGTCTACAAATCCGCAATCAAGAATAGTAGGCGGAGGAATCGCGGGTCACTTGCGTGCTTCAGTGGCGTACTTGACCGTGAAAAACTTTGCCAGTCAATTTTGCGGAGGAACGCTGATAATGAGTAATTGGATAGTAACTGCTGCGCACTGCGTTGTGGAATACTGTAATGGAAATAAGTAGGTATTAGCGGACGTTTAGACGTAACTTTTATTGCATTCTGGAAATTCCTGTAGTGTAAAAGCATTTTAAATTTTATAAGTGAAAGATCGTCAAAGATTTATTAGAAAACTGATATAGAAAAACTTCATAAAAATAAATTCAAAAAGTCGTGAAATATGTATAAATATAGAGTCGGAAATACGGTAACAAAGTCTAAACAGTATTTTATTTTCAGGCCCGTAAGTGAAATATTGGTTAAACTTGGGAAGACAGACAAATCAAATTTCATTCGTGGAAAATATGAGCAAATTATTCCTGCATCTAAAGTAATATGCCACTCCCATAATTGTAAATCGACCAATCAACCACGTTTAAATGACATAGCTCTTGTTAAATTATCAAGGTTAGTTTTTATTGTGAATTTTCTAAATAAAAGATTTTGTTATTTGAAAAATTCATAGCAATTTTCATTTGTTTGTGTGTGTCAGAATACTTTTTTCGTTCAAAAATGTAAAAAGTTCTTTATAATTATGTTTCCTGTTTATAATATGACGACTGGAAACATAATCCAAACCGGTATTTACTCTTTTATTTCGATAAACAAGTAATTTTTGACAAATTAAAAAAATAATTTTGAATAAATTTCTTCTTTTTGCAGGAACATCAAACGTACTATGTACGTTTCACCAGCTGCACTTCCGTATCACGGAGAAATGCCTGTTATGAACCGGAAATGTATTGTTCTTGGATGGGGTGAAACAAGAGGTATGCTGATGTGTAAATCATGGGACATTTACTTCAATTTCATTTGATGAATGTGCGAAATTTCAGTCTTTTAATATGTTCTATGTATATAGAAGAAAGGTTTTGGTATATTATTCGTACTCGAACACAAGATTTGATGAGTTTGGCGCGATATACCGCCAGAGGCGTGACCAGGAATTTTCAAGGGGTTGGGGGGGGGTTCTAAAATTTCTAATACTTTTTCATATTGTTTTAATAGAATTCATTTTTCAATTAATGTATTATTCAATATGTTCTGTTTAGATCGAGGTCCTAAAAGTAACATTTTGAAAGAAGTAGATGTTCCGCTTTACTCAAATCAACAATGTAATAAACCCGATTGGAGAAATTGTGCTGTTCGTGCATGCATGATGTGCGCCGGGGAATTAAATGCCGATGCATGTGAAGGCGATTCTGGTTTGTAGTTCTGCTTTCATAGTGGTAATAAAGCTTAGTACATCTACCAAAAACAACAGTTTCAAATATCTGGAAAGATTTCAGGCTGAATAGATATATACCGTTAGATATATACCGCCAGACCACGTAAACATATTCCGCACCTCGCAGCCAAGAACTCACAAAAAAAGACACGAATAAAAAAAATTGTCTATTGTACTAGGTTTTACGACGATATGGTAATGTTCGTCGACCTTGGCAAACAAATTAACCTTCGATAACAGTTCAATGTGACATGCCTGACTAATGTTGTCTTTATTTTACACGTCGCCATTTCCAATAAATAAATAAACTTGACATGTTTGACCAATGAATTTGAATTTGGTAAAAAATAATGAGCTTCTATTGATTATCTTGAATGCAGATGGCCCTGGAGTGTTACATCACCATGTTTGCGTGGGTGGAGATTAGCTGATATGTCTCTAAAAATTAAAATTATACGTATTTAGTTTATTTTATCACCACGCCATGTGCATTAATACCCTGAATAGTTTAACATTTTGGTATGAGATTAATTCAAAAAAAAAAGATATCCAATAAAAAAAAACAGGAGTTTCGTATAATGTCAAAATTGGATTCATCCGAAATTCAGTACATGCAAATGATTTTTTCTTGAATTAGAATTATATTCTCATGTTTATACCCAATCATCATTATATTCATGTTAGGTCGATCAGGTTTTCGTTGATGCTAATTCTAAGACAACTTTATTTTTGGAGAATGGTCACACAAAATCTATCCTGGCGCTTGTACGCAATATGTGTGTCTTCGTGCCCCTATTTATCGCTGTAACTTTACCGGGAGTTCAAGATTATTTTAAAATCTTTTCAAAAACCGTAATGTTCAAATTTCACAATTTTTATGCTATGATTTGATGTAAATTTATTCATATGTTTATTTAGACTAGACTATAAAACAAAATTCGATTTATTCCAACATTGGATTTTTACTAATAGCGTCGCATACCCTGTAATTACAGCCTTCTTAATGGAATAGACCTGGATCGTGTAAATAAAATAACAAAAATATATCAGATATGACCTATAATACGTCTGCAAAATACCTAATATGTCACTCAAAAAATAAAAAATAATAATTTTATAATATTTCTTCTGTCTAAAGTGTAAGCGCACTTGACTCTTTCCCAAAGTAATTAAGTTAAACGTTATTTGTTTTTGGTTTTTGCTATTCTCCCTACATGAGAGATGGAAGCCATGAAATGTCCAAATGCGCAATTCAGCGTTCAATTTTATTTCCGGTTATATTATATTAACGTCTGAGAAACGAGGTAATGGGTCGACGCACAATTTTTGACGTCATATTTTTCTTCAACAATACACAATATATTCACAAACACCAAGTTTGAGAAAACAATGTATCGTAGCTAATATACACATTCAAGTGTGGCACGCAGAAAAGTATGTGCGGCTCTGACATCTTATTCGTGACTTGGACGCCACGGCACGATTTCGTTGAAGTGTTTTGCATGCGCCAACAAGTAAATGAGACATTAAAAATATTTGGAATCATTTGACATTTTACAATCACGAACACGTTATTCAGGTCAAAAATAAAAGATTGATAAATTGCATTGTTTTGCCAGTGATGAAAGTTTTATCACCTGTTAAATGTATTTTTATTAATATTTCACACATATATACATTAGTCAACACGTTCTGTGGTATTATTAACTTTACATTTAATTAAGAGAAAATAACAACATATTCATGTTTTTGTGATCTGAAGTTTTTATGTATTCGCTTCAACCAAGTTATAAACAAGCAGCCGAGAAAACGTGAAATCTACTAAAGTTTAAATGCGCGAAACGTTGTCATATTTGTTAGAATTTACTTTCCTCGTTACACCTCAAAGCCGTATTACCAAACCCAAGGTATCTCACACACGATGGCATCATACATTTTGGCTAAATCACCGAATCGAAGAAATCTAGTCGCATGTATCAAAACAATTTACGTCATGAAAACGACACAAATGAAGTAATTAACTGAGGAACAATAAAGTTGTCTCCGTTGCCAATTTCATTACAGTAATGAATAATTGTCATATATGCTTGTTTACATAAAACAGAATTGGCAAGTTAATTTTTATCTTTTTTTCGTCTGTATTAGACAAGTACATGAAATATCTTGAAGATTCTGTTTCAAAGTATTTTTATTATTACAACTGTTATACCTTGGAAAACTTTTTAAATATCACTTTTTCAAACCACCCCCAACTTTTTCAGGCGGACCACTTTTTTGTCAAAGACCCGGAGGCCTGTACGTGTTACATGGTGTGTACAGCTGGGGGCGCTGTGGTGCCGAGGCGAAAAAGCCAGCGGTGTACACAAGGTTTCCATATTACGTAAATTGGATAAAAAGACAAATCTACTCCAGGTCATGAACATGCACGGGCCCTTTTTGATGAGTGAAACAGGTAAGACTTTTATAACATTCTACGTGCAATTGTCATATAAAATAGTTAGAGAGTCTTATTATTAGAGTCTTATATAAAATCTTACATTCTATCACGTAATATACTGTTACGTAATACTCTATGATCAAAGCCGGAAACACATAATATAAATGTTGTTCTAAAGTCTTCTCTGTTTTTGTTCCATGACTAACCGATACCATATTCAGAAACACTTATCCATAAATAAATGAAATTGATCATGTGAAGTCACAACTCACAAGTACACCAAAACAAGAACTACAAAAAGTATTTTATATACATTTAAGCTGTGTAAATGTCAACATTTTTAAACTTTGTTCCAGTTCAGCAGATCGTAATTCGGCATTTAAATTCCTTTTTGAACAGTCTTTTTGTCCAATGTGTTCACAATATCTGTTTAAGGGTAAATATATTTTCCTATAAACATAGTATTCCTATGAATATATATCGATGTCCTTATCCTATGGCTTTGCAACTTAGTCTTAATAGTCGACCTTCAAATTGACTTATTACATCATAATAACAGCGATTTTATCGCCTATTTGTGACAAGCCGCATACTCTGCATACCATTTGTGAAAGATAATATTATATACCGCGCAGTTATAAAAATAATATGTGTCACACCTCCTGAAGTTTCTGAACTAAAGGAGTGAGATAACGGCAGATTAGACGATGTACCAGTAGTAAGAAATCGGTATTTAAACTCATTCAAGCCAGAATATGAAAAAAATTGTTTCAAAATTCAGTCAGAAAAATCATCAAAGTTTTGATATATACTATGTTAACGGTACATGTTTTACAATGAACTACTATTTCACGACTGAATTATTACAACAAAATATCAATTTCTTCATTCAATATTCCAGAATCGGTGCAGTGATTGAGATGGAGTTGAAAGTGCAGAAAGAATATTGAACACGTACGGGTAAAGTCTTATCCCACTGTGTCGAGATTTCATAAAACGTAAAATCGTATGTTATGAAAGAAGAAGTAGATCGAATTGTCTCCAGAAATGAATAATACGAAAATCTTCAATCTGTTTATGTGTTAAATAAATTTTTCAACTACACGTTTATAGACATTTTAAATTTTATTGATACCTACTAAAAACGCGTACAATTAATCCTGATGGAGATTATTTATTATGTATGAAATTTGCAATCTCTTGGCAGTTTGTACTTACTACATAACTGCTGCGCTAACCTCATTCTATGCATATATCTGTATAAATTGAGATGCTTCGTACTGATCATTCAAACGGTCTTTTTCGATCAATTTTCCAATTTCTTCCATAAACGTTGCGTGTGACATCGTGAGTTGATATAAAGCTTAATTTACAATTATATTGAATATTAATTTATTTATTGAATAAAATCTTCATTTGTGTTTATTTAAATGAATATTTTTGTGCCATGTTGACTGGGAGGGGTAAATCAGGGCCGGTTTTCCTATTGGGGGGGCCTCGAGCTTATTGGGCCTCAAAATTCAATATTGCGCTATTATTCATTTTTTAATCGTTTTTAAATGTTATAGGCTTGTTCCAGAATAAAAACCAGTTCAAAATGGTATAAAACTGATGGTTTTTATTTAATCATTCAATCGGGTTAATAATTCTTGTTGCCAAGGGCGTAGCCATTTTGAGGGTCGGCCATTTTTAAATATCGTATCATACCCTATAAATGAATTTGTAAAAAATTGAAAAACACTACCCCTTAAACCTTATGACAAAATACACTATTTCAAATTAACTGAACAGTTTTCGGCACACCCGAAGTATGTGAACCAAGATGGCGGACACCGGAACGTAGCTTAGTCCATAATTTCAGGTACAAATACTACGGGAGTCACTTGACTAAAAACATATTTTGATTGAGCAAACTACTAAAGATATATACTTATATTTTTCTTTCCCCCGAAAAAAACAACATCATTCTTATGGTGAAAACTGCGTACTGCCGAGGTGCGTGAACCAAGATGGCGGACACCGGGACGTAGTATGTGTACCAGGTTAGGGTTAGGCCATAATTTTATTCCAATTTTCCTTATTTTAGTTCTATTACAAGTTCGGGGACTAGCCAAGTGACTCCCATAGTATTTGTACCGGAAATTATGCCCTAACCCTAATCTGGTACACATACTACGTTCCGGTGTCCGCCATGTAGGTTCACATACTTCGGGAGAACCGAAAATTCTAGGTAATTAAGTAGTTGGCATCAATTACTTTAAAGCTATGAATACAAATACTTCGATTAAACTGTTGCATGACGTGTGAAGCATCTACTACCATAGCAAAAGCAACATAGATAGATAGATATACGCATATTTGTTAGTACATTGTTATAGTTTTAATAAGGTATTTATTTCTTGATAATTGCAAGACGGAAATTATTATTTTTTATGTTCTGACTATCAGTGACAAAAGGAGGTGGGATTAGTTTTTCTGCTAGTTAGAATTTATATTTTTATAATTCTTGTCCTAATAAGATGTAACAAAATTATTTGTTTTATCTTTAAACTTCTTATTTTTTGAGTTATACAGATGTCATGGCATGCGGATATATGAAAGATTTGCGATTCCTAAATTGGCATTGAGAAAGACCTGACTAAAATTTTTGAAGTACATATAAACGATTTGCGTAATTCAAGAATACTATTTCAAAGAGAAGGACAATGAACCTCGTTAAAATCTGGCTTTTCCGCTTCAATAGAAAAGATGTTTTGGGGCGTGCAAGATGAAAGATAACGAATTTGGCCCAACAAATGTCAGCCAATTTTTTTAAAAGATATAAAACCTTCCACCGACTGATGATAATGGAAAACAACATGATTTTTTATTCGGGTACTTCGAGCTACAGAAAAAAAAATTGCAACATTATACGTGGCGTGGCCAGGTATGATACAAGCAATGACATCACACTCGATGAAGCTCTTTACGTTAATCGTGGAAAGATATTCTTGTCAATTGCCATGGCGCACGGCAATTTCCGAAGCTGAAAAAACAAACACAAACGTTTCCTGAGGCACCCACCTTAATGAGCCTATCACCTGCAACTGTCTCCTCAAAACGTGCCTTCAAAAAATGGGTCTTTATTAAATTTGACCAGCAATGACCCCGACTAATACTCAAGCCACACGGGTCGTTGCGGCATCAAATCCAGTATATCAATAAGAGCTTACGCAAAAATGTATTCGCTGTATCCCTGAACAGCCTAATAAACTTGGAACGAGTTTAAACTAGTGAATGTTTCAATCACCATCATTTTTTTGCTTTATGTTAAAAATATTTATCGTGGTTTCAGCAAAACTCGTGAAGCGCTATATTCTAAGTTTTTAATATTTTTTTTTTAATTTGATTATGCAAGTTATACACTCTAACTTCCATCTCGCCGGAAGGATATATATATTAGTTCCATTTGGTTTACAAATGCGCCCGAACGTACTACTGCACTAGGACAAATTCCAAAATGGCCGTTCCGTTTGTTACAAATCGCCTCGTAACTGTCGGATAACGAACCTAATTTATCAGACAAATAAATGTAACAATATGTGTCATTTGCATATCATCTCTGCTTTGGAAATTGTATATTAATTATATTAATCATCTTATTCAATTTCTGTCAATAGGCAACATAGTATTCGATTAAATATCTGATTACTACAATTTCGGCTACAAACAACATTTTGCTAAATATGCTTTCCATATGCATCATTTTCGTCTATTCACGATAGTTTAAGGCTAGTGACAAACGGTAAAAGGTAATGTGAATTTATTATTTTTTTTTCTGATGAAGAATCTTCCTCTTCGTTGGATTTCGTAAACATCTTGAACATACTGCAACGCTAGTTGTTATAATATATATATATCATATCATTATAACATTTCATGGAAAAATGCTATCACTAAAGAAAGCGAACAAAATGGTGTATTATCAATTTTCTTCATTTAATTAGAAGTCATATATCAAAATCATCAATAATAACCTGCTCCTTTTTTGATCTACTACAGGGTGGTCCAAGGTTGCAAGGTTGCCTACTGTCATGTTACATGGATGGTACATCATAGTCAATCAATCCAAGTTAATGGCCGAAAATTCAAGCAAAATTTCCTTTACCTGTATCGTCAACTAATTTACTATTTCAAATTTACTTGTTAATATTTCACTAGATTTCCATTCTCATTTTACGTCATGGAAAATTACAAGAATCGCAGTCGCTACGCGTAGAAATTTTATAAGAAATTCTCTGTTTAAATTTCAATTTATGCTATCGCTTGAGTTTCTGTGGTACTAACAACTTATCTCTCTTCGAGGCTTTTGCTCTGGTGGATCCATTTATATATATATATTTCAAGGATGCTGTAGCAAGAAAAACGATAAATATTATAACTGATTCGAAAATCTTGCTGCACACTAAAAAAATATATTTCTGTAACGTTTCGTCTGACCAAGGTTCCTCGGACTTCCTCAGACTAACATAATTCGACTGCGGCACGAAACGCAATTGCTAAAATATATTTGTGTTAGTGTGCAGCGAGACTCTCGAATCACTTAGAACAAATTTCATTTGCCTTGCTGTTCTAAATTTTCCTGAAGTAACAGAAGGGCTATATTTGTTTCTGTTTAAAATCGATCGATTATCGAATGGATGTATGCATTTATTACAAATTTTCTTATAAAAACAGTAAAAATAATGTTACGAAGAACGATACAAAAATTATTGAACGAAAATAGTTGACGAGCAGCATATAATAAAGCATTAACTGTTAACTAAAATATAAATAAATTAGAAACACTCAAGAATACAAAAAGCATGAAAACATTGAAAAGCACAAATAGAAAACGTTGACTACATTGAGGAGTTTACGTTGAACTCTAATACGACATTTCTACAAATTTTGAAAATAATAAAAATGAAACCAGAGAAAAAAAATTTAATTTCGTTTTCTGTTTCAAAACTATCGTTTTCTATCTTATATCATACAAATTGCACGATTTCAAATATGATCTAATGGTCAATTACATGTCAATCGCAGGCTGATTTATTATACCACCTATATATATTGGTAATGGTGGTAAAATAAATCTGCCTACAATTGATATGTGCGATTTTCTACGAAGAATCTATACATACTGGTTATTTCATTATTGGAACATTTTTAGTATAAAATGCATATTTAAATGTGATGAGCAATGTGAATAAATTTAATATGTTTTCATGCATGTTAAACTTATCAGTTTGTCAACTTGGGTAAGATTATGTAAAATGCTAATACTTATATTTCGGGAATTTTAAATTTCTAAAATAGTTATATCGATATATTCACTTCAAATAAAAGCTCTTACTAATGATGAAGGAGACCATTGAATTTTATTCAAGACAAAATTATTGGAAAATTATGAAACGGAATCTTTGAATTTGAATATTAATATTGAGGAATCATTTAGATATTTATCTACCTCACATGAACAGTGGCAGTGAAAAAAGTTCGCTTTATTTGAATGAACGGATATGCAATATTGAAATTATGAAGTGATATGTTTTATTTTATCGAGAGTCAGTATCCAAGTTTTGGAAATACTCAAACGTAACGTGAAAAGAATATCGAATGCATAGCCATAGACACTGTTAGTAATCTTCATATCCATTTACCTATTGAAGAAACAATTGACAAGAAATTGTAAATCAAAATAAAAGGCAATTTAAAAATACAACTCGAGTAGAGAAAGGAAGTTCATCAACGTTACATAATAGCAATATCTGTAATTTAAGATTTAAAGTATTCTTGAGTCTGGTGATACCCAGAAAGGCATTGAGATCCCTCTTTTTATAATACCGCTCTTTACCGAGGCGCTGATCGGGTTGCGACTTCGTAAACCAACACGTTCATACATCTGAAACGTTGAACTGCTGTGCGTTTTCCCACACTGGCAGCAAGCCCAATTTCTATATGTTTAAACTTTTGTATTCGCGCTTTTTGCACAGAAATAAATACGCAAATCTAGCTATTGGGCTCTTCATAATTTTTCGCCTGCTCTCCAATGATATTCGGAATAAGGACCAGACGCAGCACCAAATCCAACCGGTGTGTTTGCGCTGGCACATTGACCGAACCCGCTATTGTCACTCCCCATTCGAGACGGGTATTGGAATCCAAAAGCACCACATTGTCTGTGTGCCATCGGCATAGCGTGGTGCGAGTTGCCCGTCTGCGCGTGGCTGACCGCTAGCGGTGACGTGTACCCCGGCATTACACCATGAGAGCCATAGTATCTACTCGGCGTTGCCGAACCAGATACCCCATGGTGGTGGTGTGAATGATGATAATTCATTGTTCTTGCATCATTTATCATTGATCCCTTACAGTCGTTATATCCCGATAAAGAAGTCCCCGTGCTCGGGCTACCAGCCGCTGCCATATTCCATCCATACGAAGTATTAAATCCTGGCAAATTAGCAATATACTTAGGTGAACCCAATGCTGAATATGGCCCGTACCCGCCTTCCATAATACTAAGCATCGTTGTTCGAGTTGGGTCCAGTAAAGAATTTGCAGCAGTAGGTCGGTAGGGTCGCTTCATGCGCCTCCGTCGGCGATAATTTCCATTTTCAAACATGTCCTCGCAACTTGGATCTAGAGTCCAGTAGTTTCCCTTTCTCTCCCCACCTCCTTCTCTCGGTACTTTGATAAAACACTCGTTTAGACTCAAATTGTGGCGAATGCTATTTTGCCAACCTTTTCGGTTTTTTTCATAGAATGGAAATTTTTCAATGATATATTGATATATTCCAGATAGCGTTAGCTTTTTCTCTTTCGAATCTCTGATGGACATTGCTATCAGCGCGACGTAACTATACGGTGGTTTCTGATGACGACCCTTTTCTCCAATCTTTGATTCTGATTTTGTTATCGGCATAGTAATGTTGCCATGATCGCTTATGCGAGATTTAGAAGAGGGACTCTGTTGTTTTGCTATGCTGACTTGAGTTCCATTCACCGAAGCACAATCAACTTCGGACTTGGAATCAGTTTTTGTATTTCTGTTTTCGTTCGTTGCTTTATCGTGTCCAGACGTATCATTCGATTGGGACCTTTTGGAAACGGAACCACGTGTTTCCTCTGGACTCAAACAAGGCGAAAATTCTCTCATTCGTCTTCCTGTTCCTTCAGTATAAGACTCTCTTCCGTTGGAACTAACATTTGGTTTACCCTCAATGCGATGAAGCCTATCTACCACGTGATTGTTTTCTATAGAATAGTTTGATTCTTTAACAATGTTGCTCATCTCGGTCTCATCATCGTACAGAACACTGTTGTGGCGAGTATGCAAAGTAGATTCCATATTAGGCTGACGGCCGTGTGGCATATCGCTGCAAGAACTGCTACTTATTATTCGAGAATGTTGCGGTGATAACTCAATAGCAGCATGCTGAGTCCCCGAACCTTTACTGTGAGAGCTTTCGATCATTGACGGCGGAGAGGATGTCCTGGACCCTATTGAATGATTATGTGGAGAAATTCCGTATTCATCTGGTGGTTGTGTTAGACTCGATGGTTGCGATCCAAAGGTGGCATACTCCGGTTGTGGACTGTGAAAAGAACCAATAGATTGCTGATCATTGTGGTATGAATGATGGCGATAAAATGAATGTGCTGTGTATCCGTGATGATGGGAGTAGGGGTCAAACTGGGGTGAAAATGCTTCCGTGTTTGTCGAAGCCAATGCCACAGGATTGATATGAGCCAGCGTATCACTTGGGTTGTAGTGGCGATCTACATGTCCAAACCCCTGTCCAATGTGTTCAAAGTAGTTGGATCGATCATCGTGATGCTTGCTGTAGTTTTGAGAGTATGGATCACCAGGCCCGGGAAGCAGCATATGCTGAGAGAAATTCATCATTTTTAGAAATGACTGAAACTTCTAAAGGTTTATATATGTTGCTATATAATCTAAAAATATACAACGAATTATTGGTATTATGCAGCATAAATTGCGGTTTAATTAACTAAATTGACTGAACTTTTTAAAGAACTTCTGTTGTGATCCACATTATTAGGTGAGGGCTCAAAATCTTTTAATAAAAAATTTGAAAGCATTTATAAAATATAGAAACAGCGCAATAACTTGACTCATTCGAAATCCGATATTTTGTATATACAACTTTTATGACAATTCCAATCGAGAAAAATGTTGAATAAATCTTTTTCTTTACCATAAGACATAACCGAGACTAATGACATTAGATTTTGCTATTGTAGTTGGTTTGGTTTAGACCAGCGTTTTCCAAACTGTGTTCTGCGGAACAGTGTTCCGAGAGCGTCTTCCAAGTGTTGGGGGAAAAAGAGATCAAAATTACGACTAAATTGGACGCCATGGCGATCTCGGGATCGTGAAGTTGTCGCCCAACTGGCGATCGTTAAATATCGCGTCACCGTTGGCCTAAAGCGGACTAACTATTTGAGGATAGTGATGGTTTTTACGGCGCATTTGGCAACTATCCACGGCGCATCCTTTTAGAACCTCTGCATTGCACCATTTTTTTTATTAATTTTACTCTTTTATTATTTAGCGTTCCGCGAGGCGAGACAAAATGCGTAAGTGTTCCGTGGCCAAAAAAGTTGGTGAAACGCTGGTTTATTAGACCTATTTCGTATTTTTATCACCAAGTGGGTTTCGAAACGCGTCTTTGAAGGTCTTCGGTACCTGCTACTGATATGGTACAAGGGACATCGTGTGTTGGGTAGTTTTGCTATGAACAAGATATAATATTACTAGTTTGTACTAGTCCTAGTTTGATTTGTGCCACTACCGCGGAAACGTTTAAGTGCAAATTTTTTCCGCTATTTTTGAGAAAAATCGATTAAATGAAGTGAGTCAAGAAGATTCACAAAATGACGGGGCGTGATTCACGCGATAAAATTTTCAGAAAGTTAAACCGAATATATATATATATTTTTAATTAAAAACACCAAAAATGAAAGTCATTTAAAAAACAGGCATTTAATGGCCTTGGACTTCGTTTTTAGTAAATCCACGATCTTTAGGAAAGGATTGAACTTTTTCTACTAAACTGAAGAAAGCGGTCCATTTCTAAACGACGAATTTGACAAAAAAAAATTATTGTGATCACGTATGGATCGCAGCTATGGAAATTTAACCTAATAAGCATACCTAAAAAATTATAACAACGTAAAATAATGATTGCGATATCAAAATATAAACCACAAAATCTAGAATTCCGTAACCAAAACTCCCAAGTCACAATGTTCAGTAATTTAAATTCATAGAAAATAAAGCACACGACGCATAATTTTTTACTTCATTGACAACCATTTGTAAGATGCCATTCATTTGACATAACTTCATAATTATATACTCCCGTATTTTGAGACAGTCTGATAATATGCGATAAATAAAGTTTTTTCTTATAGTAGATTATTCACGATGTCGTACAGGCTATTGCATAAAATAAAACTAAAATTAAACATTTTGAGCGGTTCGTGTGTATGAGCTCATATATTTTTCCCATGGTTTTCTAAACATACCGTATATACCTAGTTCATTGCCAATGACCAAACAATGTAAAGCAAAAATCTTCAAACTTTAATATGACGTAAAAGACGTTGTAAATTCACACAATAAAATTCAAACATGGTATATATATATCGTATATTTTATTGGTGCGGTAATACATGTTTATCGATATGTTGTCCAACCAATTAATCCAAAATCGTCAATGTCTGAAATAATACTGTGATTTTTGTTATAATTCGAAAACAATCACCCATAATTTCAAATATAATTCATTTCGCTCTTGTATAATTGGCACAAAGGCCCGGCTGTACACTCCAAAAAATCAGGCCAAACGAGAAAAAGCAATCTGACATCTTTCTGAGGACATAACCAAATGCTTCATTTGTTGAGAATTGAGGATGAGATAGGTTAAAAGATCTGTATTTGTAGAGACTATACTCAACGAACCATGGTAACGATGTCATCTCAGTTCCATGACAGGAATAAACCAGAAAAATTCGATAACGTTACTATTCGATGCACAACTGAGGGAACCAATGCGTTCTATGTTCTATCAGTAACGAATAAACGAAGAAGATTATGATGAATTAATTTGAATATTTTCACAAAAACAATTTTGAATGTATGTTTTCTATGCCGTACTAGTCGTACTATTCATTGAACGAATTTAAAAAATATAGCTAATGGAAAAGAGGGCACTTCAACTTATGATATCTGAAGTAAAGACTTTTTAAAACATTCCTTCGCTGCCCTTTATTTGGCATTGTTTCGGCATCAATTTTGTAACACTGTTGAAAGCACTGGAAATGTGATAATGATGCGAAGATAGGCACTTGCGAAAACGTCGACGCAGAGGATTGAAAGTCAAAAGCGAAGCGAGAAATCTGTCAGCGCGCGGCATCGCCCCGCCGAAGTTTGTTGCTGCGATTGTCAGATTGTCTTGCGTTTGTGACTGTTACGAGAAAGAGAGTTTGGTCTTTCACGTCGTTCATATTTCTCGCGATAACATCAAGTTCGCTCCAAACTTCCTAATTTACCTCGTTCACGCAACGTGTAAGCTGAAGTATGATAGGCAAACAAGAATGAACAGGTGAGGATTTTGTTCTTGTTTACTTTAAACTGAAAGTAGGAACCATTTCCGTCACCACCTCTATGTAGAGCCGGCAACCGGTTGCCCATCAGAATGTTGATGCGCGGCAACCTGTAACAGTTTGGCGATTTGTCACATTTGGGGACACAGACAGCCCCCGAACTCGTAATAAAACTAAAACAAAAAAATCGGAATAAAAGTATTGCCTAACCCTAACCTGGTACACATACTACTAGAGTACCACATTTGGGGCTATATCTGCAACACTTTGTGTAATATCTTCATAACTTGACGGACTAGAAACAAGACTATATCTAAGAAAAAATAGATACCGATACCATGTTACTCAATTTTATCCCGGATAAGTTAGGATGATTTTTTCATTTCAATTTACAATCGTTGATCCATTCAGCTAAAAATTCTGATTCTTGGAGAATGATTATAAAAACGACCCAACAGGAAATACATCGATTTCATTAGTACTCATGGAAAACAAAGTACATAAAAATACATGAACATCAAGTACCGGTAGTTTATCTTAATCGTGCGAGAACACACTGGTCATTATCAACTACTGAAAATTTTAAAATGATTATCCGGCTAATTTAGGATTAATACAAAAAACTTCTGTCCTAATATCAGCGATTTATCAAAACAAATCGAATGTCCATTTCGTGATCAATGGGATGTGCGTTTTTCGTGTCAAACAAACTTCTTTCATTTATGACAGCATAAAGAGGAAAAGTAATGTGCGTGCGTGTGGTAATTAGCGCTCTTAAAGTGGATTTACTACAGTTTATTCATAGGTGTTCAACCATGGCCAGCGAGAGCAGTCCTACCATAAGGCAAACAAAGCTAGACACGAACTTGCTCCTCTTGAACCTGTCATTCAAATGTCTGACACTCCTAGCTTTGGCCGTTGTTCGCGGTAAGGGAATACCGGCTACGTTCCCCTTCATTGGTACTGCAATCGCCCAATTATTTTAGCGTGGACAGGTGACATCTCTTACTTTTCGCCGTCTGGTTCGAAAACCTATCCATCTTACTGAATATTTAGAAACAATGATTCCCGTTATACCAAAACTATCACAGGTGGTTTAAATACCCTTTACACGAACCGCTTTATTTGTTTTTATTAATATGAACGTATTGATAGAAACCTACAGTACTGCCTTACAACAAATAGCTTTTCAACAAACCAGGCAATCTGCCATGTAATGTTATTTTTAAGCCATACGTTGCATAATGAAAATCGTCTAAGATTTTATTTCGACTTCTCAAAAATGTTGCCGACATAACGCGATTACAACAAATTGTCTAAACTAAACAATTTATGTCACAAGTCAGTCCCACTGAAGATGATGAATAGTATCGCTCAGATAAAGCGATCTTCGTGAAAATACGTGGTCGCAAAACACTGCTAATAAGGCGTCGCAGATATCTATTTTCCCTTGGATAAATATAGCCATTTCGCCGAACTACCTAATACGGTCTTGTAAAAAAGTTTATATTAGTGAAATTATAAAGAGCCTCAATTTTGATATTTTATTTTACGATTTTTTATGCAAAGCCCCCACCAAAAAAAACACCCTCGACCACGCTCGAAATAAGTAAAAAATTATTATTATCTAGTTAGGGATATGAATGCAGATTGCAAATCAAAATTTTGAATCATTCCTAACCTCAACGTGGTGGGGTGTTTTTTTCGAATTTTGCATTAGTGGCCGTTTTTTTTTCTTAAATCTCACATTTTTGCGTTGGTGGCTTTGTACGAAGGATCCTTATTTACATACGACGATTGCTTGCGTATTTCGCTCCGAGCAAGGCACGTACAAGCAGTGGTGTGTATTCTGCGGTTATTCGTCAGATATATTTATCAAATATATATATATATATATCCTAAAAACCGTATCCAGTAGCAAATTTAAACGTAGACCATAGAAGAATATTTTACTCTTAATTCCTCTATAGATGAGAAGAACGCAACCTCCCAAATTGCCGTTGCACCGTCGTTATGCGTTTATTGTAAGCTATTCTACGTGTATCATTTTTGTCACAAGGAAACGAACAATTTTTGTCATGCTCCTTCGATGCTGGTTTTTACTTTTGATTATATATATAATGAAATAAGGAGGAGTGGAATTGCCCTGGTGGTCCAACGCAATTTAAATATATTAGTGACAATACGGGTGGGTTCTATTTCTGAACATTCGAAACTACATTAAAAAAAATTATATAATAAGATAGTCACGATGAAAGTCACGGACACCATTTTATTAAAAATGAAACGTCAAATTAAAGT